TTTGTTTCTATTGTGTTTAGTAAGCCTATGAATATTTTTGAGGTGAATGATACTATTATCTCTCTAATTTCTAAAGTAGATGCCCCTGAAAATATTAAACAATTCAGATCCATATCTTTATGCAATGTTAGTTATAAAATTATAACCAAGTTGCTGGCTAATAGAATTAGTGGGGTCCTTCCTTACATTATCTCTACTAACTAAACCAAATTTATTTTTGGAAGGCAGAGAATTGATAATACTCTAATTTTACAAGAGCTTGTTCATTCCATGAATAGTCATCGTCATAAAAATAACCTCATGATTATTAAGATAGATTTAGAAAAGGCTTATGACAGACTTAAGTGAAACTTCATTTATGAAACTCTGCAACCTTTGGGCTTTAATTCCAACATTTTTTCTTTAATAAATCTTTGTATTTCTTCTTCATCTTTATCTATTAATTGGAATAATAATAGCACAGATGTTTTCAGGCCTAACAGAAGAATTAGACAAGGGGATTCTATTTCTCTTTACATTTTTGTTATGTGTATTGAAAGGTTAGGTCACTTAATTTGGGATAAAGTGAAGAATGGTAAATGGGTGCCTTTCTCCTTTAGTAATAGGGGTTCTAAAATATCCCATTTCATGTTTGCTGATGACATCATTTGAATAGTTAAAGCTGATCAACAAAATATTGATACTATATCAGAAGTCTTAAATATTTTTACCTCTGTTTCTGGTCTTTTTGTTAATAAACATAAATCTTCTGTGTATTTTGCTAAAGGGTGTGATTCTGCCCTTATTCAAGACCTTAGCAATAGATTGAGTTTTAGGAAGTCTAATCAATTTGGTAATTACCTAGGAATTTCTATCAGCCATCTGAAACCTAATAGATAGGATTTTAAATTTATTATTGATAAAATTAGGAAGAAACTTTTTATTTAAAAAATGAATTTCTATCTATGACTGGTAGGATTTCTCTTACCCAATCTTGTCTAATGAGTATTCCTAATTATTTTATGCAAGCTACTTCTATCCCTATAACTATTTGTAAGAAAATTGATACAATCTGTAAAAAGTTTATTTGGGGTTCTCTAAATGGGAAGAAGTGTCATCTAATTAATTGGAAGACTGTGTGTCAACCCAAGTGTGAGGGAGGTCTGAGTTTTAGAGATATTTACTTAGTTAATCAAGATTTCATAATGAAACTTTGTTGGAGACTCATAACATCTCTAAATAACTTATGGGCTCAAGTGATTTACCAAAAATATAATTTTAGTTTAGAAAATCTCCAGGTTTGTACCAAGCGCAAGACTGGCTCTTATTTATGGAAAGGTATGTTGGAAATTTGGGATAGGTTCTATCAAGGTTTGGGTTGGATTTTGAGTAATAGTATGATAGTTAGGTTTTGGCAGGATCATTGGCTCCATAATATTCCTAATTTATCTAGGTATCCTTCCCAATCAGTTAATTTTGAGGAGTTGAAGGAGCTAGTTGCTATTTTTTCCTCATAATGACTGCTGGGATTGGCAGAGAATTAAGCAGGTTCTCATTGATTTTGTTTGTAATATGATTGCTAAGATTGATCCTCCCATAATTACTAATGCTCAGGACCAATTTTTTTGGAGATTGACTAGTAATGATTTATTTTCTATCAGTTCAACCTATACTCTCCTTTTTAACTTTAATGATAAGAGGAGTAATAATAATAAAATTTTAAAACAAATCTGGGACTGGAAAGGCCCCCTAGAGTTGCTGTTTTATTGTTGAAAGTTGCTCATGGAAGACTTCTAACTATTGTTGAGAGATTTCACTGTAATATGACTAACTCTTCTTTGTGTACCAAGTGTAATGAGGTGCCTAAAACAATGATCCATGTTCTCCGTGATTGTTGGTTTGCATTATAGATTTGGTCTAAACTGCTTCCCCCAGATAAGGAGGTTCCTTTCTTCAGCTTGGGTCTTCATAATTGGCTTGTTTTTAATTTGTCTGCTATTAATTTTCACTTACAGCCATTTTGACAAATTTTGTTTGGAATTGTAATTTGTAATTTATGGCATTATAGAAATTATGTTGTGTTCCAGAATGGTCCCTTAAGCAATGAAGCCTTGCTGAACAAGATTATTCATGAAATTGAATTTATTTATTTTTGTGGCAGGGGTAATTTGAAATCTCCTACTCATCATGGGAAGCCTCCTGATCTGATAAGATGGCAGCCACCCCTGAACAAGCATTTCAAATTGAACACTGATGGTTCAATTTTGTACAATCTGAGGACTGCTAGCTGTGGTGGCCTTATATGTGATCATATGAGAAGATTTATAGCTGGTTTTAGCAATACCCTCAAACCATGTTTTCCTTTTGTTGTTGAACTTTGGAGAATCTTCTGGAGCCTCAAATTATTCATTTTTAAAAACATTCATATTATTTGGATTGAAAGTGACTATAAGGAGACAATTTCTTTAATTACGAAGATTCAAAATAGGAATCATCCTCTATTTTTTGTAATCTAAGAAATTAAGTATCTCTTTAAAAGTATTAAGTTTGTTAGGTTTAGTCATGTGCTTAGGAAAGTAAATCAATGTATAGACTGTTTAGCTTAGATTAGGGTTGAGTCAGGAGTTTCTTCCTTTTCATGAAATCCATTCTTCCTTAGAACCTCTTTTGAAGCTGGACTCTTTGAAGACCTGTTGATCTAAATTTAGTAGTTAGTTAGTTTGTAATGGGCTTTTAGTCCCGTTGATTAGAAAAAAAGTAATACAAATAATAATTCTCTAAGATTAAAAGAAAATAATATTTTTTTATTAAGACATTTATGTGTCTTTAATTATAATTTTTTGACTATTTCTTTTACAAACAATGGTAAAAGAAACAAGAAATCATTGCTTCCCTTCTTCACTCGTTTTCTTGGCTAGTGCGTAGAAAAAATTTGATGTAGGTCCCATAATTTTGTTTCTTACTCATTTTTTTTCCTTGAATGTTTCAAACAATGGAAGATGCAACCAAAAAGTTATGTTTTCTTTCTTGGCGGCTTCTTTTGTTGATAATTTTTATTGGTGGATTACAAAAGTTACAAATTTTGTGCATTGTACACAAGACATGTTTCTATTGCAGTATGTAATAGTACTCTTCAAATGTTTTGAATACAATTCTGAATAAAGAGGATGCAATAAGAGTAGCATCGATATCCTAGGCCCATTGCAAGTTTGTTGTAGACACTTTTACATGCTAAACTGAATCAAAAGGTGGAGACCTTCATTTTGGTCATTAACTCAACTACGTCTATGTGACATAGATTCATGCATACCACACACATTCTCATTCACTAGTAGCCTATTAGTGTATTGATTGAAACTGATCAGTTTGTGAGAATTCTGGGAGGGTCAAACGAGAATTTTGCAAAGATGTAAGTTTTCAATTTAACAGTACTTCAGCTTCAATTTCTTACAGTATTAGTACTCAATTTGTCTGAAATTATTTGTCAACAAAAGTAAAATGAAAGACTTCCATCTTCACCAAATCCAGTATAGTTCGGAACTCAACATGTTATATCCAGAACCAAAAACTATTAACTGACTGATTAGTATAGGACGCGGGTTAATTAATGTCTTAAGACTCTCAAGACTTCTTCCACCCACCTTCTAATAAGTTATATGCCCAGGAAGTCAACATTATCTTTAGTAATTTATAGAAATAACTTATAATTCTCATATTTTTAAATTTGTTTTAATAAGTTATATGCAGCTTAATAAGCTATTTTTAACTTATCTTAATAAATTTTATAATTGAATACATAACATAAATTATCACTTAAAAAGAGATGATTGAATAAATATTGAAATTACCTTTATAACTAAGCTTTTCAACTAACAGGCGCATGATCATAAGCTAAAGACTTAATAACAATGTGTAGGGTCGTACTTATTTCTAATGTGCTTATCAAGTTCTCATTCCTCAACCATCTCATTGTATATTTTAATCTGGTACCAATTAATACAGTATGCAAAGCTGTGTATGCATAGTGATTTCTTTCACATTTTGAGAAAATGACATAACTAATAGGCCACACACATCAAGTTCGGTATAGGGCAATATCATCCACCCACACAACAATCCTATTTCACTGCATATGTAATGACACTCGTGAATAAAAGAACTAACAAATAACAATTTACAGTCACTACTAAGGATGTAATACTCGACAAGCAAGATATTTACTCAATCTTCTGGCTTGGGTATCATATTCGTCACTATTGTAATTATACCAAACAAAATAAATATTTTCAGTGTTATATTTTAATTAAAATTAATTTTTTTTTTGGTAAGTAACATAATAAGAGTCAACACTTATTTCTAAGATGAAACTTAATTTGACTAAAAAAATTAAAAACCTCGAAATTTTATCCTCTTGAGAAACAAAAAAAGTTTAAAATGAAGATTTATATCCATCAGGTGCATACTTTTTTTAGATCAACAGTAAATTTTATTATCTATAATTTTATTTAAACTTTAATATTGAAATAACACGAGCTTATAAAATATTATTATCCATATTATTAGGACGATTTAAGTTTATTCTCTGTTTGCTTTGAGTTTAAATTTATATATTATGTTTAAAAGTGTATATAAAAGACTTGTACGTGTAAATTTATATCAATGAAATCCAATTCAATCTAAACTTCTTTATGGTATCAGAATATCAATGAAACGGGAACAATTCTAGTGACATGCTTTAATAATGACCAAACGATTATAACGGTTTTTAACTCCTCTTGACTTGTTCAATTAAAATTCCAATTCTCCCTCTCTTCCTTAAAACCGTGAGGGCTCTCTCATTGTGAGGCTCTCTTTGCACTCTCCCAAAAGAGACCCCTTAGCCCTTACGATGCATGCATGTAGGGGTCACAAAAAAACTAAGGAAAAAACGAAAAAATAGCAGAAGGAATGATCCGAAAAAAATCACAATCACATTCCGTACTTGTCAAAGCATTCCGAAGCACCAAATTTGCAGCAAAGTAATGGCCATAGCTCAGGCAATAATTCACCCAATTTTCTTCGTCATAATCCTTATCATCATAACTTTCCCTGTGATACATTCCATGTCAGAAACCGAAGCTTTGTTGAGTCTCAAAAACTCGTTGTCCAATACACAAGCTTTGGATAGTTGGGTGGCTGATTCTGTGCCTTGCACTGAAGATGATCAATGGGAAGGTGTTTTTTGCTACAATGGCATTGTCTCGGGGCTTCGCCTTGGAGGAATGGGGTTATTAGGAGATATAGATGTTAATGCATTGCTTGAACTCAAGGGTCTTCGAACTATTAGCCTTGTCAACAACTCTTTCTCAGGTTCCATACCACAGTTCAACCGAATAGGTTTCTTGAAAGCCATATATTTGTCAGGAAACAAGTTTTCTGGGGACATTCCTCAAGAATACTTCAAGGGAATGAGGTCTTTGAAGAAGTTGTTGCTTTCTGACAACCAATTCACGGGTCATATTCCATCATCATTGGCTGAGATTCCTCAGCTTATGGTGTTGCATCTTGAGAACAACCAGTTTAGTGGAAGTATTCCTGATTTGAATAACCCATCATTGGTGCAACTCAATTTGTCCAACAACAATCTAGAGGGTAAAGTTCCAGCTAGTTTGTTGAAATTCAACGAGAGTTCTTTTGGTGGAAATCCGGGTCTTTGTGGTAACATGTTTGGTAGAACGTGTGAACTTGTTGATGAACGAAGTAATGCAGGATTGAGCAATGTTGCGGGTAATGTGTCTGAGCCAAATAGGAGTAGGAGTAGCATGTTGGAGATTGTTGTCTTTGTGGTGGCTAGTGTAGTGATTGTCTCACTTATTGTCTTTTTAATTGTGAGATCGAGGAGAAAGAAGAATGAGGATGTTGATATGATTAGTGCAGTGGAGGTTCAGGTAGCTGCTGCACCAGTGAAAAGGGACGTGGATACATCAGTTAAAAAAGCATCATCAAGCAGAAGGGGAGGATCCAGTCATGGTAAGGGCGTTGGAGAGGTTGTGATGGTGAACAGCGAGAAGGGTGTGTTTGGATTACCAGATTTGATGAGGGCAGCGGCTGAAGTGCTAGGAAATGGAGGGCTTGGATCTTCTTATAAGGCTGTGATGGCTAATGGAGTGGCTGTGGTTGTGAAAAGGATAAGAGATATGAATATATTGGAAAAAGATGGTTTTGATGCAGAGATGAGGAAGCTAGGAAAGCTCAAACACTGGAATATCTTGACCCCTTTAGCTTATCATTACAGAAAGGAAGAGAAACTAGTGATCTCTGAGTATGTTCCCGGAGGCAGTCTAATGTATTTGCTGCATGGTAGGTCTTGTTCTTCTCAACTCAAAATTTTCATAGCATTCATCATTACTCTTGAAACAATTAAGGGCAAGCTTATTGAGAATTTGGTTAAGCAGTTTCATTAAATACTTATTCAATAAGCGTTTATTAAGAACTTAGTTATAAACTTGATTGAGAAACTTATTGAAATAAATTAAAAAATACTTATAAAAATGTCATAAGTGCAAAGAAGCACTTCGAATCACCTCAAATCTATAAAAGTGATCGTTAAAACAAGCAAATAATTACTATTATAATAATAATGCAGATGCCCCATGTTGTGCTATTTGCAGGTGATAAGGGTCCATCCCATGCTGAACTAGATTGGCCGGCACGTTTGAATATTGTTCAAGGAATTGCTGAAGGGATGCGTTATCTTCTCACAAATTTTGCTTCTTCTGATCTACCACATGGCAACCTCAAGTCCAGCAATATACTCCTTGGACCAGATTATGATCCACTGCTTGTAGATTATGGGTTTAGCCATATGGCCAACCCTTCAAGTGTTGCACAAACACTATTTGCTTACAAGGCACCTGAAGCAGCACAAGGCCAAATTTCACCTAGTTGTGATGTTTACTGCCTTGGAGTTGTAATACTTGAGATACTCACTGGGAAATACCCTTCTCAATATCTTAGCAATGGCAAGGGTGGAACTGATGTAGTGCAATGGGTTGCAACAGCAATCTCTGAGGGAAGGGAAGCAGAACTACTTGATCCTGAAATTGCAAGCTCTAGGAATTCACTAGGTGAAATGGTGCAACTCCTTCACATTGGTGCTGCTTGCACTCAAAGCAACCCTCAGGAACGGTTAGATATGGTGGAAGGTATTAGAAGAATAGAGGAGATTAAAACCAATGGTGGCCTAGAATCAAGAACAATAGAGGTCTTGCCATCTCTTAGAGATGGCTATGCAGACTCTCATGTATGTGAGAGCCAAGAAAATGGTGACCAATCAAGGACAAGGAGTAGACATGGAACAAACAGCTTTGGAAGCCAGGGTAATTTTGAATTTGGCATCTCCTAGGTGACAATTTAGACACATTTTATGTCTTCATGGGAAAAAGGATGGGTCATGCTTATGTTTTGGAATTCCCAGGAAAAGAGTAGCAAGTGTGGATTAGGGACATTTGTTGTTTTTATAGTTTCTCTTAGAATTTTAAACTTATAGATCAGGGACATGTATAAATTTTATGATACTTAAGTTCGTGGATATCTCAATCATAGGACAACGCTTTGTAGATATTTCAGAATTACTTTTTCTGTGTAAATATTTTTAGTCACTGATATAAAACATCTGTACCCCAAAGATGGTCTAATCCATTTACAAGAAAAAATCACAATCAATTGTCCAATGCTAAAGGCATCACTTAATTAAAATAAAGAGGAAATTTTGTAGTTTAATCAGACATTGAATCATACAATGATCCGGCTCCAGATCATCACTAAATGCTAGTTATTTTTCATCACCATGTAAGTTTGTATCTAAAAGTATTCATATGTATATATAGTAGGCAAGTGAGGTGCGAGTTTCAATATTTCTTGTCGATGAGTTCCGAATTTTATTCCTAAAGTCCCTAAGAGGATATACAGACATGTCTAATATGTTTTAAAAATAACATTTCTTTTTTAGTCTTGGATTTTTATTGTTTTTTGGGTCTTGATATCTAATGTTATTTTAAAAGGGTTCAAGATAAAGTTGGGTTCAACAAAATTGCACATCTATTTACCCCATTGCCAAGCCTACATATAAAAATTAATAACGTGCCAATTCGATCCGTATTAGCGGTGTGTAATGGGTTGGAATAAGCAGACTGAACTAAATTAGCCTAAAGTTTTTTGGTCCACAAGAAGTTGGTCTATTTAAAAGGGCTATATAAAGACTGTTAACTGGGACTTCATTTGTTTAAGCATGCAGATTGACAATCTCATGAGCCTCTAATTATTATAAATGATGCCTCTAACAAAAAGAAATCATTAGAGTCGATTAAGATAAATATATATTTTTAATCATTAAGTACAAGAAACAATTAAAAGAAGGAAATTGAAATAATATTTTAAGAATACATGTTTAACAATTTCAAGAGCCAATACGTGATTTAGGAAATTACAACCCATTTAATCTTCAAGTTGACACAGTCAAGCTAAATGCCTAATGTTAACATGTACAAATTGCAAAATAAAGAAATCAACCTGCAAATGGTTCACCCAGCATTTCCTGCATAGGCATGCTATAGGTCTAAATAACAATTCAAATAGTAGTTTATAATTGTAATGTGGTTCATTGATGAGGACAGAGTTTTTCTTTTTCATTTTAAAAGGTGTAAGAGGACAGATTAGTTTTCTATGGTGAATGAATAGAAGAGGACAAAATTATATATAATAATGTTGCTCAAGTCAACCATATGGTGTTGTTCACAGCATACTACAGCTGGATGTTCATTGAAATGCATGATATATGTTAATTAATTCAAAGGCTCAAACTCGTAAGTCTCTGCATATCCTGGCATACAACAATAACCCACACTCTTCCTTTCTGCAAATTTGGATATCCCTTATTATTTGTACTTCAAATCTGTAATCGAATTTTTAGGTGCCATAACCATAATAACAATTTCATGATTGAATCCACACGCTGATCTGTCACTCCTCACATGCATTATTTTTAAATCTATAGTATAGTAAATTACAAATTTATTACAATAAAACGTATTTCTTAATTTTAATTTTCTAAATGTATTTTCCCTAACTTTTATTTTTGTTTCCCTACTTCAATTACTTCCTCGAGGATTAAACCATATATTTCATAATCAAACTCACCTCATTTTTTAATCACTGGAGTGACCAATTATAAACTCACGCATGATGAGCACTTTCAATATTATTATATTTTCTTTTATCAAACTGGTGTAAAATTTAAAATTTTCAACAATATGCGTATAAAAAATAATAATACTTAATACCACTGTTGACTTATATTCTGCTTTTTACCAAGTGGATAAAAGTGCACATATTTGACTTTTTTTTAATTATTATTATTGTTACCATTATTATTATTTATCACTAATGACATATTAATTAATTTTACCCAGTATGACAAGATAACAAGTTGCACTTCTAGAAGTTTTGTCTAAATTTAACCCAAAATTTAATTGTAATATCATCAAATGATTTGGCTGTACCACCACTCGTGCAACTCTAAATTCTCAACCATTTTGTCTTTTTGTTAGTTAAAAAAACAATTTGTTGTAGGAGGCACGCCCCCATACTATACAAGATTCCTGAGAAAATTATTAAAAAAAAAGATATACTAATTTTTGCTCAATTTACATTGTAAAATTGTAAGAAAATCTCTCTCCCTCCCTCCTGTGGCGATGCTACTGATTATTTAAATCTGTGAATATTCTTTTTATGTGAAATGCACATGTCATTCAATATATAGTGAACAGGAATTTGTGCTAATTAATTGCTGACATATATCTAACACCGGACTAGGGACAAGCCTAAGCAGGCTTTTGCTTAGCTACCTTGCAATATGCATGTTTGGTCTAATATAATTTTATTTATTTTTTAAAATTTTGTGTGTGAATTGGTTTGTAAAAGAAATCAGGGAAAACAAAAAGACTTATTTAATAATAATACTTGTATATAAGTTTTTAAATTAAATGAGAAATTTTTATACATCATCTAAAACTCTCTTAATCTCATAGTTTTAAATTTTTTTAATTTAATTTTTTTTATTAACCCTCTTCCTCCATCTTTTTTCTCTCCACCTTTATCCTTCAAACCACTTCCTGGCTTCCCTTTCCTTCCAAACAAATCCTTAAAGATTATTAGTTTATCATGTTATGTTTATTCTTCTCCTTCCCAAGTTAATTAACATGTGTTACACAAAGTTGACCACATTCTTTTTCATGTTTTCCTTCATTTTGTGAAAAAAAAAAGAGTCGACATCTCATATTTACACTCGTTGTAGACCCTTTTTAAAATAAGTAGCAAATTCTCCCTTTTTAAAAGAGTGAATAACAAAGATCATCCTTCAAGTTTAGTAATATGAAATTCCAACTTTTTTTAACCATGGTTAACCTTTTGTTGAAAAAAAAAGAAAAAAATAGTAGGTGCTTATGAGCACGTCGAGTTTTAGAATCTGCATGCAACCACCACAATAGCCATTAAGTCTTTTTAAAACGAAACTCACTCTTTTGGTGGCAATGTGTATCTCTTTCTAGTCAAATTAACTCGTCACTTCTTTGAAGATATCACACACATTACCGTTTTCCCTTTTTGTTATTGTTATCAAGTGAAATTGCAATTACAACATCGTGAATGAGGACGATGTGATGGCCATTGCATGATGTGGGCATATTAATAGTGATGGTGTTAAGGTTGTGGGCAGCTCCACCTTGGCCATGAAAATTAGAATTTCACTCCTCGCATAGACTTCATCAAAAAGAAAAAATACTCATGCTTATCACTCTCGTATTGACTTGGGTTTGATCCTCCTACTCTGTTTTATTTTTCTCTTTTTATTTGTTACAAAGGTCAAACACCATTCCTACAAAGCCTCACCAGCCCATTAGCACATAGTTAGGACTTCCCCACACAAGGTAGAAAAGAGAAGTGTCCATGTGTGAAATATACTCTTGCTCCAAAATCAGAATGTGCATGGAAAGATTCAATATGAATATAAGCAGAAGAAACTTAATTTGGTTAAGAAATAGGAAAAAAAAAGTCAGTCCTAGTTTTTTAGTTAAACTAACACTAGTAGAACTAGAATTCTTTGATAATAACATGGGATGGGGTGTTATTTTAGGAGTAAAATTACTTTAGATATTACTATGAGATTGATTTATGTTAATAAAACATTTCTCCATTATTTATATAAATAAATGAATACATTCATTTATTTAATTTAATATATAATAAATTTTTTATTAGTCCTAATAAATTATGTATTTATTTGTTATAAATAAGATTAGAGGTAACATTTTTTTTAATTCAAATAAATTATCTACAAATTTTTAAACTTTTTAATTTGATGAAATTCTATATTAACTTAACCTGACAAATTTTTATTGTATGTTCAGGTATGGAAATCGAGATAAAAAGTTTGTTGTTTTTCAAATGATTATCATGCATATTTGTTGTTGAATCCATTACATATGCAGCCTATCTTATTATCTTCTGAATATTTTAAGAGAAAGAAAGGATAACAAGGTAATGGAAATTCAAGACAACACGGCATGACTTTACTCAATTCCTCTTAATAAGAACCATTGGCTGCGAAGAACTTCACATAAATGATTTGAAATATAGAGCGTCTTGTATGATTAGTACTCATCAAATGCTTTTTTATTTAAAATGTTCTTTTTTATTTTTAATTAATCAAATTAGTAATAATTTTTTAAATTAATAATTTAAAAGTGATAATAAACATGTAGAATTTACAATAGCCACTTTTTACCATTTCACAGCTATCACCAAGCTTAGTTAACAAAATTTATATTATAAAAATTTAACTCTCAACAATATTTTTTATATACAAAACTTAAATCTAATGACTTTATTTAAGGAGAATAAAATATACAATATTTATAATACTTAGTCGCTGTAATAACATGTAGAAGTGTATATACCTAGCATTATTGCTAGATTATTTACTCGGTAATTTACCTAAAGTTATTTTATGTTTAGTGTTTTTGTTAACAGGTTATTATTTTTTTCTTCTCAAAACTACTTGAATTATTATCTTTATTATTACTTGATTAATCTTTTAAAACTAACATCATATTCTATTATTAGTATTATTATCATTAAAAAATAATTTTACTATATCACATCATCATTGTTTGATTTTTTAAAAAAAATTATTGGTTATTTTGTATTAAATAGTTTATAATTTTGTCTTAAAATTGATTATACAAACAATTTTAGTGTATATCATCACTATTTTATGATTATATTACTTTTCGTATCCTTCATGCCTAACATTTTAAATTTACTAATAATTTATGCTAAATACCTTTATTTTAAATAAAGAGTCGCTTTCGCTAAAAAAGAAATTAAGAAAAGGACAGTTAAATATGCAAGAAATCACAATTTGTGTTTTAGAAAAAAGGGATAAATATCCTTTAACCTACAAATCGAGTACATGGAAGCTTAAAAGCTTATGGCTACCCCCCATTTATATTTGGAATAAAATGAAACGATAATGACTAAAGTCAGAGATAAGGGTACGCATCTCATGGATAACAATGATCTACTCTGCTCACCTGCTCTGTTCTACTTCATCTGCTTTGAAGCAGTGTTCATGAACTATTCACATAAACCCTTTCCTTTCATAAATTTATTCAAGTAAATACCGATTAATTTAATTTTAAAAATTATAGAAAATATTGTTATTGTTTTTTATATTATTAAACATAAGTCATTGTTTTTAATTTTTACTGCTGTAATTTTAATAATTAAAATAATCAACTTTTTTTTTTGTAACATCAAAGACTAAAATATCAACGTTGTAAGTGCTAAAATGATATTTTTATAATGTTAAGAATTAAATTGGCTTATTTATGTCCATTCAAGCAGTAGAAGTATATCTGAACGGAGATAGGAAGGGATAAGGAATAGTTACTTGCAATGAAGGAGGTCTTGATTGATTGATTATATAGTAATAATTTGTGTCAAACAACATAATGATTCATAATGCATGATTGAGGTCATAGCTAATCCATACCACAAGAAATGTTCATGGTTGATAGAGCAATGGGATTGAAGGTACGTAAGTAGGTCTCCACTAGCTATTTGTTGAATGTACGAGTCAATGAGGTTCTCCAAAGGTAGCAGCAACTAGCAACCCAATTGGATCCTCATTCATGTGGTGAATATTGAGGAGTAAGAGAACCCACACAAGTCTTCATAAATTCTAGAAACCAAAGTTTTGGCCAACATCGGTATAACGATTTTGAATTGCATTGGAAACTCTCGGCAAATGGGCAAAGACATGTTTTTCTTGTTTCTTATTCGTGTAATTACAATTAGGGGAATATTAGATGCTTTTGATGTTATTTTCAGAATCAAAGTGGTCTTTCATTTTACAAGTTATATAGCTTGGTAAACCAAAGAGTTAAAACCGTTTTATAACGAGTATAGACAAATGAGTGCAAGTGAAGGATGGAAAGATCGAAAACTCGTGTTTACCAAAACACGTGACACCCCTTCTTGTGACTGTGCCAAGTTTACCTATGAATTGGAGCCATTTCATACCAAACACTTCTTTCACTTCCACCAAAGTGCTTCATGTCTTTCTGTTTATTAATTAAATTATACTGCTACTACTACAACGAGCTTCTATGAGCTCAATCTATAAGTGTTAGGCTAATAAAGGAAAAAGAAATACGAGGTAGTAATGGGGTGATAAACTGCTTTGCAACGAGACAAAGTGGGAAACTAATGTAACATGTAATCTAGAAACCAATGAAATAAAGTAAGAAGAAATAAAATTGGAGTGAAAAAGAAAGAGTCGGGTCGGGTTAAGTTAAGGATAGAATCATAGGAAAGGGAAAAGAAATAATTAGTAGTAGTATCCGAAAAGATAGTGGGAAGCCATAATATTAACATATAGTATAATCTAACAAGCATGCAAAAAGGTTAAAAATAACAAAAATGAAAGAAGAACTAAATTCGCCGGAATGTACTGTGGAGATTCCAACGGCGGCATTTAAAAAGTCAAATGAGTTGAAGCTTGCTTGTCCCCACTCTCGCAACACCATCACTCTCTCGCCCTCTGTTTCTTCTCTTCTCTTTTCTTTTCTTGTATAATCTCTCTCTCTCTCTCTATAGGCTTGATTTTCCACATACGCAATTTACCCAAAACAAAACGCCAAGTTTGGCGCAGTCTCTTTCTTTTTTCTTTCAACATTGAGACAAAAACTATCTACAGCAACAACAGCAAGAGCCAGCGCCATAACCCCCTCTCTCTCTCTCTCTTACCCTTTCCCTTTCCCTTTCCAAAATAACACCAATCTATCTATCTCTTCCAAAGTCACCACCTTTCTCAATTCCCAGATTCTAAAGCACCTACCTTTTTCATTATCATCATCATCACCAATTACTCACTCACACACACAAACACACACTAAGCATCTATCTTTCAATCAATGGAGAGCCTCCCACTTGAGACGGCGGAGAAGATCATTCTCCGGTGGGACTCGACGGCGTCGGAGGAGGCGCGTGAGAAGATGATATTCGAGGGAGAGCGTGAAGAGGTGGATCTCTACCTTCAAGCGGTGGATGAAATCCAACGCTCTCTCTCTTCCCTCACTCTCTCTCCTTCCTCGGACAAAGTCAACTCGGCCATTCAGATCGCCATGGCTCGCTTAGAAGACGAGTTCCGCAACATCCTCATCTCTCACACGAACCCCTTCGACCCCACCATCGAAGACCCTCAACAAGACCCTTCTCTCCCTTCTTCTTCTTCTCCTTCTCCTTCTTTTGCTCAGCACGATGAGGACGATGACGTCGACGTTGAAAACAAGCTTCTCCGTTTCAACAGTGACGGCGCTTCCTCCACCGTTAACAGCAGTTACCGTTCCACAAGCAGTATCCGTGAGATCGATCTCATACCCTCTGATGCCGTCTACGACCTCCGTTGCATAGCTGAGAGAATGATCTCTTCTGGGTACTTGAGAGAGTGCATCCAGGTTTATGGTAGTGTGAGAAAAACTGCTGTTGATGGTAGTTTCAGAAGGTTGGGGATTGAGAAGCTTAGCATCGGTGATGTTCAGAGGTTGGAGTGGGAACAGCTTGAGGCTAAGATCAGGCGTTGGATAAGGGCTGCAAAGGTTTGTGTGAGGACCCTTTTTGCCAGTGAGAAGAAACTGTGTGAGCAAATCTTTGATGGGGTTGGAACCGCTATTGATGATGCTTGTTTCATGGAGACAGTTAAGGGTCCTGCTATTCAGCTTTTTAACTTTGCCGAGGCTATTAGTATAAGCAGAAGGTCACCTGAGAAGCTTTTCAAGATTCTTGATTTGCATGATGCTTTGATGGATTTGATGCCTGATATTGATGTTGTGTTTGATTCCAAGAGTTCTGAGACTATAAGGGTTCAAGCTGCTGAGATTTTGTCAAGGTTGGGTGAGGCTGCTAGAGGGATTTTGTCGGAGTTTGAGAATGCTGTGCTTAGGGAACCCTCTAAGGTTCCTGTTCCTGGTGGCACAATTCACCCTTTGACTAGGTATGTTATGAATTACATAAGTTTGATCTCTGATTATAAGGTCACTTTGAATGAGCTTATAGTGTCTAAGCCATCCACCGGGTCTAGGTATTCGGGTGATCCTTCTACACCTGATATGGATTTGGCTGAATTGGAAGGGAAGACCCCTTTGGCTGTTCACTTGATTTGGATCATTGTTATATTGCAATTCAACTTGGATGGAAAATCCAAGCATTACAAAGATGCCTCTTTGAGTCACTTGTTTATGATGAACAATGTGCACTACATTGTGCAGAAGGTGAGAGGGTCTCCTGAGTTGAGGGAGATGATTGGAGATGATTATTTGAGGAAGCTCACAGGGAAGTTCAGGCAGGCTGCTACAAGCTACCAGAGAGCAACTTGGGTGAGAGTGTTGTATTGTTTGAGGGATGAGGGGTTGCATGTGAGTGGAGGATTCTCTTCTGGGGTCTCAAAGAGTGCTCTCAGGGAAAGGTTTAAGGCCTTTAATGCTATGTTTGAGGAGGTTCATAGGACCCAAGCTGTTTGGTTGATACCGGATTCCCAGCTCAGGGAGGAGCTTAGGATATCTATTTCTGAGAAGCTGATCCCGGCTTACAGGTCGTTTCTTGGGAGGTTCAGGAGCCACATAGAGAGTGGAAGGCATCCAGAGAACTACATCAAGTATTCTGTTGAGGACTTGGAAGATGCTGTTTTGGACTTTTTTGAAGGAATTCCTGTTTCTCAGCACATGAGGAGGAGATCTCAATGAAAATGGTAATGGAGTTTTGCAACTTAGAAGCTAGGACATATTCTTTTAATTTTTTCCATGGAGCATTCAGGTAAGTGAGTGATGGCCAATCTGAGATTGCTCAAGCTCTTGAGTGCTCCATGATTTACTGCTACCATCTGGGATTCTCAGGAAAGAAAGATTCTCTAATCTTGTGCTGAACTAAAGATTGGTATGGCTCATTAACAGCCTAGTTGCTGGCTGGCTGGCTCACCTCGAATGCTGCTGCCTGTAAGCACGTTATTTGATTTTGCACCACATTCTAGATTTTGTTTCATTTGTTTATATTGGAATTTGTTGTACGTGTGTTTTTTTCTTTTTTCTTCTATTATTTCCTCTAAGCTCCAAAAAAGCTGTCTCTTTTGTAGCTTCAAATGACTTCTATACAATGTGATAGTTTTGGCACTAATAGATGCATTTTGGAATCGAAATCTTAGATTTAGCATTTGCCTTTGGGCACGTGTATCTTCTGTTTTTTCTTATATCTATCTGTAATAGATTCATTCATACGGAAAACAGAAGAATATTAGCTGAATGTACACGCACACAAGATGGGAATTGCTGATATATTGGCACTTTGGTGATAGACCTTGCTTCAATGAAGAATAATGGCAAATTTGGTTTGGTTAATGTGTGTTAAGTACACAGTCTTATAGCTCTTGGCAAGTAGGATCTGATTTGAACGCACCTCACTGTTTGTAATTGGCTGATCTGTGCTGGTTAAAGATGATTTTTCCTTCTATCTTTCGTGGACTAGTCACTAATTTTCTACTTATTTGAAGTGTGCTACAGTTTTGTTGAAAGGGTTGTGAGGCTCATTCTGGAAGAAGCCCAACTTCCTCTACTTGAATGGTAACCTTTGTTAGCATATTCTTATCCCTTTTAATGGACATAGGCCATAATTTCTTGTATTGGTGGTGTTGTTAAGTATTCCGATTTTAACTTGTCCCACCCAGGCATTTAAATTACCTTCAGTCTCTTATTTCCTCACTAGAAAGCTAGAGAAGAACTTTGGTTAGTAGTTCTTCAGGTTGTGAATTTTGGTAAGATTAAAAGGGTGTCACTAGTCAGAAATTCAGAATGAAGCAACAATATACATTACCTAACTTTTTGTATTTTAGTACTACAAAGGTGTCAATGACCTTGGGGAGGGTAGGTTTCTCCCTTCACTAGAGGGACTGCCTCATAAAAGTGGTGGACTACAATATTTATATACCACTTTAATTACATCACTTTTTGAATCACTTTCCGGTAAGCGTGAGTTTGTTTTTACAGTACACAAATAAGAGTGTATGAACTCAAATTTTGCAGTAAATAAGTAAGGGTTATATGAATGATTGTTGTCAAGACGATGGTTAAAGAATCCATAAATCGAAGATTTTTATTGAAAATCACAATAAGAAAATATTAATAATATTAAATTGCACTTTATTATAAAAATTTAGGACACTAATTAGCATTTCTAATGAGTGTAAAGGAAATGATATGTAAAGATCATTTAGCCATTTCCCTGTAGGTATATAGATTTTGAAGTTAGAAACAACCCAGAATTTCATGCAGTTCCGTGCTTATAGAGAGAATGTGGTTGGATCACCTAACATTTTGTTGCCATCTAGTTTTAGCTGTTAGCCACGAGCTTTGCTTCTGTGTAGATAATGTGGTTATGTTCAACTCAACATCATCAACAGGAAACAATTTCAGACACTACCAACGAAGCTTGGATCAAATCACTATTTTCAATTCCATATTTGCGTAGAAAATGGTCATATGTGAATGAATGAAAAAGAAAGCAATTGCTCAAAAATTATTTGACACACTATATACTATATAGTTTTAAATATAGATGGAATTTTATTTCCTATTTCTGAACATGGTGCACAATGACTACTAGCTATTTTTCACATAGCTTGTTATCTACGCGAAGCCACTCCTTGTGGTTACAAATGAAATCGTGCGAACAGTACATAGAAGTGTTGACGAGATAACTTGTTACCGAACATGTTCTTAACTTGGGAGGGGTTTTGGGTGAAACGTTGTTTTCCCTTTACCCCGAAATGGAAGAAAGATTAGAGGGTTCTAAAGTTAAGAATGAATATTTCATAGCAATTTTACTATCCGAATGTTAAGAAAATTACAGAAGGATCAATTAGTCCACAATCAATTAAGGTTACGTTTTATTTGTTTTAGTCAAAATAAAGTGTATGTTTAAATAACAAATTATGTCATCGCAAATAGTATTGTGTTAATATATAAACAAATTGCTGACGTTTTTTCTATTAAACAACTGTTTTCGCAAAGAAAAAAAGCAAATTCAAACGTGGACTGTCCTAAAAGTAAAATAGCTATTAATACGCAAATAAACGTTTGGATTCATTGTAAACAATAATAAAAGAAAAGGTTCGATTATTCAATTCGATATAGTTTGTCATTGATAAATCAACTCAACTCTATCTTTACGATGAAACAATGTCCTCTCCCTTAAACTTTAGTGTAAAAATAAAACTAGAAGATCCATGGATCAAAAGATCATGTATATCAATCAATACTGAATAGTAAGATAATAAATACATGCTATACAGCTGGAAACTTGAAAACAAAAAAGTTCTCGCAAGTGTCCCCACATGTATGCTTGCAAGCACATGGATAAATATGCACATCTCATAATTGGAAGAAAATTCCCTTTGTATTAGTAAAAAGTGACTGAATTATACTCTTAAGCATTGGCATTACAGGAACACAAAGAACCCTATCATGTAGTCCAATCTTGTAAGGAACTGCATGCTGAAAAAGCATCAAGTGAGAACAATGACTAATGAGGGAAATAAAAGAATAAAAGGAGAAGTGTCATAGAGCTAATTTTTAGGATAAAAATGGAAGTACAGAATCAGAGCTAAATTCTAACTTATTCTATCTTGTCTTCTTCTAAATCATCATTTGAATTTCCGTTGCTGCTTTGCACTGGTCTAGCATCTGCCATATTTCGAACATCCTTTGAAGAAATAGGTGATGGTTTTATGAGTGTTAAAGTAGTCTCATCCCTATCAAACTCGTCGCTCCCATCATCACGGTAAGCATATCTGTCAAGAACAGAAATAAATAACAGTGAGATACAAATGATGTACATGTACAGAAAGCACAGAAGAAAGAGCTCATCTTGCTCTTGCAGGTATTGAAGAATAAAGATAGATGACAAAAGAACTTAAAGATGGAAGCGGGATTTTTACCGTGTTGAATTTTGAGATGGAGCCCAAAGAACACAGATAACACAAAGGAGAGAGTAAGACAGAACTTGCCAAAAGGCGGGGATGATCCAAGCATTCTGCCACTGCTCATTATATATATCATTTGATTTGAAGTAAAGCTGAAAGAGGAAGTAGAAAAATAAGAATTTGAAATATCTAAAACTGATTGATGTATTAAATTAATAAGCAAGCCATTGAAAATAAAATCTTTGTAGCACATTTTCTGGTGTTTCGATCAAAACTTAACAGTTTATTTTAATTTGTGTATAGCATGTAAGTCCACTGATTGCATAGACCAATGATCTCAACTCAACTATGCCACCTAGTTAACATACAAAGCACTTGAAATGTGTTTCAGGCTGTGGATTACCTCATAACATATCCAGCCCACAGATACGATCACAGCTACTGCTAAAGCATTAGTGAATTTCCTATAAATATCCAATTTTATCATCATCCTTCTGGCCTGTAACAGCGTATAAACAGAGCAGGGTCAAATTTAGATAGTTATACTAAATACATGACAAAGGGAAGTGCCATTCATCACATTAAGTGATGCAGCATCACATCAGAAGTCTAAGATAATCAGCCTAACTTGTACAAGAAAGCTACAAAGCAGAATAGGATTTGAGGAATAAGATCGTCAGGGTCTTATCCTTCAAGCTTGGAAAGGAAGTCCCATTATTTACTAAAAAAAATAATATTATAAATTGGCCATTAATTGTTATTTTCTTGCAAAAATATCATAACACACCAGGAAAAATATCAAGCATGAAAAATACAAACTATTGCATGTTTCATGATTACTTTTAAGTACATAACTCAATGCAGCCTATCTGTCAATACTCGATACATCTTGATTTATTCATTATAAATGAAACCATAAAATTTTATTACAATTCACTTCTGGAGTCTCCTGCTGGATAAATATATTGCAAATACTTCCATTTTGTATATATTTCCATAAAATTCAGAAAACATATCATAGTAATACCCTTCCTGCCAGCTGCTACCAAGTACTTTAAATAAACACTAACGGATGAAAATTATGAATAGCAAGCTACTAAAGAAAGTAAGAATTTTGTAGCCCTGCAGGTGTCCCAACTATATGAAAAAACTAATGTATATGAGACAGAAAAAAAAGCTCATGCGATTTTCACAAAATAAACAGTATTGTGACGACTCTTGCAGATGAATTACCTGAAGCTTATTTAAAGTTGCAGATAGTGAAGTGAAAATCCAAAGAATGAAGAACACATCCAATACTGCAGCTGGAAGAACCAAAAACAATTTTGCCTTTCCAGAAAGATCACTTACTGCACCAACATTTTCTACCAATTCAAGAACTTCAGATGCAAGAAAGAAGGTTCCTCCAAGCATAATCACCTTTGATGTGAGCCCACCAAGGGTAGGTCTGACAACACCATAGCCCATTGAAACCATCAAAATAATCAAACGTGCCACTGTCCGCTTAACAGTCCCAAAGGTGACTGCCCATATGGTGGTCCCAGTTGGCCTGATTCCAATCTCACTGAATTCAGCATAGTCAAAGTACCACAGAGCCATTTCAAACATCCCCAGAGTTATCACTAGGGTAACGCAGTTCTGCAGTGGAAATACTTCCCTCCAAAATCTAGCATATTGAGAGAACCAAAAGATTCCAAGCAATACATACGCAAAAGACATGAATTGGTAGAAGATTTTCATAGGTGCCATCCTACCTGGCAGATAACCAGAGGGATTTTTCCATACAGTTTTCCCCTCCACAACCAATTCCTTAAGTCTCGTATCACAATGGATGAAATACAAGTTATACATTCCAGTTTTTGTGATTTCTATAGATTTCAATGGCAGCACCGCCATTTCGTCATCCATGTCAAAAGAGACACCAAAAACTTGAGGCCAATCCGAATTCTCTGCAGAAGGGCGGTGAATGACCTGTCCTTCTTTGCACACACCAAGTTTTGCTAGATCACTAGTGCAACAGACAGCCCTCTGACCCCCATAGGCTGAACCACCAATTGTCTCTCTATCTTCAACTTCAAAAACAACAGCTTGAATCGGCCATGAGCTGAAGTTAGAAAATTCCTTGTTTCTACGAAATGTGACCCTCTCAAACCTGATTTTCATATTACAACAGCAAAACCCAATCAACAAAACAACACCAAACACAGTTAACAAAACAAAACAATGACTACCACTAACAGTGGCATATAAGAAACATATCATGCTTTGACACTCACAGCCACAAGAAAAACAATTTTCACCAAACTTGTAGACCCTAGCAACTTTACTTTTCAAATCTGAGAAGTAAAATCTTACACTTTACATATTGAAGTAAATTGAGCACATCTACCACAAATTACAATAATTGCTACATTTTACCATTCCTCTCACACAAACTACACTGAAAGCTGTGCGCAAAAATTCAACAAACATGCCAAACACGTCAATTACATTTCTTTCACATATATATAGATATAAGACAATTCTGAATCTGGAGTGGTTGCCCAACAAAATCCAATGAACAAAAACCTTAAAATGCAAGTGATTTAATGGAAGTGAAGAGAAATGACCGTATGTAAGAGTCGGCATCAGTAGCAGTGTCGTTGAGATTAGGGGCAGAAGAGTAAATTCCTTCGCTGCCCCCATGAACGACAAAGGCGTTACCTTTGGCAGAGAATTTCTCACCCCTGTAATCGTGAACCGAAGCTTCGGTGCAGAGAGAAAACAGCAACAGAAACGCGAGAATCCACATCCCACACATTTTAGAGAGAGAGAAAGAGGGTTGTGGATCTACGGAGGATGTCACCACTGAAGATTGGGGGGGTTTTTTGTCTGAACTCGGAACTGTCAAGTGAGAGAAGATGAAAAAAGAGTGAGAGCTTGTTGAGATTGAGGTTCTATACCAGAATACTCACTCTGTTCTTCAGTTTGGTTTAACTGAGGTTAAGACTTAATCAAGAGGCAGATCAGTGAAATGGAGGATGATTATGGGAACAAAAATGCTAGCAAAACATTTTTTAAGGAAACAGGCAAGGTGTTTTTTTTTTTTTTTTGTACTTTTTAATATGTTATTTATTTTCTAAAAATTAAAGTACTTATTTTAGAAATTAATTTTTAAACTTATTGTAATTTTTTTAAAATAACCAATTTCAAATTTGCAATAGATTTAAAAAGAGGCGCAGTATAAGTGTAAATATAAATCACCACCGACCGCATTACCTGGCCTTCATGTAATGTACCGACACTTAGTATTTGATTTTCTGCTTGGAATTTGGACAAAAAGTTATAAGATTTTAGTTTTAATTTTTAGAATTTTTTTTAAATGATATATAAACAAGAAACGAGTAATGAGATCAATGAAAATTAATTGTATGAACATAATACAGTATATGGTCATATGGGACTAATTAAAAAAAGAATTTTGAGTTGGAAGTCAAATGTGAGGGGAAAACAGCTGGCAAACCGTTGGGCTTGGCTTTTGATATTCTGAATTACCACACCAAATATGGTATTTGGGTAATATGAGATTAGTATATTTACTAATTAAAATTTTATTATAAAATTAGTTTGATGTACGATAATTTAATTTCTCTTTCTTTTTTGGTAGATGACAATTTAATTTCTATGGTATGCTTTATTTTAACTGAATAAGTATTTCCTATATTACCGACTGTATTCTCCCGCATTTTTCTTGTTCTTTTGTTGGTGCAGAGAATGACACTCGAGTGTCGGTGTCTATATTATTAATGGTAAAAAAGAAAACTAGTAGCTTTCGTACCTTTTTATTTATTTATTTGCAATGATTATAATTTCTTTTAAGTAGTAATGTTATCACTCTTAAACAGCAAAGGACATGGCTTAAAAAGTCAGTATTATTATTATTATCTATAAAAACAGACATTTAGGAGTGATGATTTTTCAAAGTGAACAAGGGTAGGTGTTGGAGTCAATAATAATTTGATGCGATATAATATTTTTTATGTAAACATGTGCATAACTTCCACAAGTAAGTTGCCACTGCGATAACTGCAAACCATTCTACCTCGTGAATTTCTGACATTTAGTCAAATGAAGTAGTTAGATTACATCACGACTATGGATAGTACTATATTGTGCCACCTCGTTTTTAAGGTTGCAAAATCAATGAACTTAAAACATACCCATTATTTGACAAAAAAGAAAATGCTCATTTTGAATAATTAGAAGCCTTTCATTTCCAAATCAGAATGTTGTTTATGAACTGAAATCATGCTATATTAATTGACAATTTTTAAAAGCAAATGAATAATAGTATTGATTCCACGGGCTAATATTACAAAAGAAATTTCAATAGTATTCACCCTTCCCATGAAAGCCAACAACATTTAGCAGAGAAATACAGAACAAATAACTGAAGAATAGCCGCTATTAATATTTGCGGACGGAGAGAAGGGTGAGTGAGGATTGATGGAGAGGTTGACTAGTCCAAGTCAAGGAATTCCATTCTTTTCCTCATAGTCCCTTTCAGATCTGAAGCCTCCCTCTCTGCTTTCTGTGCCTGAAAAATCACAGTTCCAGTTCAAAATAGTACATTTATCACAAGTCTACAAAAGTGGATCATCTAATTCCAAATTATAATAGAAAACCAATGGACCCAATACAAAAATTAGTCAAACCCTTCAATCATAAGAAATAAACAGTCTTGATCAAGGCTAATACGACCACTAGAGCTTATCAAGCATGTGTCGCTTATACAAGTAAATGATACAACATGACTTAAAATTGGGGAGACAGCTATCTCTTCAAAAGAGTGTTCATAATATTTTCATGTAGTGATGTAAAATGGGCAAGTAGTTTTAGGATTTTAATTTTCAAATTAGTGGTTCAATTTAAAACTATTTGTTATTTAGAGTTTTTATCTTATTTCAGTATAAACTGTTTATCTTATTAGGATGTCCGGTTATGTTGGGTTTATAAGTAAAGCCTCAAATAAGTCCTCGAGATTGTAAGGGTTCAGCATTTTAGCATCTACAGTTTTAAAAATATTTTTAGTCCCTAACAAAGGGTTGGTTTTTCAAATGAGGGACTAAAATGCCCAACTCATACAATTTGAATTAGTAGTTTACTTGTTTATAAATAGGCCATCAAGCGTTTGCAACATTTTTCTGCGTAATTATAATATTGAAATTTCCTTTTCTTCCTAGAGTATTTGAAACCATCATCAGAGGAGTACTTTGCCCTATAAGTGTACTATAGGCACAGCCAGGAAGAGACAGGTCTGGAAAGGCTTATCACAATGCAACCAAGTTATCATACAAACATGTACAGAAAGAAGACAATTCCAAGGACATCCTTACTAACTCAATGAGCAAGAATTAGATAGGCAGAATTCATACGTAAGTACTTTTTTTTGGAGGCCCATCCAAATGCACCCTAAGCCTGTCCACTTTTCTAGTTCATCATCATATAACTTGCCATTATTTCCCAGTCAAGGTAATTTACCAAACAAATAGTAGATATCAGAAACAAAAGTACACAATTTGTTTTATTCACATGTGCTTTCATGATGAAATCAAGGTTTGCAGAGAAAAGTAGGAAAACAATGAAATTACAACAAGCAGCACCTTGACAATGAACATCCAGGTCACAAAATAGTATTTTCTTTACTAAAGTAAGGAAAGAATAAGAGACAGAAAATAGCACAAGGAAAATTAATTAAATAAAAAAAAGTGTCAGTGTATAGGAATGTTTACCCTCTTGATTTCTGCTGTAGAAACACGTGTCATGTGTGGGGGAAGTTCCTCCCTCTCCAAGTCCTAAAAGTTGAAAGACACATGATTGCAAAACTAAGATTGAAAAGAAAAATATTTTTAGAAGCAAAGGGAAATAATTAGTTATCATACCAGCTCACCAATTAGAACAACATTTTCCCCGCGGATCACATAGAGACCCAAAGGGATGTCACAATACAGATCACCAACAATAACCCTCTCACAGGCACCCTCAAGAACAGCATTAGCTGCATATGTTGATGGGAAATTTTAGAAAATCAATCTATAGCATGTCAAAGTTTTACATAATCAGAGGAGAAGTCGGTACCAAATTGATCAAATGAACGAAGTGTCCCCATGAGCTTTCTACCATCTCTCAGCAATACAAGAAGTTTCTCTACAACAACAAACAGTGTCAGGCAATAAAAATTAGTGCAAAATATGAAATCACCTTCAACTCCATTGAAAACTCAGAACAATTTACCACTTCCAAATGGTTTTCACTGCTTTTGAACAATATCTAGCCTAAATCCCTTTCAGAAGGACTCGTAAGCTAGATATGCCAAAAGCAATGTAACATATAAAATATTCAATCCCACAAATTACAATTTGAAAGCAATATCATCTGCATCCTTAGTCCACCATAACATAGCATCTTCTTATGTGTTCACTTTAGCAGAAGCAACTATAGTTTTCTGACATTAGCAAGTATAACAACTAATTGGTACTACCAATGGATACTGGATATTACGGTAGAATCAAGGAGATAACACCAAGTAGAGTGGGTAACAAAGATTCATGGAATTGAAATTGAAGGAAATAAAAGGTCAATCATTGGGATTTTCCTTTGGCTTTACCATACATGTTATAAATGCATCATATGATCATATAACAAACCAAACATGTCTATTTGTTTCCATGTTCCACGGGTCCTCACAAATTCTAGTTCTTAATTCATAGAATCTTGGATATCAAGCATATTCTCGATCTTATTACCATTTATAATTTTTACTTTCATACATTTAGCAACTGAAGATTATCATTATCACTTCACAATCACATTTGAGCTATCTGTCACTACTCATTCCCCTAATGACATCTTGGAAGCATGAAATCTTCTTCTATATGCATAGCCTCGTAACAGAGGCACACAACTCATCTACTATCAGTTGAAAGCGTGTCCTTTCCCTTCCCTTAATGAACATTGAATCACCACCAGCTTCGGCAAAAACAATGAACAAGTTGAACAATAAGTAAAAGAAAAATAAAAAATCTCACATATTAACTTCTTACTAGTGTCCAACCAAGTTCACAACTTTTAAGCAGCAAAAAAATTATCCATTACACAGAGTAAATAAACATAAAAAATTCAAGTGTATGTCAATGAGAGAGAGAGAGCTCACTGTCAAGATAGCTAGCAAGTGAAGTAGAAAGGTAGATATCCTCAGGGCCTGCCCAAGACATTGTGCTTTTTCGGTATCTCAAAAACCACCGAAAAATTATCCACTAACCACACCAATGGCATTGCCAGCACCAATTCAACCCTTCTATTTCACCCCCAATCACTTCAACTTCAATTTCCAATTCCAAAAGACACGTTTTTCCCTAAATCAACGGAACTAAGAGACCTCAAGTTTCAGATCGAAATCGCAGAAGATGGAATAAAAGGGGTGTCTCCCAGAGATCCAATCGCAGCGGAATAGCGGAAAGAGAGAGTTTTTTAAAGGGAAAGTGAGAGAAAATGTGGGAAAGTTTGGGAGAAACAAAAGGGGGGTATTTTAATTTTCTAGGGTTTGTAGATTGAGATTTGGGATAGGGAAGCAGCTGCTACTTCTGCCATTCATATTATTATTGGGTTTGGTGTTTGTTTTGGACCCAACTTTAACCATCAAATCTATCTTTACCTTTCTGCGGGCAAAATCAGTGTCTTCATTTTTAAATTTTAATTTAGGTTTTAGGTGGATTTTTCAATTTTTTATTTAATATTTTAACTTTTTATTTAATATCAAGTTTTTTGTTATCAACATTTATTATAATAGTGTTAGGTTTTATTGTTAATTCATCAAAGTTTTGAATTACTCTGTCAAAATAAATAATTATTTCAATTATACAACTTTTGATTTTATTTTGTCAGGACTAAGATTTTGTTAAATTATGAGTTTTTGACAAAAAACAAAGACACCCATAAAACTCAGATAATTGTTTTCGTTTAATGAGTAAAAACTTGTATAGTCATATTTGCTTCTTTTCTTTTACAAAAGAAAAAAAAAAGAAGCATATTAAGTACTTAATTTATGTAGTTTACTTGAAAACACTTAAGAAATATGAAAATATTAATTCATGAATTAATATTAAGTAATTAGTTCAAATTTTAAATTTATGGATTAAAAATATGTAAAAAACCCAAAATAATTTTCATTGACATAATATTAAGAAATATGAATTTATATGAAAATATGAAAACATTTAAGAAATATGAAAATATTAATTCATGAATTAATATTAAGTAATTAGTTCAAATTTTAAATTTACGGATTAAAAATATTAGATTTAAAACAGTAAAAAACCCAAAATAATTTTCATTGACATAATTTATAGTTTTAAAATGTTTCTTTTATCGAGATCTATAAAAGCTTTAAATATTTCTGTATAAGAAAACAAAATTTTAAAACTTAAATAATTATTCAAACGAAATAACTTAAATTTTGATGAGAATAAAATATAATACTGTTTAATAGAAGTTAATGTAACTTAAATAATTAAATCATAAAAAGTTTTAAAAAATAGAAAATTTTAACAGAGAAATAATTAAATGATTTTAATTAAGTATTTGCTGCCATTATGGGAGTTACGGTCCAACTCTAACACAAACTCAAAGGCAGAAAACATCTATAAACTGTATCAATCATCACATTAGTGTTGGAATTTCTTTTTAATCAAATTATACTACTTGCAAGGTTTGCCTGATATTTGCGATATTTATCTGAATATCTTTTGACTAAAAAAAGCTTAAATTTGCTAGCATGTTCAATGACGGTGCAACAGAACAACATCAAATATCTATCTATGATAGTGACTATTATTCATTTCCAACATGTTACAAGGAGAGTAAATGACGAAGTGGAGTAAAAAAGGATGAGAAGTGTTGTGTGAAGAGTGTACAGAATATCTTTGTCATTACAGATCAGAAATCTTAAACCATTGTGAGATTTCCACAACATGAATTGCTCCGCAATCCGCAGACACAACCATGAAAAAAATAACGGAAAGAACCGTTAATAAAACAAAGATACTGCTCTGAAGTATGCACCACTCATTTCTTGGTACATATCATGGATAAACTTCATTTCAAAAAATGTGAGCTCCACTCCCTACCCTCCAATATCATGTACATATATTATCTTGTGACTTCTTGCTTGAACCTGAGATGAAAAAGAAATTTTCAGTTTGCAAATTTAGTATTATGAAATTGACATCCTATAGCTTATATAAAGTTGAGTTTAAACATTTAAGAGTAGTAGATTTTTATTAAAAAATAATGAAAGTATAAATTCAATGAAAACTTACTACTTTGGAATGCTTAAACACGATCTAAAAGTTTAAGTTAACAAAATTGAAAAACTAATTATCAGATTAAAAAAAAAAGACTAGGACTATCCCTTATTCACAATCTTTAGTAGCTCACCTGATTATTTGCTAAAAGGGCTAGTAAAAATATAGGGCAATTTATATCTCTAGAACAATATCTGCAAGAAGAAAAAGGGGATCTGATTAATCATAGCCACCTATGAAAGAGAGTTTGATTTCTGCTGTGAGATGTGTATGAATGTCAAAATGAAAGAACTTACATTCAGAATCAGTCTTGACCCATTTACAGCCATCATCAGTTCTCTCTTCTGATTCATCCCCATTCCTCTTTCTTGTTATTCTCTTGTCTTCTATGCACTTCTTCATCAAAGATGCACGAGAAGAATTTTGGGTGCATATTTTCTTGTGAAGAATTGTCCTCAAAAGCTGTATATTTTACATCACAAGTGAGTAAACTAAAACAGAGAAATTGGAGTAGCACATAGCAAGCCATTTAAAAAGGTAAATTGAAAGGTTAAGAGAAAGTGGACTATATCTCAAAACAAATGGGTACCTTCTCCATTCTTGACTCTTGAAGGGTATCTCTAAGGCTAGGTGTTGGAGCAAATCCACTTCTACAAACAAATATCTTCTTCAGAAGGAAAGAAAGAGATTTCTTTCCAATTGCTTTCTTTCTGTTATCTGTACAAATGTCTTTGCATTTATCAAGTATGACACTAAGTGTTTTCTCAAGATCTTCTTCTTTATCATCTGATTCACTGCAAAGTGCATTGCTGATCCTCCTATCAACCTCTAAGCTTGAAGGGCAATTAAGAAATCTGTCAAGAGGAAGCTCAGAAATTTCCTTTTCCACGTTTGGTTTTCGTCTTAGAAGTTTTGTTAACTCCTTTTGTAGCTTCCCAATTTCTTCAGGAGTGAAGTCTGCTATTTCCTCCGATGAGGATGGATCCTCTTGTGTATTTTGGTTATCTAAGTTTTCTTTAATTTCATTGTTATTTCCAAATGTTCCAATTGCCAGTAAACCATGAGGCCAATCACTGAATTCTTCTCGAGGCTCTTGTTTTGCATGATCTGTACACACAACCAAAGGAAAGCATTATAAGGTTCCCAAAGAATGGGTTAATTAATGTTATCCAACTGAAAGTTTATAAATACACTTAGCTAAGTTAACCTCGGATCAAGTCATATTATCAGGATGCCAACTTGTTAGCAGATAGTGGGGTTTGTTTATAAATCAAAGTTATGGGAGAAAACAATTTTAAAAAACTACTAAAAGCTTCCATCTTAAAAAATAAATAATTGTTAAATATATAAATACCAATTTAACCTTTGAAGTTCTTAATATCCCTATATACGAGATACCTTTGATATAAATAACCTTATTTTATATAGTCTTTTGTTTGATTGGAAATTATGCAAAAAGAAAATGAAGTGATAGAGAGAGAAATATGTAAATATATTGTACATATAAACATGTCTTCTCCCTGTCTTTCTCTATATGTTTGGGATTCTCTTATCCTTCCTTCAAAGAGAAGTAACTGTGTGTTTTTATGTGTATAAGACAATGAGAATTCTTACATCTTATTGGTGCTAGAAAAACATCATGCATTAATACAGGGAAAAACTAGCCAAATAGTATGAAGACTTACATGTAGTAGTAGTATGTGTATTTGGTTTTCTGTTGTCTTGTTTTCCACCAAGTTTATTTTGCATCCAGCTGAGGAACTACAAGTGATGAAAACATCCCAATTATATTACAGCAACACTTTTCTAACACTAAGTTAACATAACAATTGCTCAGGCAGACAATGAGAAGATCACTTACCTTCATTGTGGGAAGACTAAGGTGAAGGATAGGGGGGATGAATGAGCTTAGAGTGCATAAGCTGAAAGTACCAGCTAGCAATAAATATATAAAGTGAGGAGAAAAAGGTCGTAATGATGGTTGGATGATACTGACAGTGAGAGAGAGAGAGAGAGAGAGAGAGAGCTAGGTGCCAGGTGTGGGAATGGTAATGGAGGCACTTTTTAACTAGTAACTAATAAAGTTCCTTGAGAGCAGATCTTGAAAACCAATGAGGGTTGAGCTTTGGGATTAGAAAACTAAGATGAGATTTTATGAATTTCATGGCCAAATTGAGTGTAACCTGATTTTTCTTTTGCATCAAGTGCCCAAACATGACCTTATTCACCTACTATACTACCCTTCCTTCCTTCCCAATACGTGTCTTAGTTTCTGACCAAATATGTCCCCTCATTTATTCATTCCATTGTTAAAATTATTATTATTTAATTTATTATTTTATACCCTTATCCTACACACACATATATAGCATAAAAGACATTCCCTCTTATTATTCTTATTATTACTTCGTAATTCGTTTGAGTTCTCTTCCTTTATAAACTACACATGGTTGAGAATATTTTTGCCGGGTATTGCTGAGTTAGGATATTGTGTGTCATGGTTTTAACCATTAGATCACAGAAATGCTGATCTTTATAGGATTGGAGTGAGAAATGTGGAGCTAATCTCTATACAATCTTAATAGTAGATTCACGAAGGAATACACTATCAACATCAAGAGATCATTTAAATGCTTAAGCATATTATAATTTGATGGTGTGCATTCATTTAATTGGGAACGGATTAACATTTATTCTCAATAAACTAAAAAAAAGATTATAGAATCACCTCAAATACTATCTATATATGAATCTTATTGTGTTCAAATTTTCAAAAAGAAGTTAAAGAAACATGTATATCAGCAAAAAAAATATATGAAATTCCTAACGTAGTACAATATCACTACAATTATTTAGGCTTCTATGTTCCACCAATACTAGAATATTACTCAATTTTCGTACCACGAAGCTACAATTTCGCACATAGTCTTGGTCATGCGGGTGTGGTTGCATATCATATCACAAATGTACTAGCAACCATTAATATAGTAAAATTTGTACTCTGATATGTTTCCATAATAGATATTTTCCTAACGTGAAATGGAAAGGGCATGTGTCTTGGAAATTGAAGGGCCAATCTTGTTTGAAGAGTGTGTGTAAAAGGAGCTATTTTCTTTAGCAATTCACTATTGTGATTTGTAATTAGTTGGGATAAAAACAAGAGGAAAAAGACTAATGTAGTTTTGTTGATGAAATAGGTGTTGAAACTTGTGGCACACATGGACACTTGATTTAATCTTAGTCCAAACGAGGCATGGGCGGCCAAGAAAAACAACTCAGAGAATAAGGAAGAGCACCAACACTTGCATGGGAATGTCTCACACTTACCAGACCAATTCCTGGATTTCACCTGCCCCAATTAACTTTTAATGCAAAACTAGAATTACAAGATTTGAAGTAATGTACAACATGAATGATTCCAAAGACATGACCTGTGACAATTGTGAAAAGTGCTATAATATTCCTTCAGACAATCACAGTATAGTGACACCTTGTCCATGCTAGCTAGAACACTGCTTCTCTTTTGGTTTGATATATATTTATCGCTTGTTTTTGTTCCATTTTTTTTCCTTAGGTTCTTGTTTAAAACTCGGTTCCTCTTTAATTTCCATCTTGTATATGCACAAGAAAACTTGTAAATCTGATATTATGTTTGTTTTGAACTTTGTTAGAATTGATTTTGAAAGAATTTAATGTTAAAATTGGAAAAAAGTGATTTATCTAAAATAATTAATTTTGTGTATCACAGAATATATTTTGTAATATCAAAATTCATCCAAAACCACAGACGTCATAGTGCAACACTCACTGTCTAATTTTGTATGTTTTAACCTTAATTATTCTCGAAAAACCTGGTTGAACTTAATTAAAACCGGAAATTGTCTAATATTATTCACGACAGAGTGAAAGATTGGCACTTGACAGTGTCCTCATAACAGCACGCACAACACGAATTGTTTTTCATTTGTTATAGAACAATAGATATATACGTACTATATATTTAGTACATGCATGTGTTTTAAAAGATTTTCACAAATCTTCAATACTAATTAAGATACTAGAAAATATTGGTGACTGAGTCATTACGTTATTGACCTTAACATTGTCATTACAGATATTAATTACAAGTTTTCATTATTTTCTTTTCTTAATTTTTTGTTAGAAATTATGAAATTAAGAAGGGCATGCATCCCAATACCACCATCCTGGCATTGCGGCAGATGGTAATTCAACACTGTTCCCATAATCTTCTGTCGGATCAACGCGTGTACGAAAGGGTTCAGGTTGACTCCTTGTACTTTCTCTTTTCCTCATATGAATATCCTTTCATATATCTTGTTCTCTACTTCCAACAATTATTTTACTTTGCCCCTGTCAGATTTAAGCATTACTTATGCACACAATTGAAGATATTAATTTGTTTTTTTAATTTCTTACAAATGTTTCGAAAAGTATTTCAATGGCTCCATGAAATAGAATAAGCTATTTTTCAAAATAAAATTGATTAAAAATATTATTTACCTTATGACGATGATTGTGAATAGCTTTAAAATGTATTAGTAATTAAAAAATATTGAAAAGTTAAGTTGATAAAAGTTAATTATAAAAAAAGTAGGTCTATTTATTAGTTTTCTACTTTCCATTATTACTGAGTTAACAGTGGATGTTAAAGTATGTTACGACAACTTATCTCATTCATACAATGAATAAACGGTTGCCATAACCAAGGATGGCTATATTGTAAGGTGTTAGATAATAAAAAAAACTTATATTGATGGATTAATAAATAATAATAAATTAAAGAGTATATAAATAAGATTGTTACAATTCTAAATAATTAAGATATTTTTAGACAAGCAAACAGCTCAAACTTAAAATTTATTATTTTCGTACTCATATGATAGAGTTTAGCTTAAAAAGTCCAAAAAAATAAAAGATTTGAAATAAAAAAAATAAAAAATTAGATCAACATTAAAATAAACTCAAGAGAATGAAGGATAAGTCTTGGCAATTAAATTTTTAAACTAAGATAGAGATTCAAATTTAAAATCATGAGTAACAAATTAAAAAATCTATGAGTAATATATCTACAAGTCTAAAGAGGCAAGTTTTTAAAATAAGTAGATCATTCAAACTTAAAATATTATGTTTCTTAATCTTGAATCGTGTTTAAAAATTCAAAATTTTAATATAAAGCAGTAATAAGATATAGTAAATAATATTTTTATAGTTATTTTGATTTAACAATTTAAAGACGTGATATAATTAAAACAAACATTTATTGGTAAATAAATTAAAGAATCTAAAGAGAAAAAAATAGAAAAATATGAATTATTTTAATTATTTGATAAGATAGTAACTTTTCCAGTGTAAAATGGTATGAGGAAACACTCTACAAACGTAATTAATTAAATATTATACATAAAGTATGTGTTGCATATATCAAAATGCTTCGTCGCCTACTTTTTGTCAACAATTATTATAATCCATTGTGTTGAGAAAAAGAATAAATTATTGTTATAGCATGTTAACCAAACGTGATAATTAAATTAAACATAAGCACAATTTCCTTGGTTAAATGTTTTGTGATGTTATTCTTGCAATGCAATATATAGCATAATGAAATAGATAGGGTGCAAATGCGAGGTGGTTTTAGTTAATCTAAATCCTCTGATTGGTGAACACAGTTCTTACAGAACCTATATGCAAAAACGTGCATGCCATCCCTAACCACAAACGCCGTACTATAAGCACGTTTACACTGCTCATCCTCATATTCAACCATTCAATGTAATTTATACTATGAGTTGATCATTCCTCTATTGATATATATTATCGATTCCAAAAACAATCAATCCCACTTCATTTAAAGTCTAAAAATGTTATAAGAATAATGAAGTTGTGAAAAAAATCTTGAAACTTAAAAGAAAGAGTATGTCAGCGACTACGTCACAAGATTCATTGACGAGTGTAGAGGGTAGAATTATTCCTCGAGATGCATGGAAGGGAAAGGAGCTTAAAAGAATCACTTAAACCAAGCATATAAAAAATAAATAACTTTGATCAATGAGATACAAATACAACTTTAGTTATAATTAAAAGGCAAGGAAGTAGCCCCCACTAGGAGGGGCACGTGGGGTATTGAAACTACTAGATGCATGGAATTTGGCAATGGATACCAAAGTAGAGTAACATACAAGACGGCTTGCTAATTCTGGAAACCTATGCACATCACCCCATAATAAAAGTAATCGATTGAACCTTTGAAGTCGTGGACTTGTATCCACCAGCCAACTAGTGAATGTGATCATTATATTTTGACTAAGTTAATAACTTTGATACATAAAACAGTAAGCAAATGTTTATTCGTTATCTTGTTTGCAACAGAAAGCCCCTCGAACCTCCAAACCCTCACCAATCCGGGAATTGGGACCATCAAAGTAATCAAATGGTGACCCCTTGTAAGCTTCCCTCTCTAAAACATAAGATCCTCCATACCTGCCCTTGAATTAGGACCTTGTTTGCCAATCGACATTCTCTCACACATGCATTAGGATTTCTAACATTTTTTTCTTTTCCAAAGAAACTTGATTGTTTTCTGCATGTTTCATTTATAACAATTGTATTAATATACTAAAACAATACACCAATGAGCTAACTTTCAAAAATTACAATTCATACAGCCTCAAGCTAGTTCGACAATATTTGTATTAAATTATAATTTTGAATGTGACTCAAACCATTTAGTAGGTTTAGCTTAATGGGCCAATCAAACATTCTAATTAAAAACGCTCCAAAACTTTGTTTGAGTTATTTGTGACGTAAGATTTAGACAAATAATATTTTTTTATCTTTAATTCTGTTTCTAATTATGTTAGTGGCAATATATATAGTTGTTTAAAAACATGGTTCGTTTTTAAAGGTGTCTTATAACACTATAATCTTAAAGATTATAGTCAAACCTACTCATAATACCCGTGAAGGAATACTGTGTAAAAGAGGTAGAGTCTCCATGTAAACACGGCTTTTTTATTTAAATAATACTTATTTAAAAACAAATTCTTAAAATAAAATTTATTCTAAACTATTTCTTTGTCTGGGGCTTTTTTTTGCCAAATCAGCAGCGGTATCGCACATGCATAAACGATAGTAAATTTTTATTATTATTTTAATAGAGTATCGTTCCAATATTACCGATACTACACCAAAAATTGACACCTGTCAAAATCGAATGAGTATCGGACAAAATGAAACGATAACATATTTTTATTATTATTTTAATATATTATCGTCGTCCAGCATTCGAAATTCATGTTTTTTTAATCAATTTTAATACTATCGTTACAGATTAACCGATACTCATTTTTTATTATTATTTTAATATTTCGCCAAAAAAATAGAAAATATGACTTCTTAGAGCGGTTCCTTATGAACCGCTCTCATAACTCTATTTTAGAGAACGGTTCATAAGGAACCACTCTCATAACTCTACTTAAGAGAGCGGTTCATAGGAACTGCTCTCATAACTCTATTTCAGAGAGCGATTCATAATGAACCGCTCTCAAAAATCATGTTTTTTTTATTAGAAACAATCAATTAAGTAAATTATTATGGACGACAAAATTATCTTTTTAAGTATTTATTATAATTGAATTAATCAGATTCAAACTTTAAGTTGTATAGATTCTAATAATCTAATTTTTTTTTTACAATATCATTTGTTTATTTTTATTTAAATTTAATTTTGTTTAATTATAAAATTTAAATACACAACATCAAAAGTCATGTTTTTTTTATTTAAATACAGTCATGAGAGCGTTTCATAATGAACAGTTCTCAAAAGTCATGTTTTTTTATTTAAATAATACTTTTTTAAGGAACCGCTCTAGTTTACGATTCGACACATGGCATATTTATTTCTGTTTTCAAAAATATTTTTCTTTTTTCTTTTTCAAAATGAAACTATTTTACAAGAAAAAAAATTGTAACAAATATTGTGTTGCTAACTTAAAAATATGGTGATACACACTTTTATAAATAATTTAGAACTTACAAAATGAGAGTATTTTTATGAATTTTTTTTTCTATTAAGCTGCATAGGTTCTTTTTTGAGGTTAGACAACAAGTATTTTTTTTTGTTATTTGATTCAATCGTATTAATTTTGTTATTTCGTCTAATTGGTATAGTTGTAAATTCAAATTCAGTATCATCCAATTACCTACAAAATTAGAACATATTATCATATATAATAAATATAATACAAGCTAATTCAAAATACCAAATATCTTATCATATAAATCAGTTGTTGCAAGTTTAATATATATATATATATATATATATATATATATATTTCAATGAATAATTTAAAATTAAAATAAATTACAAAAGTTATATTGTAATATTGTGTGAAATTTCAAACTTTAAAAATTAATTTTAAATTAAGATTAAAATAAATTTTAATTTGATGTTGTGTATTTAAATTTTAAAATTAAACAAAATTAAATTTAAATAAAAATAAACAAATGATATTGTAAAAAAAAAAATAGATTATTAGAATCTATACAACTTAAAGTTTAAATCTGATTAATTCAATTATAATAAATACTTAAAAAGATAATTTTGTCGTCCATAATAATTTACTTAACTGATTGTTTCCAATAAAAGAAATGACTTTTGAGAGCGGTTCATTATGAACCGCTCTTTGAAATAGAGTTATGAGAGCGGTTCCTTATGAACCGCTCTCTAAAATAGATTTATGAGAGCGGTTCATTATGAATCGCTCTCTTAAGTAGAGTTATGAGAGCGGTTCCTTATGAACCGCTCTCTAAAATAGAGTTATGAGAGCGGTTCATAAAGAACTGCTCTAAGAAGTCATATTTCCTATTTTTTTGGCGAAATATTAAAATAATAATAAAAAATGAGTATAGGTTAATCTGCAACGATAGTATTAAAATTGATTAAAAAAACATGAATTTCGAATGTTGGACGACGATAATATATTAAAATAATAATAAAAATATGTTATCGTTTCATTTTGTCCGATACTCATTTGATTTTGACAGGTGTCAATTTTTGGTGTAATATCGGTAATATTGGAACGATACTCTATTAAAATAATAATAAAAATTTATTATCATCTATGCATGTGCGATACTGCTGCTGATTTGGCAAAAAAAAGCCCTAAACAAAGAAATAGTTTAGAATAAATCTTATTTTAAGAATTTATTTTTAAATAAGTATTATTTAAATAAAAAAGCCTGTAAACACACCTATTCCATTACTTTCTATTCATTCAAGACATGACTCGTACTAATTTAAATATTTAAGTACCTTTTGGCTTTTGTAGATAACAACAATTTTCGTTCTACTTTTCATTTTGGCAATACAATGTTCTATTTTTCCTCCCGCACTTCTGGAAGTTAACTTCAGTCGTTCAGTGCAAAAAAGTTCCTCTTTTTAGTTGGATAAACCTTCACATTAAACTTCCAAAAATATAGTCAGACATTTCATTTTTTGTGATTTTAAAATCTTTCATTAATATTTGAGTTTGTAAAACTATATTTATTTTATTCATTTTTATTGTAAAATGATGATAAAAAATTAAAATAAATAATTTTTTATAAAATTAGTGATTAATATAAAAATAAAAATTTAAGAAGTAAAATAACTTATATTAAAGACTGACTTAAAGATTTTATTCTTCTTTAGTTGGATGGGAAATTTTCAAATGGTTAAATTACAATATTCTAAATATTTTGTCTCTCCATATTTTTCTTATATATGTATTTAAGAATGATATGTTTGAAGACACCTTTCGGGTGTATATATCAAAAGAGATAAGAACACAGAAGTAATAAATATTATAGATAATGTGATGTGAGAAAAAGAGTAAGACAGAAAAAGTTAAGCGATTTTACATGAGTGGTTACAATGTTAGGGTATTTATAATTTAAAAGTGTATATTAAAATTGTCCAAATCTTAAGACACATGTTGACTGTTTATGTTAATTTCTCCGGCAGTTGTTCTTTTACGTTTTTTTTTTAAAAATAAATTCCTTTTGATTTATTCATTTTGTTAAGATTATTTTATGCATAAAGTAAAGAACGGCTTCTCTAATTTCTTTATGTTGAAGAACTAGGCTTAGTAATGGCAAAGTAGGAGTAATAAGTTTAAAAGTTGTTATATACAAAATTATTCACTACGATAAGTAGTAAGTTGATTAACAAAATTTTAACTCAATTCTCTAAGATGTCAATTACTAAACACAGGAAAAAAATGATGAAAAGTGAAGATAAGAAAACTTGATGTGAAAATATAATTATTGTTCCTGAAATTAAGATAACTACCATGCATGAACTGAGTAAAGGAAACAAGCTGCAAATATCTAGGATCAAAATTTCATAAAGTATTTCTAATTACTATTGATTCATCGTCATTGTAGGTAAAGTCACTCATGGGTCATGTCACACACAAAAATGTTCCAACTCAACTGAATTCTGATTCTCCATCGAGAGTAAACGATTAACTGTATGACAAATTAGTAGCAAATGAGTGGAAGCGGTGATAGACACAGAAGCAATCCAATATATGAATAATATAACACTGGCAGCCAGCCTAAAAACAGTTGTGTTTCTACTCCAAACTTGTGCCAGCTACAATTCATCATGTTCTGCAATTAAATCTGTCGAAAGAGTTGGAGAGGCAAAAGTTAGTAAAGAATTTTGTTGTAATTAACATCCATTGTGAGGCAATTAAAAAGAGGTTATGATAATTGGAATTTGGAACAAAGCCATTCTTGCCTAAAAAGGATGCTTATATCAGCAAATTGAGCAAAAACTTGAGTATCTTAAGATACCGTTGCCCCTTTTTGCCATTTTCTTTTGAGAAGACAAGTATTCTTCCCGTTATTCTATTTCTATTTGTTACGACAGAAATCTCATTAGGCTTTGTTTGGGAGTTGGTTCTTAGGAGAAACAGAAAAGGGACACAAAGGGAAGACTTATGTGAAGTAATTCCTTGTTTAAGAAATTTTATATAGGGAAGAGTTTATAAACCCTCTAAAACCCTTCTAATAGTTCTCCCAATTTGGGGTTTTCTATTAACCCTCCTTCCTCTTCCCTTTCCTTCTCCTCCCTTATCCTTCAAACACTTTTCTTCCCTCTCCCTCCAAACTCCCAAACAAGGCCTTAGGAAACAGAAATCCTAAAAGGAAGTTTATCTCATGCATCCAACATTCAATTGATAATTAATTTCGTTCTTCCTTTAGAATAATTTCATATTCCTTGTTTGTCCCCATGCCATCTAAGAGTCCATTGACATATATAGCAAATGCATCTGATTATATAACCATGTTAGGCCTAAAGAGTGTATACTTCATCTATATTTGCTTAAAAATAGAATTAAGATTATTGACCTGCAGAGTGCTCTTTGAAGAAAAATGATATCTCTCTTTGAGCAGATTTGGGAGAGTCTGATCCATGCACACAATTCTTTTCCATATCCAATCCACATTTTGCTCTGATGCTGTACAAAAGAATAGCTAGTTCACTATAGAGCAAATTGTCAGATATCATGACATCAAATTTAATAAAATTGGCAGTTCAAATTGAGATAGTCTAGGGGCTCTAATCAACATAATTTGAACCAAAGTTATAGATTGCACAAGCGCAGTGTAACATAATTAGTAAAATGTATGACCTGTGAGGGTGAGTAATCTTAGCCGTGCTTGCATCAGTAGGGCCCATTAATGCACGCCAGTCAGCAATAGCATTATCCTTCTCCAAAACCATAGCTAACACTGGTCCACTGATGATCATTATGGATAAGGAGAAGTGGTAGTTTAAGATAATAAAATAATAGAAAGCATGCAGAAACAAAAGCTTACATTAAATATGATTAAAATGATCAGTGGTAAAACAGAAATCACAGTGATGACCACTAACAGGCATGATTGTGAAGGGAGAATATCCTCAAGTACATAGTCAAGACAAAAAAAAAAATCCTCAAGTTTCTTCTGCGTTGACTTAGAACAAGAAAAAGAAAAGGAAAATTGAAAAGTGGGTCTAACAATAAGGCAATCCAACAAACAGTCAACATAAGGAAGTTGACATAACAGCTCAGGAAACATTCCATACCACCATCATGCATTGAGATAGGATACCTTGTCATATATTTTATAAGGCTGGAAAAGAAGCTTTTTGAAGAGTGCTCTGCATAAAATCTTTTCACAGTGTCCACATCAAGTTGAACAATCTTTTCCTCAAAAATGCTGAAACCATATTCTAAAATTATTCTCTTGATATCATCTGTGTAGTTACCAAGCAATCCATCTGGTTTTATAATCGCTAAAGTTCTCTCCGTTTTTGTACTTCCATGAGTAGAAGAACTGCAACTTTTGAAAACATCACAAAGTGAATTCCATTTTTCATTGTTTAGGCACTTTTAAGTACATCAATCTGAATTCCTTTTTCATACTCACAGATGTATATATAGATAACCCCCAAATATGGAAACAGTTATCTTGAACAATGAACCTATAAAACAACGATGACTTGATGATATATACATGACCATGCACAACTCTCAATCAGCAAGATCAATTACCATTGATGTAATAATTCCTACTCAAGTGTTTGCTGGTAAGACACATGATCCGGGGTTGGTCTCCGGAGTAGGACTAACCATCTGGTCTCCTCCACCGTGAACTGCAATCCACCATGAACATTACCACACTATCTCGGATCACAACCACCCAAATCATTCTCCTCTTATTAGAATCAAGACGAAGGAACCGTTAAGTAGTCAACCCCACAAACGCTGTCCTAACATTTTTCACATATAGCAGCTTTATAGGACACTGTGTGTGTCACACAATGACAGTAATGCACACCCACGTCCTACAACCCATAACAGGTGCATTGAATGACAAATGACTCAAACTCATATATAAAGAAGGGATTCTCTTAAGAATAGTATCTTCTCTTACCTAATTCACACTATAACCTAGGATAACCTTTCTAAGTTGAGCTTTTGAGTGTTTTTAGTAAAAACACCCACCACTGAAATACCAAACACCTTCAACCACCCGAAACAACCGTCCGTACTTACTGGAGGAAGAACCCATCCTGGTCATCCCGTACTGAACAACACATTTTATCCGAAATCATTTATTAGTTAAATTTCTTAAAGCCATCAAACAATGCAAGCAAATGAGAGGGGGGGAAAGGAAAAAAGCAAAGCAAGAACTAATCAGCAATTCAGAATTATAAATTTACACCAACCAAGAAAACAAAAGATGCTCAGCTATCCTTTCCCCCACTCAGATACTAAAAAGATTAAATTTATAGATATGGAAACAAAAGGCATTCAACATAAAAATCTAATGTTTATAACTATACATTAAAAGTATAATATTTTCTGATTGCATATCTTCTGACGTTATATTTCTTATTTTAAAAAAGTTAACTGCTTATCCAATTCAAAATGAAGGTACTTTGAAACCCTAGTACTGCAGCACAGATTACCAGCAAGCAAAGAGGAAAAGTAGAATGACAAGTATTCTGATGAATCCAACAAAAGCCCTCATTTGAAGAGTCGAACTGCAAACCAACAACAATTACAAAAATTTCAATCTATAAAGAATGAGAAAATTCAAGAGAAGAAGAAGGAGTTTTCCATGCTTCTTGTTATGAATTCCATCATCATAGCTCAAACTCAAATGTGGTAAGCAAGGTTAATTTTTCATTTACTATTGATTCTTCTTCTGATTGTCAATGGGTATTCTAATGTTAAATTAATAGTGAAAAAGGAAAATAAGTTTTGAAAGAGTAAAGAAACATGCGTCTTGTGTTAGATTGGAGTGTTCGGACAGAGGGATAGGAACCCGGTACCACGTGTTGTGAAGTGGAAGTACAGCGGTTGCCGCAACTGCTAAGACCAACATTGACTTGCCTCCGACACAGCGTCAAAACATGCGAATTTTTATTTTTATTTAAGACATTAATTATATTTTTTATCACTTTAATTTTATTTATATACTATTTTAGTCTGGTTAATTTTTTTTAACTAATTAAGCTTTTCTAAATTTAAAATTATACAAATTTAATTCCTCTATTATTTATTTTATTTAAAACTCTTAAATTATTATGTTTAAATGTTTACGGGATTCACGATAAATTTATTGTATGAAATAATTTTCAGTGTTTAGAAAATTTTTTACTAATTTTGAAAAAAATTATAAGATAAAAGATCATGATCTGTAGAAAGGAAATTGCATTTTATTTTTAAATATTTTGACTCATTTGATATTTAGATTAATGTGTTTTGAAGAAAAGAAGGATGAAAATAACTTAATTGATCCAATTCAATTTTTGAGTAAAAATAACAATAATTAAGTATTTTAAATAAAATAATAATAAAGACTAAACTTATACAATTTTAAAAGTAAAAGAACTTAGTTAACTTTAAAGAATTAAAGATTTAGCGCACGTATGTTAAATTAAAAAAAATTAATAATATAATTAAACCAAAAAAAAAAACACCGGAAATTTAATCACTATTCCCTATAAAAATGTAGCTATTTAAATAATCAATATTAAATTTTTGAATGTGAGTCTCATTCAAGAGTGTGAAACAAAAGTTAATGACTAAACTTTTGAGTCACAGCTCTCTTAATTATGTCTTAAATGATGTAAAACTTTATTATCTTAACAATCAGGATAGACTGTTTTGATGGATGATATTTTGTTTTCTAAGAAAAGATTATTTCTGATGAATATATTCAGATTTTGAAAATGATTTTATTTAAATTGTTATTTGTCTAAATACATATATCAGGTGTAGACTAGGAAGGAAAGGAGGAAAGATAAGGAAGCTGTAAACATTATCGCACAAGAGCTTATATAATATACACATTGTTAATACTACACAAATTATCTATGTTCAACTTAAGTACATAATTTCACTGCAAGCAATCACACTCACAAAGCTCAACACAACATTTGATTAACTCAAAACATGCCAGGGCAGCACAAAGTTGAGTGCAAACAATGGTGCACTGGTCATTCATAAAAGTGCAAGTTCGTAGCAGACACATGCCACAACAGGTACCAGCCAATCGCCCACAACAATTGGAAGTAGCCTTCTCCAATATTCCTTCAGGTGGCTTTGCTTCTTTTATTGCTGGTGGCAAGTTCTCAGCTGTTGCTTTAAAGTCACCAAATCCAAGACGTAGCCCTCCAAGGAATAACTTCTGGTCGTTAAGCTCCAACCTTTGGAGGCTAAGTTTGCTGTATGCCTGTTTTGAAGGAATGTAAAGATCCAGAATATTGTGTAAAGGGAAAATGGAAATATTCTGATATTTTATGAAAGTAGATGAAGAAAAAAAAATAGACCCTTTTTTTTCCTTAAAAATCTAAGGCAAAGGTCTACCTTTTGTAACAGCAATGGTTCAGGTGCCTTCTTCCCTTCGTCCCCCTGAACAAGAACCATGTTCATGCAGGTATGCTCTGACGGGACTTTGTTTTGAATGCTCATTTTAGAAACCTATTAGAGAGCAGTTTGGCATTTGCTTATAAATAAGCGGTGGAACAAAACATAAAATATACTATAAACACTTGAAGGCATTATAACAAACTAAAACTATATTAAAGTGAACATCCATATTTGTCACAGCTTATATGCTGATATTAAAACTAGAGATAAAAGTCAGAGCTAAGTAAGACTTTTATTCATTAGTAGGTTAAAAATTTGGTTCCTAAAGCACACCATTTTTCAGTCCTCTCTAGCTCTCCCTCCCTGTAACTCTTTCTATCACTGTATCTAAAATCAGTGTGATTTGTTTGGAATAAATGCCTGAATGTAAACCGGTCTCCTCAAAATTTTCTTTTCACCTTTTTAGTTTCTTTTTCTCTTTCAAATCTTTCAAAAAGAAACTCAACATGCATAAAATACATAATAGACAAACCTTCTCCTCCAGCTCTTCACTTTTTAATAACCAGGCTTGAGCAGTGAAAAAGTCTATATGTCTCTTTGCAAGCACCTGGAGAGAATACCAAAATTTATATCAAGCCACATTTCAGCGCATAGTCAAGTATGAATTCAGTAATCAGCCAATCACACTATTAAAAGGATCCCAAATCCAAACTATTCAGTAACTTGAAGAATTTTTTTTGCAATGATATGAAATGCATATCACTCGTGTCCAAGGAAGAAACCTATAATGGGGAACCAGTATATGTTTTGACTGATAAGTGTTTTAAGCCTTTAAGAATTGTAGAGATGCTTGATGCAACATAGATTTGTGAAAGAATGACTATAAGACCATCCACTCATAATGCACCCTGTGCTCAACTCAAACAAAATAAAGCGTTCGAGTGAACAATGGAAGTAAATACGGAAGCCTTCAAAACGTAACTGCAGTACTGCATAGCAGGTGACTGAATCTGAGAACATATGGTGATACTATGTAGGAGCTGCCATGCATATGAATTGCATGGTAATATTCCGTTCACATTTGTTAAAATGAATTTCGCATCATAACCTCTATGATGAATAAGCTGTAAGTCAAGACTTAGGATTGAGATAATACATTACTGAGTCGCATATCTTTTTCTCTTTTCACTTTAAGATCTACTGTGAAGTTAGTCATATCTGCCAAAGTACCAGTAACTTTAACAAATTCAGGAAAAGTCCCATTGTATCTGCCTGATATGATCAACGGGCATTCAGTTGATAAGTCTTGTATATGAGGGGGGAATAACTGCAATAATAGGAATATAGTTAAAACATCAAATGGATGTACATGTAAATATGATATTTAAGTACATTAGAGTATATTTACAGTTATAATTAAGGATAAAAACATTGCTGGATATGTACCTCGTGTGAATCAAGATCTTCTAAACCTTCAACGGTTATATCAGCAACTAAGACTGATGAAGCAGTACGGAATAGCCTTTGCATTCTAAAGTCAATAGAATCTGGACATGAAAAAACGGAGATTAATAAAACTTCACATGTATGATACAGTAATTTCTTGATTTTTCCTTTGGAATAAAATATATATAATTGGCAACTTTTTGCTAAGACTATATACTGACTGGGCAGGAAAAGATGCTGACCTAAATCATGAACAGAATCACAGTGACCCCTCCCAATTTGCGCTAGCATTTGCAGGAAATAGTGATTACAATATAGACCTGAAATTTCAAATTACGAAACAGAGAAATATTACTAACAAAAATATCGCAACAAACATAAAGATTAACAATAAATAAATGTTCAATATCTTGCCAATAATTTGCGCCCGTCATTAGGTGATTTTCAGAAGAAAAAAAAAACTGCAATGCCCTTTGGTATTAGCAGCAATAGTGAATCAAGTGACTACCATTGTCGATATTGATCGACCGACCCTCATTTTCTATAACCTTTTTATTGAGTACGTCAATTCTTACTTTATTTTATTCTTGAACAAAATGGAAACTATTTTCGAACAATGATCTTGACAAATTAAGAAACATGTCAAAGCATTCGTTTCTTCAGTATAAAACGTGCCTAAATTAAGGTTCAAAACATTTTGGCTACTTAAGACGTCATCTTTAAGTAAGCAAAAAAACTTATCAAAGGTTGAAGTGTCAAAAGACCGTTGCCAATTAATGATATAACCGAATCTATTTTCCTGAAGAGTATAAATAGAAGAAGAAGCAAGAATCCTTGCCTATGCCAAAAGTACATATGCGCGGTGTTCGAACTGATTGACCAACTGGGACATAGCTTTTCACGAAATTGCATATCTCTCTCTCATCCTCGACAGCCCCATCAGTAACGAGAAAAACAAGAGGGACTGAATCAGTTGATTTCCCAACTAGCTTCATTGCCTAATATAAAGCAAACTATTAAATAACAAAATTCCCATGACAATATGTACATATTTAGGACTCAACATCCCAAAGCTTTGCATGGGATACAAGTTAAACACTGCACAGAATGTCCTAGTTATTAAAAAGCAACTATACCTTACCAACAATGAATCGACCTTATATGTTTACGTTACAAGCACATTAAACAGGGATGCCAAGTCTGAAAGTCAAATAAGCCATATGATAATACAGTTAATGCTACAAAACTGCCAGTCTTATAGCCATAAAAGACCAGGTAGATTCCAAGACAAATGAGAGAATGCACAATAAATAAGAATAAGCTAATTCTTGTCATGGTTCTAAATTTGATGTATAAATATTAAAATTGAAGAGCTGAGATAATAAAACAGAAACCTAGGGTTTTCCTCTCCTCTTCTTTGAAGTAATAATACTTTCATTGGTGCATTTGAATTGAGAAAAACAAAATAACAGAAAATTTTTCATTAACAATCCATGAAATAAGAGAACAATGTTGTGCACATCATGTTGAAATTGTTAATAAATAATAATTACCTGAATTAAGGGAAGCATGATGTTAGTACCACCATTAGCAATAAAATTAGTCTCAACCCACTTGGCACCATTTGAAACTGCTTCCTTTGTAGCAGTTTCCATAGATGACGAAAATAAGTTGACCTCCCCATTGAAAGCTATGATGTTAAATGTATCTTGTGCATTTAGCTGAGAGAGTGATGTCAGTAGTGCGTTCTTCGTGTTTTCAAGAGGACTTCCTTTCATGCTTGCACTTATATCTACTAAAAACACCACATCCTTTTTATAAACCTATCAAGTGACAGAATGCTCTATTATAAATTTGCTAGAAAACTGAAAATTTGAAACAAGCATTCACCTTTACAATGCAGATTAAAATATGTCTATCTTACTTTGTACTAGTTTTGTTCCCGGACAATTCCAAGCGCCAAATGTTTCTGACTTTTTATAAATATAAATTAGCTTTCTACTACTTTATCAAACAATTATTTTCTCGGATATTGCTCCACTAAAACTTAGCAACGAACAGGCAGATCCACCTCACTTGTTCATATATGGGGAAAATGGAGACAGCTTTCATGCAAGCAGCAAGATAACTTTAATGCATCCGTGTTGCATGTATACAACCTCATCTAGCTATCCCACGTTAAAGCAAGCACAAGTAAATTATACTGCAAGAAGAAAAAAAGTTGACGTATAATATTTGCAACAAACCTTTCTACTCTGGCTGTTTCCAGGGTAAAGATACAAGCAAAATATCTCTCTTTCATCAAAATCACGCAGGAATGGAGATTGCAGGAGAACACCACCAACTGTGTCATTTGAAGCAACCTGTGTAAAAACACTAAACAATTAAACTAATATTTTTTTATAATTGCATACCAATTATTAAGCTAAATTTTTTTTATAATTGCACATGGCCTTATTTAGAATGTCTATGGTTCAGAATTCACTCCTTGTATGAAGTGCATTAACAAAGATTTTAATAGAATTCTATGCTTCTAAGTCTTACAGTGTACGAGAAGCTGAAGTCTGTACTCGACCAAGTTGGCACTTCCGCTTCATATGATAAACTCAATTTGCCAGCTTGGCGCATTACTTCCTGGAAAGTCACAAATATAATGTTCAGTTCAAGTCCAACAGAGGCCAAACCGAACTTTGTAACAGCCTAATAGCTTGATTTTACCTTAAGAGGGTGACTTGTGGTTTTGCATAACACTTCCGTTCCAGCACCAGAATTCACTTTCAAAAATATCTTCTCTTTCTTAGAAATTTTTCTTCCAGCAGGAATGACGTAGGAAGGAAAGCTGAAAGGGACACAGAGAGAGAACTGGCCATCATGAAATAATATTTTCTGGGACCATTTGATCTTAATTGAGAAAACGGACCCCCCTTTAAACTGCAAGAGAAAAATTAATTTCTTGAATAAACAGTGTACAAGTTAATAATTATCAAGTGTCAACAATGAAGTGATGTTTTACTATGTAATATAACCTGTGGAATCTTAACGGTGTATATTTGGCTTTTCAAAAAGTATCCGTCTTTAGCTTTGGCCACTTTTTCCTTATCCTTTTCATCTTTCAGAGTGATCAATTCAGAATGATAAGATCTTCCATAACCATCAACCTCTAGACCTAGAAGTGAACCCTGTTAGCCACATCATATAACTTGAGAACTCATGAAACAAATTTCAAATATGCAAAGTTTCAGGAAATTGGTATGGAATTTCATCCAGCGTCATGACATAAAACTAAGAAACAAGAAAACTTTCCACGTTCCACCATGACCAAATATCAATGATGTAACAAGGCCTACTAAGAAACACATTTGATGATTATGCTCGCTACACAGATAACCCAACGTCAATAGATTGCTAGGATGGCAGAGTGGACGTAACCCAAGATGCTTTAGCTGTCTAAACTAGTTCATTGCAACTTCAATTTAATCATTCAACCCCCAGAATCATATATTCACTTTGTCTAAACAAATTATGTCTGATAATTATAATTAATTAACAATTAATGTGAACAATACAATGATTTTAAAATTGAGCCAAATTAATACAGCGTGACCATTGAAATTAACGTGAGTATATGACAAAAGATGAAAGGAACTTAATGCCAGGCAGGGGACATGATTGATAGCAACAGCCAAATTTTATTAGGTTGCGATTAATTTCTTTAAAATTTTGCAATTTTGTTCTCTATGGTTGAAAGAGGCATCTCTTATGATGAGAAGCAAAGAAACACTTGGCACCTCTTATGTTTTCTCCCGAAAACGTGTCTCTCGTCCCTTTGTTTTTACCAAAATAACTTTACAATTTTTTTTTTCATATTAGTAATAACATTTTCCTGAAAACTATTTTCAGTTCAAAACATTTTCATATAAAATTAGACATTAAATAACTCAACTGATTTGTTTAGTTGTTTTACCTTATCTTTTTACAGTGGGCAGCAATAATTGACCGGAAAAATGTTATTCCTTGACAGTTACACTGAACACAACTTTTTCTTTGCCTACAAAAATGTGTTTTCACTAAATGAAAGATATTCTAAACATTATTTTCAAATCAAATATTAAACAAAGCAAAATATTATAGGAATAATTACGCTAATCGTCTTTAAATATAATTTTAATCATACTTACACCTTATTTAATTAGAAAAGTACACTTAGCTTTCTAACACTTCTCTTGTTTTATTATTTTTAACAGTATTGTGTTTATAGTTCATATCTAAAAATAAAAATGTGTGTAAGTTTTTAAAAACATATCTCAACATGTAAAAATAATATAAAAATTAAGGAAAGTAACTATAAATTATCAAAGATAACGTATAAATAAAATTAACACTAACTTCAAAGAAAACTAATATAATCAGTCCAATATTATAAGGATGCAATAAAAGATGAGATGATTCACACTACATAAATAATTAAATTATAAGTTACTTAAACATACATGATCTCTCAAAAAGGTTAAATGACTTTATTTAATATTTTACCATGCATACATAATCCGATTATTAGGAAATTTTTACCTCTTACTCTTGTAAGAAATAACAGCTCTTGTAGTAAGAAAAACATGGCTTCGAGCTGTATACATCCTTCATTTTTTTTATAGTATGCGAATTAAAAAATAAATTTAATGTTCTCGTTTTTATTAAAGTTATTGCTTAATTTTTTGAATTATTTTATTTTATCTCTCTTTTAATTATTTATTTGTATTTTAAATTAAGGATATGATTGGTAAAACATCATTAATCTTATCCTGAACTTTAAAAAATTGATAGATAAATAAGAATATTTTTTTTAGAATATGGCGTATAAAAAGGGATGGGAGGAGTAATAATTGGTAGCACCATGTTGCTATCGGACTATCCGAGTCTTTGGGTTTTTTCATTTTTTATTTTTTATTACAATATTACTTTACTTTTTATGTTATTTCTTAGATGTTTGGTTTACATATTTTTTTAGTTTTAGTGTATATATTTTATTGATAATATAAAAAAAATCAATTTTTTATATTTTCTTAGTGTTATGGGTTAAAATATTTACTTCACAGAATCACAGATGTTAGAAACAAATAAAAACAATTCGATATTTTCATTGATCATTACTGAACATGTATCAACAGAAGATAAAAAAATTACGTTGATTTTCAAAATTTTGTGAAGAAAAAATGGACACATTTATTTCTCTCACAAAAGTTTTAAAACAAAAAGTAAAATAAATATTTTCATAATTTCTAATAAAATATATTCACCAAAGGAAAAGGCTGAAAACAAACCAAACACGCTTTCCTCGCATGTTTTCACCTTTCTTAGCACATGAACATTCAAACGTTTTCACTTTTTTTGGTAAGCAAATATTTCCACTCATTCATAAAGAAATAACTGTTTTGTTTTATTTTTTAAGAATGATTTTATCAACTTGAAACTAAAGCACAGTTCCAACAAAACTTTCCCAAAAAATTATTTAACACGAAAGTTTAAACCTGCTATTACTTTTTAACAAATAGCCAGTTTAGGCCTTAACTCCACACCTCAATCATTAATTATTGTTTTCCAACAACCAAACAAACACAAGCACACAATTTTCCCTCACTATTCATACATACATAGATGTATATATTCTCATATAAAAACAAGATTTAAATATGTTTGATATTTTTACATTTTAACAAATTTTTTATTTAAGTTTTTTTTGTTATTGTATTTACTTTTTTATGAAATGTTATTTTTAGTACCTTTAATCAATACAGTCTAATAAAAAATTAAGACCTGACAGTAATTACTGAACTAGATCAACAATAGGTAATAAAAATAAAAAAATATGAAAAAATAGAGATAAGAAGAACTAAACTAAAAAAATTATTAAAATACGAAGATAAAAAACATTCTTAAGCTTAAAAACAATTTTTCCATTATATATACATGTATAGCTTTTACCGTGGCAACTCATGAGGGTACAAGTTTCTCTATTACGATGAGTTTGTTTTCAATGTTTTGTGTATTAAAATTGCTAAAAAGATCCTTAAAATTAAAGGAATGTCAAATATGCATGATAATTAGTAATGATTGATAATTATTGAGTATTTACCTCCTCTCCCATTGGTATAGCAATTTGGCATTCACACGTACTACTTCCCGTCACGCAATGAACGCGCCACTTTCCGGTGACCGTTACAAACGCTGTGTCCAAAGAGCACTCAACTTCCATGGCAACTCCGTGAAGCTGAAGCGGTATCAACGCCGGAGGCTCGCACCGGCCGTGCACGTAAGGCTGGTAACTCCGAATGTCCGGGTTCTCAACTGTCTCCGGATCCGATATCACCGCATAACACATCGGCGCCGACGGTAGGAACCCCTCCGGCGACTTCGACATCGCCGGCACCGGCGACGGAGCCGATCCTTTGCCGTAGTAAATTCGCTTGGAGAGATTCAGTCCGAATTCGACGGAGCTGGAAAAGTAGTCGGCCATCGCCGCCGCCGGCGAAGAGTTTTCCGGCGAGTTGTGTGAATGAAAATAGAGAGAAAGAGCTTAGAGATTTTGGATGGTGTTTGAAGAAGGTGTGGGCTTATGAAGTGGCATTAAAAGGAACGTGAAGCTGAGGATTTTGAAAAGCACGTTAAGAAGAAGAAAGAGGAAAGGAATGAAGAAGAAGAGTGAGTAGAAGAGGTAGCTTTTGCTCGTACCCACTCGTGCGGACCACACTGGCCAGAACGGGACGAAAACTAGTTTTATTCTTATTTATCTCATTATTCTTATTTAATCACGATACTTATAAAAAAAAATTGCTTAATTTGAGTTTAATTATAACAATTTACATTTTTATATATTATTTATTATTTAAATAACCATTATCTTCAAAATATAAATTTTAAAAATTTATTAAATAAATCTCACAAACTACTTCGCATGTTTATATTTTTTTTCTCTCTTTTTTTATTTATTATTTATTATTTATCTTCTATTTTCATGAAGCTTCTTATATATTCACTCATTTCTTTTCACCGGTTTGTTTTTCTCATCTCTTTCACTTCTCACCACTTCTTCTGCTTGACTTCATGTCTTCACTCGTACGACCTCTGTTTCTTCTAAACTATTTACTATACAGTTTTTTTACTCTTGAATTATATTATACATCATTGTTGACTACTTTTTCTCCTAAAAGATCCAGTTGCTTAATTTATTGTCCCGTCACACAACTCTAGTGTTATTAATTTCATGTAGAATTGTTGCTTATGTTGAATATATATATATATATATAATTAACTTTCGTTATAGTTATTTTTTAAGATACTAGTTAATAAATTAATAAATACTTGTTTTATAACATTAAATATTACACTCTAATAAATGTTTTGAGAATACTGGTTAGTGTTCACTTAAAATAATGATTAAACCATCAATATATAGAGGCACTGACAAGGTGACACGTTAGTGCCGAATTCATTAAATTGGAGATAAGATACTAAACTAATGAATGGTTTAAATTTTATCATGAAGTTCATTTGATAGTACAAATATAGTTGTGTTTTAATTAAATCAACATGTCGTTCTCAGAGCATAAAAATATAATGAAGTTTTAATTTAACTTGTTTTGGATCAATTTATTTTAGGATTAAAAAAATTTAATCAATATATTTTAGAAAATCTTTTACAATAATCATTATTTCATTAAAGTAGTTATTTATTAAACATATTAATATTTTAAAGATTACTATCTCATCAAACTAATTGTCTTTTTTTTAATAAGTTAGTCTCCCAAAAATTTAATAAATCATAACATTTATTTATAAATATACTAAAATGTATTTTAAAGTCATATTATCTACAAGGTAGAAGTATTTATTCTGTTGAGACCATTGTACACGTTAAAATAAGAATATTTAAACATTTGTTTTTACACTTAAAAGCATGTCCACTTTAAATCAACCTTGTTCAAAAGATCCAAAATGCTAATATATGAAAAAAAAAGTTTAGTAATTATTTTATACCTTTAAAACATATTTAATTTTCACACGCACAAAAAAACTATTTAGTCAAAAAAGTTTACAATATGCAAGTCGCCATCATAATACGCTAACGACAAACAACACAGTTAATGGTTGAGATGGAGAAATGTGATTCCAGGAGCAACATTTTATTACAAGTAATATTAAATATTTTAAAGCATCGCAAAAACATATATTGAATACTTTTAATGATTTAAAATAATGAATATTCATATTTTTAATAAAAAGTAGTATTTTTATCTTTCTAATATGTCTCACTAAACAGCATGTTTCTGTACATTATCCACTTCTATATTAAATAACATATAACTAAAATTATAAAAAATTTGTTTTGTTAGATATACTGTTTTGATTTTCCTGTAAAAATTGAATAAAAAAAAGAGATAAAATGGTTATAAAAATGAATAACCATTGCATTATTTGTAATGATTTTTGAAAAAGAATAAAAATATATGATGCAATGATTAAATAAAAAATTATAAAATATCACTCCACTACATCTTTTGATTGATATTTTAGAATTTCTTAGTCACTGTTACACAGGTAAAGATAATCAAGCTTGATCGCATTAACAACCATGAAGAAAATGGCTACCATGTGCATCACGTGTGAAGCAAAAAATTAAATTTTAAGGATAAAAAAAAATCAGGAAACAACGAGAATCTCTAATTTGCTTCTTTCAGAGGAAGTTCACTAGCCTCATAGTCCTTTTCTTTTTCTTAAGTAAATAATATTTGTATAAATTATTGTTGTAATAGACTTTGAGTCAATTAATTATTTAAGCAATGGTCCCACTAGTCCTCAACTTTTGTTATGGTCGGTCATAAGAAGGCAAGCATAATCATGTGCTAAACTTTTATTAAAAGATAAGCTAAGGATCACCAGTAGATTTTGTTTAACACATGCTTCATAATTTCATTTTCAGTGGATATATGTGTATATTATATATTCTCGTTATTATTTGCAAAAGCCTAAACTCAAAATCTTTCATGAATAATAATATTTTAGGGGGAATAAACTAAACTTATTATGCAAAAACTTCCTTAAAAAATTGTATTTTATTTTTATATATAATTCAGTAATTCACAGGGCAGAAAAGGTCGGTGTGAGTTGAGTCTTCACAGGTAATTCACTTCATGGTCGTATTTATAATAACTTAAGAGCTTGGTTGGAAAAGTCATGCCAGTTTCCCTGTTATTAAAATTTTTCTGCTATTTTTTTTTAATGGAATTGGGATTTATATATAAATTAGGTATGAAACTTGATCAGAAAATAATAATCTTTAAAATAATTATAATATAAATATAAATAAATGTCATCCATTTGTTGAATGATGAAACAAAACATACACTTAGTATGAACTCTCTAAGTGGCAGCGTGGATTAGGGGATTGATTAGTGAAAAGTGGAAAGATTTGCATTTAAGTGCAGCCACTGTTGACAACTAGTTTGATAGGTTTGTGAAGTTTTCTTTATTTGTGGTACCTTGTTTCTAGTGTCAGAAGGAAAATGAAAGCAATGCGACCAAAACACGTATAAGGTGGTCCCCTATCGTCATATCATGTTCTGTGCATGGAAGAGTGACTGTCATTGTCATTATTTTGAGACGAAGAACAATATATACTGCAGAAATGTTAACCAAATACATTTAAATAATGCTATTATTAAATGAATTTTCTTAATAATTTTTAAGCCTTGATAAACATTTATTAATAATAAAAAATATAAAATAGTTTTATATTAATTTTTAGCATTGATTTTAATAATTTAAGTAATAAAATTATTTTGAAGACTTTTAATTTTGTCCATTCTACAAATGATATCGCATCTTCTCACTTTAATTTGGCTGTCGGGGATGTTTTACTTTAGTTGAATTCGAGTTTTACTAATGCCCAAACGAATTCCAAACTTTTAATGCAAATAATATAGGGGGAACTCCTGCTTTGATTTTTAAAAAATATATATATGTGTTATCAATATAATTTTTAATAATAATAAATATGCTGAAATGATTTAATATAGTATAGCATTTTATTCTCCAGAAGGTTGACGCACAAATTTGCATTGCAATAAATTTACTTTCAAATATAATGTAATCCAATATTAGTTTATTTTTTCTGAATCACTTCACTTGACACAATTCAACCTAGGTGGCAATACTCAAGATTCTCGTGTACAACACACATGGGCACATTAACAAATTAGAATTATTATCATAAATACACTACAAAAAACCATTATTTATCAATGCTTTGCCACTGTATTTCTCTCCGGGGGTATAATATTTTTAATAAAAAATAAATTATTCGTATAATGTATTATCTGATGCTACATATGTTCAATGTTTATGTGATCATAGTTTAATTTTTGTTAGACAAATAATATACTAACCAAAGTTATCATAACACTGAATAATTTTGATTTGTTTTGTTTAATTAGTAAACGAACTTTTCTTAGTGTTATAATGACTTTGATTATTAAAACATCAAATTATAAATCATCAAACAATATTTAAGTGTGTATCTGTATTAAACTTTGTAAAGTTAATTTTTCATGTCCTTGAATTTATTTTTATTTTTTTTCAAATTGTGAAATATTTCTGCAACTAGATTGGAAAGATTTCCTGATTTCATTTGGAGATCAAAGAGAAAGAGACTATTTAGAAGACAGTAGCCGTATGAATAGGAGTAACGGAAGAAGTGTAGAATGAGTGAGATCATTGCATTACACTTCATAGGTACAGACAGTGTAGCGTGTATAGCTACAAATGACACTTCATAGCATTTTATTTTTTATTTCTTCATAGCATTTATAGAATGATATATGATATTATTAATTGGAATTTATACACGTTTGTGAATATTTATGTCTAACATGTAGTCATTGTGTAAATATTGTTGACGTAGGTTTGAAGTTTGATCCTCACTCTCACACCCATAATCGCTCTATGTCATGATAGTATTTAGATTCGCGTTTAAATGTTTATAAATTTATATGTATTGTTATATAATTATAATTTTTATATTAAATTAATATTATAAACGTGAATTTGAAAAGTTTGAACGGAAATTGAAAGATAGCGTAAGTTCCACTTCGACGTAATCGTCCAAGGTATATGTAGTTGCATTAGGTGGAAACACGGCTCCGAACACCCAAATCTACTAAGTTAATTGGATAGATTCATAATTGAATTGATATACAACTGCACATTACATCTTCCAGAGGCAACTATAATTGTGATTGGACAAATTCAGCAAGTGTCGTGAACCACAAGAAAGATGCAATTTGTAACACATTCGACAAATAAAGTTTTTTCAAATACATTTTACCGTCTTTATCAACAAGAAACACACTTTTGTGTTAGATGATTGCAAGATTATTTGTGCAAGATGATAAAATCAACCAGATTTCCTTTAACCTAAGAGTTAATTTGTTCTTTATTAGAACTAACATGCTATAAAAAATCATCATCAATCATTACATGAGAACTTTTGTGTCAAAGGATATTTGATCACATCATATATATAATTAAAATAGAAATTAGCTACTTTTAAAATTATATATATAATCAAAGTTTTACTTAAAAATTCATCAAACATTATAATTACGTAGGTTTTTTTTTATTAAAAATACAATACCCGCTTTCTATAAGAGCCAAATTTAATACATAAAAATTTAGGCTGCATGAGAGGGTTGTGAAACTACTGCATAATATAAGCACTTTTTGTTCTTTATGGGAAGATCTTGTTTGGGTTAAAGCAAAAGTGATCCCAATCAACTTGTTTTTCCTTTCCACAAAAGCTGATGCTCAATGGCGTATATCTAGAATACGAGAAATACATTAAGGTCCACAACATCTCCTGAAGTCCCCCAATCGTACACATCAATCGGGCAATGGAAATCAATTGACCCTTTTTGTGTGCACTTTCATGTTTTCCCAACAATAAAAATGACACAAGGTTATAAAAAGTAACATTTTCTCTCGTTATTTTTTTTCGTTAAGGTGTCATTTTTTATTCAGAAGACAAGGAACAAGACAAATAAAAAAGACAGATAATTTGTACCTCAAAGGAGGACCCATTATTGCCCAGAATTCAACTATTATCTAGAGCACCAAATCAATTCAACGGACCACGTGTATTAAAGAGTTTGGGCATTAAAGTCATATGGTCCTGCAATGATGTAAAATGCTATCTACCATACTTGATTTCATCATGACCAAGGATTGAAAAGAAAAGGCATGTGCATGCATGTTTAATTTTCACTGTTGTCTACTCTAAATCACCAAGGTTTTAGAAGAAACAGTGTGCCACGGAAAACGAGATCCTTGGGCCTACATGTCATTCGATCAAGCAATATATGACAAAGGTAACTCTCTCATGTATTAAAAAACAGATAGAGATGATCCCGATGGACCCCTATCAAATAAGGCTCAAATAAGGCTGTCATTCAATTTAAGCAAGTACGTGTTTTCTTTTTTATATGTTTATTGTTACTTTTATTTAAAATTGTTATTATAAGATAAAAATATTGTAAATATAAATTACTTCAATAAAAGTAAAAATATAATATAAATATCGTTTATGTAATAGTAATTGTTTTACTTTTATACGTGTTAAAATTGACGTGAAAGAATTTTAAAAAATGGAATAAAACAGGGACTCACAAGTCTCAACAAATACACACGTGATTTGTTAACATGCATTCACTTCTTCTTTTTTAAAAAGGATTATTTTAATAAGTTGAGATGCATTTTAAGAAAAATAAAATTATATTTTGTTAACATTTTACTTCTAAAAGTATAAATAGGCGTATGCTAGCAACTATGGCAGCTAATACATACTATACCTACTTATTTTTTTTTGTTGAAATATGTAAACATATAATTAACACCTTTGGTGTATTTTAAAAATAATTATATCATAATTATAACATGATAAAAGGTGAGAGTATATTTATAAATCTCATTTGTTAATAAAAATGCTTTTCATTGAATTCATTTGCTTGTATTGTAAAAATAAATAATAAAAATATGTATATCATTTTTAAACAATCGGATAAAAATATTATATAGTCTATTTTTTGAAAAAAAGGAAAATTATTTGTAAAAAAAAATAGCTTTTAAAAAAATATGTATATATATATACAAAAATTTAAAAGTTATCCAATCATACTTCTAACCTGCGCCTATGAAAAAAAATATATACCATTAATTGTAGATTTTTTTTATAATCTTTTGTATAGTCACACAAAACTATTCAGAATTTCACTCTTGGCATGAGCTATATGTGCCACATTTAAACGTATATATTACTTTTTTTTTTTACTCCAATCAAATAATCATCCACTAAAACAATTTAAATACCGATAAAATATGTTTTAATCCAATTATATTTCAATTAAAACACCCCAAAAACACCCAAACACAAATAGATATAAAATAAATCTGATGCCAAATTTTCTGTTGGTTTATCTCCTACTATCTTACTTTAATGGTACAAATTAAAGCACACCAAATAGTCGATGGAATTTTGACTTTCCAAATTGGGGAGCATTCATAATCGCAAAATAAAAGTTTATGAAATATTAAATTGCAAGACGAGGTAGCTTAATCTGTTCCTAAGCAAAATTAAAACCTACGAAAGGGGTGTTAAAGAAATGAGATTCCGTTACATTTAAATTGAGATTCTTAATTTTTTTATAGGTGTCTTTCATAAAAGATAATTATACATAAATCACAATCAAGCACGAAATATATTATTGCAATTACGATGCTAATAATAAATTATACTATAAAATACACTGTAGCATTATAGTCAAAGTCAATGGCAGGTTCTTCTTTTTGTTGAGCAAATTAACTCATTTTCACTGTAGAAGTCTTGCAATTTATCAACGAGAGGCCCACCTTAGTTATTTAATGAAAATAATTAAGATAATCAAAACCGAAGGAGTAGACCCATTCACCCAAATTAAATAGCTGATTAACTAGAGATTTGAGATCTGCATAATTAATGTGTTGTAGGCTATTTCTTGACTCTTGCATTTTAAATCTTCCACTGTGCACTAAAAATATAAACATTCACTTCCCAAAAGTAGAAGCGGCAATTAAGTCCAATTATTCATCAACCATCTTATTGTTCCATAGATATATTAGCTTTTATTACATGTTTTAGACACACAGTAAAAAAAATTATTTGTTATTGATATTAAAAACAAATTTTAATTTATTAAATTTAAAAATATTTTAATTTAATAATATCCACACACACACATGCATAATCTATTACAAAATAAAAGATTTACAAACAAAATAACTTGTGTATTGCATGAGTTATTATCTAATTATATTAATTTCAAGCATGCAAATTAATTAGTTAACTTGATTAATGGTACTATCCTGTATTAACAGATCATAACAGATACCTGACTTAAAGTTATACATAGACCTACACTTTTGTTTAGTATTTTTGGATCGTAGCCCACACTTGAGGACTTGTGGTTTTGAAAAAAAAAAAAAAAAAACCTGTTTTTAATGATACCTCAGTGTTGAAAGTTAGTAGAACACATGCATCGTATACAGGGTTTAAACAGTGTTAGAAAATTTTCACATCTTCCTCTTCCATGTAATAATGACCAAACAAAAGAAAGGAATGAGGAGTGCTCTGTTCTGCTTTGTTGGGCTGCTTATTTGGGCCTTTTGCACTCAAGCTTTTGTATGCTTTTAGACCAAAAAAACAAAAAAAAACCCAATTCCATTGACACTTTTTTTTACACATACATGTATTTTTCCTTTGTTTCATATATCTTTCTTATGTGAGGTTATTTTTCGTTTTAAATGATTTTTTTATTATTTTTCTCTCATTTCTCTATCTTCACTTCTCGTTTTACTTCCATCTCCTCTTCTTTCCTTTCACTGGCCATTCATTCTATCTACAAATCTTGCTGGCTAACCTCTTGTGCTTCCTTGAATGCCTTTCATGGCCTTTCAAACTTCTCAATTTTGAAGTTAATTTTGTCGACAAAATTGGCTAAGATACAACAAAATGAAAAGACAATGAAGATTTTAATCTTTATTTAACAATTACCTGTTTATTTATAGAGACAAAGTTGACCTTGCTTTAATTGATTGCCTGGTTTGATACTTTATTTTGTATATTTTTTTAGTAAACATCATATATTTTGTAATGTTTGCTTTATTTTGCAGCATTGGGATCACGCTTTTTTTTTTAAATATTCACTTTTCATTGTTAGATTAAGTGTTCTTATGATATATATATATATATATATATATATATATATATATATATGTATATATACACACATAAATGAAACTTTCGAATTAATTCCTTGGAACATATTAATGAGGTCAAGCTTCATATTTTTAAAAGATTGCGTATCAACATTCTTTTCCTCACTACTGTTTCAAGTCTTCTCTCACACACATTGGACATGCATATTCATGCCAAATCAACCCAATCCAAGGAAACAACTAAAGGACTATACTATTGTAACATAACCAAAAGCAATTGTAAACGTATGAACCAGAAACATTATTTCAAAAAAGGTTTAATTAAATATTCAGTTCCTATAAATATTATTATTATTATTATTTTTTATTGTAGTTTCTATAAAATTCTTATTTTATTTCGATCTATAAAAAATTGTTTATTGAATGTAAGGACTAAATTTAAATTAATTTTTATAAAAATGAAAATAATATTAAATTTAAGATAGGTTAAAAAAATAAAAAAACATTAAATGAAAAAGAAAAATATTTTAATAAAAAGGACACGCTATTTGATTACGAAGGGAAGGGAAGGGGCTATGTCAACGTTGTCGTGGTTGATGAGGTTGACCGTAAAGATAACAACAGGAGGTTGACGAAGATCGTGTACGGCTCTCTGCTTCCACAGGGACAGCAAGCAGATATTAAAATTACAAGGACTTAGCTGCAAATTAATGCCCGGTGCTTAAAAGTCACCTAACCAAAGCTAAAGAATAAAGGAAACTCAAAATGAACAGACTAAATAGCATTTTTTTTAATAATAAAAATAATAACATTATAGTTATAATATCATAATAAAATAAGTCTAATATGTAATAATAATTCTAAATTATATGATAATAAAATAAAGTAAACAGTCATTGTGTCATAGCTATTTTTATCATTCACAAAAATTAATAATAAGTTTATTCAAATGTAAAAAGACACAAAAAGTAATTTTTTTAAACTTATAAAAATTTATTTTTTGTTATATATTTAAAAAGATAAAATTATTGTCAAATAAAGATTTAAGAAACTAACTAAATAAGTAGTTTATGTTTTAAAAAATAAATCATTATATTCTATTTTTATAAACATAGAGTAATTTTAAAAGTATCAACTTACTTATTAAACTTAATTATACATTTACTTTTTATCTTCTAGTTTATGTAAAAAGTCCTGAAATAAAGTTTATTTTAGTACTGGAGTTTGTTTTCACGAGGACCGAAGGCAGATATTATAACTCCCAGGGACTTAATGGCAAATTTGTGCGCCGGTGCGTAAACGTCACCTGATGATTCTGCCATCTTCTGTTTGCTCCTTCTGGGAATGCCACGTGTCCATTTAACATATTAAGAAAATAATAAAAACTATTATTAATTTCTTGTTGCTTCGTCCAAGTTCAAAGAAAACTGCGAAAGCTTATTATTATTATTATCGAACAGAATAAAAACATACATGGTTAAGGATTTAGAGGATTCGGTACAATCTATGATTCCTTCCTAACTAAGCTAATTTTTTAGCCCTTCAAATTCCTCAAAAATCACGTTAGTCAGGTTCGTTCTTTCTATTTTAAGATTTTTATACATAATTTTTTTCCTGATTTAGGAGTTTTAGGGTTTTGGGTTTCGGTGTGTCTCCATGTTTTTCAGGTTCCTCTGATTTTTGTATTATTTTGTTCTCTTAATTGATTTGATCATACATTTTCTGATTTTTTTTTTCATTGATAAATCGAATGAATCAATGTTTTTGAAAGTTATAGTTCCTTTGCCGGTTTGAATTGTCGAATAGAAAAGCTCAGAACTTTGCGTCCGATATTAATATACTTTCTCTTTGTTATTCATTTTCTTTTGTCCTAAATTTGCGCTCCATAGTTGATTCCCCTATGGAAACAGCGTTTTTGTTCGGTTTGTCTGGTTTGATCACGCTTAGAATGTAAAGTGAAGGATTTGAAGTTGGTTTATATTGGCAAATTTTACACAGTTTTATGTTTTAGAAACCTTTTCTAACGAACTTTTTATTTTTGTCTGTTATAGGGATAGTATTATCATGGCAACTGCAACCATGGCTACTGCAGCAGGTGCAGCTGCTCTTTTGTACTACACGTTGAATCGGAAATTGCAGTCTCACGATGGAATCAATGACGATGTTGAAGAAAATGGCAGTGATCCACCCGTCGATGCGCCAATAGGTATTGACCGTGTTTCTCATCGGTTAATCCAAGCCCCTGCTACGTGGTTGGAGACAATTTCAACATTGTCAGAGACTCTCAGGTTCACGTATTCAGAGACACTTGGGAAATGGCCCATTGGGGATTTGGCATTTGGTATCAACTTTCTTCTAAAGAGGCAGGTAATGGCTAGTGAGTGATGGGGATTTTGGTTCTTTAGTTTCTGCCCTGGTTTTAAGCTACTGAAAAAAAGCAGGAAAGTTGCCCTGGCCTCCATATCTAATGCTTACAAAATTCGTTGTTATTTGGTTAAGCTGTTCAGAATTGATTCCCATTAGGAATAAATTCTGTGTAAGTAACTCGGCAGTATCTTTTGCACCCACGAAAATTGATTTTGGTAAGACCTGCTAGTTTTTCAAAAAGGCCATCAATCCTTAAAAAGAATTTAACTAGTTGGACCCTGTAAATCTATCCCAAACAATTACACTTCAAAAGTAATCGTACTCTTTTTAATATCCAAGCAAATTCAAAATTCTAAGCAAATGACATACTAGACTGTTGATATTCACAGTACATTTGCTTAGTGTTTTACATGCAAAATGTAGTATGTCATTTTGATGCTTCCCTTTTTTCAAAAAGAAAAAAATCTTTTATTTATTATATATAAGAGACTTAGTTTCTGGATTATTCTTTGCAGGGAAACTATCATGTTGACAGTGTGTTTTGTGACAAGGACAGTGTACAGCTCAAAGGGTCTGAGATTACTACTGAACTTAAGTATCTCTTAAACTTGTTGACACTGTGCTGGCATTTTTCAAAGAAGCCCTTTCCCTTGTTTCTAGAAGAAACTGGCTATGCTGAAGAAAATGTCCTCCTTCGGGAACCCAAAGCAGGAGTAAGTCTTGTTGAATTTTTAGGGAACTCTAATAATAATTCAATATCTGTATCCTGTGTTGACTGTGTGATTGATAATTATTAACATAAATTGTCATTTGAGAAAGGATGGAAGGCTAAAGCAACAGAGGATGTTGGCTTAGACTGCAAAAATATGTGGGATCATAGGGTGGTACTTCAGGGCTGTGAGGGTTTTTTTTTTTTTCCCTTTTCTGAACATTTTTGTGAGTGTTTTTTTTTTCCCTGGGTTGTATGCATCTATTGAATTGGATGTATGTGTAAACTTGTTTGTTCATTTGTCATGCAGATTTTGAAACCAGCGTTTACAATTATAGCTGATCACAAGATGAGGTGTTTTTTGTTATTGATTCGGGGCACACATAGTATCAAGGATACTCTAACAGCTGTTACAGGAAATGTGGTACCATTTCATCACACTGTTGTTCATCAGGGGGGTGTCAGTGATTTGGTTTTAGGTTATGCACATTGTGGAATGGTTGCTGCTGCTCGATGGATTGCAAAGCTTGCAACTCCTTGTCTACTTGAAGCACTTGGCCGCTACCCTGACTATAAAGTTAAGGTAAAGAATTTTCATTTTACAATATCCCCATTTCTTTTGACTAAATAATCCTTTTGGACACACTTCTCTGTTGGACCAGAATCAATTTTTTTTTTCAATTTTCCATATTTTATTTTTTTGATATAGTGATCAGGCATGGATAGCTACTGCTTGTAATGTTCTAGATTGTGGTCATCATGGTTATCCCCCCTGTTTTTCTTAATCTAGAATTTAACATAAGAGTTGTTTTTTTAGATCTTGAAATCATTCAGTTTGCAAATATGCTGTTTGGCTACTTAAGTTCTCTTTTCTGGCTTTTGTCAATCTATGTTGAAAAGCATAAGCTTCATAGTTTGTAGATGTTTCTCTAGTATTCTGGATTACTTTTTTATAGTTCTTATACATAGATTGTAGGGCACTCTTTGGGTGGAGGCACTGCAGCAATTCTAACCTATGTGTTGAGAGAGCGAAAGGAACTGTCTGTGACTACATGTGTTACATTTGCTCCAGGTCTGTCTTTGTTATATATGTCATTGCAGAAACTATATTTAAGGTGAAGGGATATTTTGATTGTATCCTAGTACACTTTGGGACTGATATTGGTTTATCCGGTAAGTCTCTTGAACATGACTTCTTGTTACTGTTGCAGCTGCTTGTATGACATGGGAGTTGGCAGAGTCAGGCGATAGTTTTATTACTTCTATAATAAATGGAGCTGATTTGGTGCCTACATTTTCAGCTGCTTCTGTAGATGACTTGCGTTCTGAGGTTGTGATCCTATATATATAACCAATGTTTGATGATATTTATGGGATCTGACAATGCTGGTTTCTATCAACTGGGAGCCATAATCCATGGGCAAGTGTACTTGTGAGGGTTAAATTTTTAGAGTTTACAAATTGAATACAAAATTGTTTTATTTAAAGGGAAACAAAAAGTGGTAGTTCCAGCAAGAGATACACTGGGGAGTGTAATTTAAGTAATTTAGACTGCAGTTCAGGGGTTGTATAAGATTTCATGACTCCAGAGAAGTGTAGAGGCCATCATTTTGTAGATTTTAATTCTCACTTATGGTCATGAACTTTTTTAAGTTCTACCAAAGCTGTGTATCAAAGGAGTTGTTTTCTAGGAAATAGACTTAAATGTCCTTCCGTCGCATGAATTTATAGAGATTTGAGAAAGTTTATGTTGGTTTCTAACTTTCAAGAAGCTAAGTCTCACTTATAGTCATGATTTAGTTTGCTTGCTGTCTTGGGACTTTGATAAATCATATACTTGCTACAATGTTATATGCAGGACGAATGTGTTTGCAGTTCATAAATTTCAGTTTTGCTATTCCGCATTATGTGTATTAATATTATTCTGCCAATTTTCAGGTGACAGCATCAGCATGGATTAATGACTTGAGGAATCAAATTGAGCAAACAAGAATACTCAGTACCGTCTATCGTTCTGCTTCAGCATTGGGTTCTCGCCTCCCATCTATTGCCACTGCTAGATCAAAAGTTGCTGGGGCTGGGGCAATTTTGCAGCCAGTTTCTAATGGTACCCAGGTACTTGCCCCTACTGTTATACAAGATCTTTGTTTATCATGAAACAATGTTATCTCCAAAAGCAGGGCACACTAAACTGTCCATTGTTAGAAATTTACAAAAAAAGTGTCTTTTTTAATGTTCTATTTCTCTTCTAGAGTTGGGAGTTGATGTGTTCAATCTGATCATGCAAATTGCTAATCTTCACACTTATTTAATAACGTTATTCACTACTACTCCATGTCTGAATTTTGAAAAAATTCAGGTTGTGATGAAGAGGGCCAAGAGTATGGCTCAGGCTGCATGGACCCGTCCAACACTTAATCTGTCCTCTTGGTCATGCATGGGACCCCGTCGCCGACCCATGGCTGATCATTCAAACTCCAAAGACGAGGGGAGTTCCTCTGCATCTCCAGCCTCTACCAATGTTGAAAGTTCTGAACCACTTCTTGGTTCTCCTAGGAAAGGGATTAATGCAAAGAACATGAACCTTCCCGTGTCTTCATCTTTAGAAGAGTGGTCTTCTGAGATTGAATGTGGCAATGAAAGTACTCCTGATGCTGTGGTGGATGTTGATCACGATCAAAGTGAGAATATCATGGAGCATGACAGATATGAGGATCAGATGAGTGAAGTGGAGTTGTGGCAACAACTGGAGCATGAGCTGTATGACAGATCTGAAGGTGAGGAGGAGGCTGATGTGGTAAAGGAGATAAGAGAAGAGGAAGCAGCCATAGCAGAGGAAGTGGGGCAAAGCCAGAGCTCTGTACCGGAAACGAAAGAAGTCCACAGATTTTTTCCACCAGGAAAGATAATGCACATTGTTACTCTCCACTCTGATGCTGCTGAGCATGAAAGTGATGGCAGCCCAACCTCTACAAGTTCGGACAACAGCCAATCAAGTGAGACTAAAATTGGGATTTTTCTTACTTCAAGGTATCTATATAGTAAACTTAGACTTTCACAGAGCATGATCAGTGATCACTTCATGCCAGTCTATAGAAGGCAGATTGAAAGGCTAATAAAAGAACTTGAGGCAGAATCTACTGATGATCATAGAACGCACGAGTTGGTGTTATAGTCAAAGATATAGTCAACATTAGGTTTATGTTTGTACCATACTGCGTGTCATTGGGTGTTTTTTGTCCCATTGATTTCGGAACAATTCACATAGGAAAAGCAGTTTTTGATTTTAGCTGCAACAAGGAACCCAAAGAAAGGCGTTTACAACCACCTAATATACTGATGGTCACTCTGATGATCAAGGGAACCAAATCATCACCATACATTTAACATTGATGTTAAATGGGGAAAAGTAATTGTAAATGGTTTCCCCAAAACCAGGCTGTCTGTAAATAATAATAATAATAATGTGGTAAACTGACACCAGTGAACGGTTAAAATGATACGTTGTTATCTGAATGAACTGATTTGCTGAGTCACTGTCTGTGCATTGAATGCTTGCTGTTCCGTGTGTTTATACAGTCAATACTTTTGATTTGTGAATCGTACTAGTTTCCTATCATCATTATCAGTTTGGTGAAATGGTTGTGTTACCAGAATCAGTAAATGAAATGTTGGAGTTGGTCCCAGATAAGCAATTGCGTGCTTTTCAATCTTCAAATTTTTGACCAAAAACTGAAAATGTGAAAGTTTGAGACAGACCACTTACCAAAGATTCTCAAAATGTGATCCCTACCCAACCCATTTGCCTTTGAGCATTGAAACTCGAATGGCAGATAGAACAAGATAATGATGTATGCGATTCAACAAAGTACTCCTACAATAATTAACTTCAAAATAGAAGCAGATACAGTTCACGCCTCGTAATATTTGACCAATTGGACCTCATAAATTCGTTGCATTTTAATGTCTGACAGAAACTTTTGAGCTTTCATGATTTCAAGTAAAGTTGGGTTGATGTTTGGGATTGATTTAAAACGTGAGAATATTACCTTCTAAATGAATTTTACGTCATATAAGAAAATGAAATAATGATTTTTGTACATACATGTGAGGATAACACGGAATGCGGACCATTCATGAAATGTTACAGAGAAACTAATGTGATCATAAGTAATGAATGGCATGTAAGAGGAAAGTCCTTTATCCAGGAAACATGACTATGATTTAAATTCTAAGTTTCAAAACCTTATTGGAAGATTATGACTAGTGTCATGAGTAGTTATTGTTAGGTGGATGTTCATAAGATATTTTTAATCTTAATTTGATTAGAACTATTTTTTTTTTCCAATTTCCGGGAAGACTCATAATAGAGAAGATAGGGGAATAAGAAAAAATGAAAAAAGTGCAATTGTAGAAGACCAAATCTGCACATTCACAATTTTTGTCCAACAAGTTTCTTAAGGATATTATTTAAAGAATTAAACAAATTTGTCAAAAAATATAATAAATACACCTTTTCATGTGATTTTTAATACAATCCACATGATTTTCAGTAAAAATCTTTCACTTTTAATTCTTTAACTAATGTTCTAAGGTCACTAGTTAGTACTTAGTAACATCCTTAAGTTTTTAATCGACTATACTAACCTAGCAGAATGGTTTGATTAAGATTTAAATTATTAAAGAATTTGTGTGTAATTAAGATTATATTTGATTTTGATTATCCCGCGTTAGACTAAAAGTAGTATATACTCCTTGGAAGTAGTCTCTTTTTACTTGTGCTATTAATTATTGTTTTTGTAACATGTTATCCCTACAAATATATATTATTTGAGTGGTGACTTGATCAACTTGAAATTTCATTTTTTTATTTTTTATTTTGTTAGTGTGAAGTATTTGTTAAAATTTTATTCATGAACATAATGTATTTTATATTGATGTTGTTTGCCCTTCTGAAATATCTACGTTATACAGTAAAAGAAGGAAATAGTTTCCAAACATTACAATAATTGAATTCATAAAAAATATATTTATTTGATAGTTTGATAAAATCTAATTCATTTATATATTTTTATAATATACATTTCATATAAGTTAAAGAACATTTTAACTACAAAGTATTTACAAATTTAAATAATTTAAAACTAATTTTACTTATAATTTGTGATTATCGCTGACTTAAAAGAATTTGCATTTAGTAATGTTCAAATAAAGGACGTTAAATATATACTTTTTAACATTTTTAACAGCTTAAAAATAAATATTAAATAAAATAACTTTAAATATACATTTTTATTATATAAATAGTTATATTTTTTCATAAGATATACCTTTAATATATAAGATATAAAATTATCAATAAACTTTATCCATAATAAAAGTAAAATTAACTAACAATTATTTAATAATAAGAGTTTAAATATCATGTTATTAGTTTTAATGTTAAACGTGATGTAAAATAATTATTTTAAGGTAGTTAATGATTATATTTTTATTATGTATAATTAATAAAACTCTAATATTTTATCTTGACAATTTATGTTTATTTCCAATTTTTTTATTGTAAGTATATTTTTATCTTATATCATATTAAATATCATAATAATATATATTTTTATTTAAATTAAAAATATATTATGATATATATTTTGAATTTAATTTTATCGTGTAATGTACAGATGATGAGCTAATAATGGAAAAAACTACATATTTTATTTTTCAAATAAAAAATGGAGAAGGACCATAGAATCTTCTTTATTCTAGTTAAAAGATTTGGGTGGATTATGATAAGGAATAAGGGATTTGAACGCAACATAAAGCATGTGATCACACCACTCTAATTAATTAACAATTTTAGATACTGCAATCAAACTTAAATATTTACTCTTACGTAAGGATGTTTTTTATATAATCTTTTTTTTTAATCACATGGTTTTATTTTTATTTAAGATTTCTTAATCTTTTATTTCTAAGATTATTAATTAATTTTATTTTTATGTTCATATTTTTTTATATTAATTTTTTATGTTAAGATTTTAAATGTTCTAATCTCGGTTTTTGTTGCTTTTAAAATTTTTATATCTGTTTTTTTTCCTCAAATATCAATTATTTATGCTTCAAAATTAGTTTTACTTCAATTAAAATCCTTATACAACACAGAGTATTTGCTAAACCAATTAAATATGAAAGTTAAACACTAAAATATGCAAGGATATACTAAAAAAAATATCTTAATTATATGGGCAAATTAAAATTTGAAGGGTAAGATACCCAATTATGGTGTGAAGTAAACGTCTGTACACTTATACCCCTCTGAGGGATCCCATGAACTATATATGTATTTAGATTCAGGTAAAAGTCTAAAATTTAAAAATTATTTCAGAGAAAATAAATTTACAATTATGAAGAATATGTATAATTAACTTAGATTAAATTTAGAAAATACATGTTAAAATAAAAGGTGTTTGAAACTATAAAAATGTATATGTGTATGATTTATTTCAAACATTGAGTTTTAAAAAATCACAATAATCATATGTTACAATTCAATTAAAATGCATAAACAAAGTAATGATTTTTTACACTTGTTTTACACTTTATCTAGACTGTGTTTAATAACACGAGCTAATAAATTTTATTTTAAATAAATTAACATAGTTACTTGATAACCACAAATAAATAAAAAAAGCCCATATGTTATAATTTTAAAAATTTTATTATAATAGCATTCAACTTATAATCATCGATAAGTTTATTTCATTTTTATCCTTACCATTTTTAATCCTTTATACGGTGATATAATACAAAATTTTTCATCTTTATTTAATTTTAATATTATATTAATATAAATTACATGTTCTTTTTAATTATTTAATTAATTTTATCAAACACTTCCAATTCAAACAATAAGGTTTTAACTAGCTTATCAAAATTATAAAATATAAACTTTCAATTAATTTTATTAAATAAGATTTTAATAATAAATTTTTATATCTATAAAAATTATTAAATTTTAAAATAAATAATTTAAATATCATATTTTCCATGTATTTTAATCGAATGACGTTAATCTCGTAAAATACCAACTAAAATCTATTAAAACCATAATGTTTTGTTTGTGTCAAAGTTGTCTCGTTATTCCTAAAAAAGTAAAATAAAAAATACGACATTCGTACGTTAAAAAAATATTGCTTTTTTTATTATTTGAAAAATGAAGCTCTCACATTATTTTTCATTTATTTTCACAATAAGGGATGTGTATTTTACTTTTCCATGACATGAAAATAAACTCAGTCATTAGTTAACTCTTATTTTATTTATATATATTACTTTTTTTTATTGATTTGAAATATTTTCTGAACTAACGTATTTTTTAAAATATTTTTAATTTTATCCAAAAATAAATTGTCAAATATTTATTAGTGGTTGATGTATTTCATGAAAACATAACTTTCAAATATATGCAATAGAAAATGGTATATATGAGTATATGCATTTACAAACATTTTCATTGAATTTGAAATTGGAGGCATATCAGAATTTAATGTGACGCTATGATATTAGAAAAAATGAGCATAGGATAGATATTAGTAGAGGACTAGTAGATGTCAAACTCAAACATTAACTACATTGTTAATGATACCATCCACTTAACACTTTCATATTTTGGAATAAAAAAATAAAAATATTAACAAATTGTTCAAATTTCACTTCTCATGAAAGCTTTATAGGACTACAAAAGATATCACTATCTGTCACCCACCATGCTTATCATCTTTCTCTTTCGCTCTCCATTATCATGATTTGTGATCTTCTTCTGTTCTTCATGAGGAATATAATGCATAAATCATGCAGTCATTCATGATCTACGCATCATATCAGATGTATCCATTTTTATATTGATTAATTAAAATTTCTATAATATTTCAGTTTTTATTATCCAATTTTCTGCACGCATGTTCTTTTCTGTGTAATCATTTGGTATTTTTCTTTTGCTAGTCAGAAGATATATGTATCCTCAAACTTAACAAACAAAAATATTTAGCCTCAATTTATTGTCAAATTAAAACTTTAAAGTAACAATCATATGCTACAATAAGATTAAAATAATACAAATAATTTGTGATCATGTAAATTTGGTTTTCTTCCTATTAAGAGATCAATAGGTCTGTCACCGAAAAACTTGAATTCGCGAGAGTTAATTCATGATATATATATTCAAGTTTAATGTTATTGATTAACTATTTAATTTTAGATTAGTCTGTATTGATATAACTTTTTTCTAACAAAATGACCTACTGGTATTGATATTATAAATTTATACTATTAATACAATATAAATAAATAATTTTATAATAAAAATATTAGTATAAATACATCAAAATTAATATAATACATTATTCATTAGTATACACTTTATAGATAACTGTTTACTTTTGTTTATTTACGAGAACGGATACTTGTTCCTTCCTATCGTTTGTAGTACGTGTTACTATATCTGAAAACACATTATAAAATGATTTTACTCCAAATAACTTAATTGAACAGGATCTTTATCCAGAGTCCTCTTTATAACTTTTTTTTGGGGAGCTATAATTGAAGAGAATATATATATATTATTGGCATCTCATGAAGCATACACCAAAATCGTGGAAATATATTAGTAATTTATTACCTTTTGGTTTAATCACTCTCATTTCAATGCAATCACTCAATAATTTAAGCATACACATGATAAGTGTGTAGCGCGTAAGCCATGATGATACTTCTAATATTAAATTAATTCCCATTAATCAATTACATCATTAACTACAAAACTATATTTGCCATTTCCCATCGTCATTATCTATAGAACTTGTTGAAAGCCTAAGGCAAATTTTGTTTTAGTTGACCCAAACCGAGTACGTATATACCCAGTAAATTCAGTTTTTTGTCACTTTTTTAGTATTTTCTTCATATCTCTCACTAGTATATATACCTAACGAGGGTATGAAAAACATTTTCCGCACATATTAAAATCGCTCTTTGGTCATTCATACACTAACAAGTAAGAAGTGTATTTGTTTAGAGGTCAAAAATTGAAGGAAAAATGAAGCTAGAAGACTTTCTGAAAAATACATGTGAAGATTATAAAATTAAGGGGTCCTGACCATGTGAAATTGTGAACTATGCTAAATGTTCCCACACCATAAATTTAATGCATTGAGAAGCAGCATGGCATATATATCTGAAGCTGCTTTGTCGAATATTGCAGTGGAAAGGGAGAGTTCCATAGAGAGAGGGAGAAACTAACAATTCAAAGGTGGGTTTGTCTTTGAATACACACATATTTTGGCACAAGGAGCAAAGGGTGTGTGTGACAGTGTCCAAGTGCACGTCCTTATCATAACCGCAGTGCAATCGCAATTATAAGACACACAGTACTAACATAGCACCTCTTTCATTGGCATGGCAATGTTTGGTCCACTTATTAATTGCTTTTTTTTTAGCACAGAACCTTCTGCAATTTGAGTTTGACTGCGACCTTGTGGGGGCAAGGATTTCTTTTCATAATGGAATTCAGATGCACGAGGAATTAATCGCCAACAAGGTATCTATATTTCCTTTCTTCTGCTATTTTTATTCAATATATAAAAAATTAAAACACTTTTTCATATGCATTAAGCTTTTTTTACACTTGCATTTATATTAAAATATATATTAATTTTAAATTTCTTAACACGTATGACTAAACACGTGTTAAAAAAAACATTTATAATAATGAAAAATGAAAGTGGGGGCCATGAAACAAGTGGTTGCGTAGGCAGCACTTCATTTGTAAACAAACCCAACCCAACCCAATTATTAAAGGCGTGGAAATTTCACCTGTGGAATATTGCCCCTCATATGATCCATCTCTTTGTGTTAACACCATAATCATCTTTCATCAAATACAAACAAAACCAACTCTTTTGGATACCAAGAAAAGAAGTGAAAATTATTTGAGTTTTGTTCTGACATGTGTGCATGCATATGTGCTTAGACTTGGATGTCACATTTTGGAATAAGAATACTTTGGCTAGATACGCTATATATGGAGAACGTTGGGACTAATTTGTCAGCAAGAATAATTCTACTTTTCCTTCCCTTTATTTGGTTCCCTTTCTTGTCAAGCTCTTCTGCGTTATAAAATGCTGATCTTTTTTCTCTGCAATATTATAAGCCCTTCTATTTTGTTAAGTTTATCTTCTTCATTAATAGCATTTGTCAATATAAATTATTAATTAAAATTTTCAAGATATATACTAATAAAAATATATATCAACAAATGTTATTTTAATATTAAATTATTAATAAATAGCAACTTTTTTGCGGTGCAAATCCAGTAATAGATTTATCGGTTAAACATAATATAAAGAGTAGTGGATATTGCTATTACAAGCTTGAGATTGCTACTAGGAGGAACCAGATTCGGCCTGATCAAAATTCACACATCATAATTTTAAAAAGAAAAGAACAGAAACACACACCCATAAACATGATATGATGATTTTGTTAATATGTGTGAAAATTAATAAAAATATTATTCGTAAATATATAAAAATGGTTTTTTCATTACGTTTTTATTATTTTAAAAATTTTACAAGATTTAATAATATAAATAATTAAGATAATAAATATTTATATAATAATTATTAAATTTACATTTAATTATATTTTATATAGAACTATTGAGTAAATTAGAGATTAGGAAAAGAGATTTTAGAAATAAAAATAGAGAGGAAAATTTTATATTTTAAATAAATATATTTAAAATATAAAATATAAATTAGTATATTAATATAATTTTAATATATTAATAATTTATTTTTTATCATAAATAATATATAATTCTTTTAATTTAAAATTAAAAAAATGTTATACCTCCCTCCTCCTTTAAAAATTTTCTTTCGAACGTACCCTTAAAAAAAATATCAAATCCTACACGTAGGAAAAGAAAATCCAGCTTAAAAATAAAATAAAATTATACACTTCATTATTGTCCTTATTGTTCAATTAAAAAAGGTCGCATCAATTGTTATTATTATCTGGTAAAAAGGTCATAAAACAACGAAAAAGAATTCATATTTGGGCAAATGGGCAATTGTTTTGGTGTTCTCCAAAGTATGCGATAATATTTAATACCATTCAAAAATTTCTATTAATATGAAAGTATGAAACGACTCTAATGAATCATTGAATCTAATATATGATATGTTGACCTAATCAGTACTAATCAGCCCTTAATGGTACATATAATACAAGCTGTAATTCAAATTAGGAAGCTACTTTATGAGGTAATCTTGCAAGTTGTACCTTCCTTGCATTATTATACTTCACACGTCATCTAGGTATTGCTTCTTAGAGATTGTAAAAAAAAAATCTAAACTGCATATTTCACACCATTAATGACCTAGTAAAAGCATGTTCAACGTTAAGAAAAATATTAAAAACAGTTTTTTAATCTGTCTAACATTACATCTAAATAAAAATTACAAAGTTTACATAATGTAATATTATTAAATATTATAATTTTTAAAATAAAATTTACTTACTTTTCATTATGTATAATTCAGTATAGATTATAAAAAAATATTTATAATAATATGATAGTTTTATTTTAAAAAACAAAACTTATTAAATGTGCATTTTTATTCTTTATATTTCTCACATTTAGATTATGCACCAGGTTCAAAGTGTGTAAAAAATAAAATAAAACTAATTATTATTAATAAAAAATATTTTCAATATAAAATAATATAGAGATTAATTTAATATAAAAATTTTACACTATCAATTAATTAAAAATTATAATAAATATAAATTTAAAATAATTATTATAAATTAAAAAATTAATAATATAATAATTTTTTATTAGACTAAAATGTAAAAAAATAATGATATTAATACATTCTAAGTAAAATTTATAATATAAGCGTATAAAACTTTTTTAAACATGGAAACAGCGCAAATTGGCTAAGAAGAGAGTCACGACATGATAATGCTTAGCTGGCAATCCAATCATCAATGGCCAAACATTCACACATTTTGCTTATGTGGATTATGCCTTAGTCCACCTTCTTAAAGCCTCAATCATTGAGCCTCTCTCTCTCTCTCTCTCTCACTACAATCTCTCTCTCTCTCTCTCTCTCTCTCTCTCTCTCTCTCTCTCTCAAGTTCCCAACTATTCATATATAGTTAAGTTCAGATCCCGTGGAGAAACAAAAAAAACAACCTCTTTCTTTGCTCAAACAAGATTTGGGTTTCTTCAAAGCTATCTCCTTTAAAAAAAAAAACAAAACTTTGTTTAGTTGTTAGAAGGAGATTGAAGAAAGCAACGGAGGGGGTTTTATTGGGTCTTAAGTTTTTTCGAAATGGTTTTCATGTCTGAGATTTTGTTCACTGAAGAAGAAAAAATTGAAGAAGGAGAGTGGGAAAAGGAGAGATAAGAAGAAGAGAACAATACCCAGCAAGCAGAAGTAGAGAAAAAGATCAATAATTCTTTTCCTTCATTTTCATCTGCTTCTGCTGGTAATCCTCATCAAATTTCATCCTCAAATTTCTTTTTCTATACTTGTTCATCTTCAACTTCTAAAACAACCCCACAATTTTTTCCCCTCCTAATGATTCTCTTCTTTCTTTCCCTTGTTTTATTCATATAAAGTTCCTTGCTTCTTCTTCTTTTTATTTGTTTGCATTCAGCAGCCAAAAAAATTGGCGTAAACTCAAAAGGGAGAAGAGTTCGGTTGAAAGTTGTGTTTTTTTTTTTCCTTGAATAGATTTATTGATGTTGTGAAAACCATCTATGTATTGAAGCATGTTCTTCAGACTTAAGGTTTGTGTTTGTTTCTTTTGTGAATTATTAGGATAATGATATTAACGTGTTTGGCGTTCCTTGTTTGTTGACAGGGTGGTTGGCAATGTCTGCACCAATGATCATTGACCCAATAGTGATATCGGCACCAGAAACTCAATCAGCAGCTACCATAATTGTTGCACAGAGTGAAGTTGAATTTGCTGTGTGTGATTGTTGTGGACTAACAGAAGAGTGCACCCCAGCTTACATAGAAAGAATCAGAGAAAGGTACCATGGAAAATGGGTTTGTGGGTTGTGTGCTGAAGCTGTTAAGGATGAAATCGTAAGGTCCGAGAGGCTTGTTAGCACAGAAGAAGCAATGACAAAGCACATGAACTTCTGCAAAAAGTTTAAGGCTTCAGGGCCTCCACCAAATCCAGCAGTGCATTTGATATCAGCTATGAGACAGATTCTTAAGCGGAGTTTGGATTCTCCTAGAGTAAGGTCCACACCAAGTAGTCCAACTAAGACTAACACAGAAATTCATGGTTCTGTGCTTACAAGATCTGAAAGCTGCTTATCTACTCTCTCTGGTCCCTGAAGGTTTGGGATGAAATGAGGGGAATACTGTGTATTTGGTTGGCTAAAACTGGAAGAAGAAAGGAGAAAATAAGGACAGAAAAACATAAGCTTTAAATTAGATGTTCAATTGTAGTTGTCCAGCACATAACTTTCAATCTGTTGTTAGAAATTGAACATAATTTGATCAAGAATTTTGCTTCACTGATACCTGTTATCTTGTTTACTATTCTCTTAATTATTTTAAATAAGAAAATTATGTTAATAATTGAAGACAAACAGTTCTCAATTGATGCAGCTGAAGAGAAAGCAGGACAATGCTGTCCTATTGTTGAATTCTGCAAAACTTTAAAATGTGATCATGGAGTTCAACTAATCTTGTGTGGACTCAAATTGATTAAGCTGGGCTGAAATCATCTACGGTTATTTTAAAGTAAAAAAGAAAAATAAAGACACCAATAATTGAGTTTTCCAAACTGGCTTTGAAAAACTAATCATTGATGCAGTATAAAATTGACTTATCTACTTTTGGCCTCTTGAGTGCAATGGACAAATGCAGCTTCTGGCATTTCATTTTAGTTGAGTCAGTTGCACATTTCAATTTGACTATGTCTTCTTGTTTTTTCCCTAATGATAAAACACAGAAAAAAGCATGGGTGGTTGGAAGTTGAAGCAATCATGGATATCTCTAGTGTTTAGAAACCTGAAGCCATGATTATGTGTGCTGAATTTTCCATAAAATAGTCACTCTTGCAATGGTATCTATTCTTAAAATACATAAGGAGCAAATCACGGGTGTACATAAATTACTTTCATTTCATGGACTAGGTCTAATCCATGTGTGACAAACTTGGTTAAAATTCTTTAAGCTTTTGTTCTATTTATAGCGAATCAGAATTGGATATACTTTTTCCCTACATAAATGGTAACAAGCTGTGAATAGAACCGTGACATGGAAACAAAAGTAGATGGGTGGCTATTATTGTACAAAGAGGAATGATTATGCCTTAGGAATGGAAAGTAGTTGGATGGTCTCATCCGTTTGTGATTTTCCTTAGATGCTTCTTTGAGATCTTTCTGGCACCATACACAAGCGTGATGACAACTAAGCTCTTGTTTTGTCTTACATTTCAATAAAATAAATTTTAATATAATTGTTTAGAATCAGTTCAATGAAATTAAAATGCTTGTTTAAATTAATCTTAACCATAAATTTTATATTAAAATGTGTTAATAGAGACAAAATTTACTTCAGTGATATGTGCACTTCGAAAGAATTAGTCTTAGGCTGTCAAATAAAGAGAACATCTTTAATATACACACACACACACAAAAATTGTGTCGTTTCATGTAAAACTAATTGTGAATGTTAATCAAACAAGCACTAAGTTTTTGCCTTTCTCCAAAACCAATGCCAGATTTGCTGTTCTGTAATGCTGTATGACAGAACGTTCTGGAATGCAAGGACTGACATGCCAGGTGGACCTTGGAATGTTCTTATGATGATCTGAAGCAGCCCCCACTTAGCTCCAAATGACTCAATTTTCAATGAACATATCATCATGCAAAGAACGTTAGTACTTGTGTGTCCATGTAAAATAGCACAGCACAATACATGTAGCAATTTGATTGCTGAATGAACTTCACTCGTGCAGAAGCTTGGACGTGTGTATAACAAACAAGAAAGAATTTGCTAAGCTAAAACCAAATAAATAAAAATAGGGTAAAGGAATCCAACTTTTTTCTTTTCTTAAATTTCAGCCCTTATTATTCTAATAAGTTGCATTTGGGAATTGTAAGTTATTATGAACTATTACATAGTAAGTTTTAAAAACCTAAAAAAAAAATTATTTATTTTACTTCATACTGCTAAAAAGCAGGTCCAAATTATACCAAAATAAAAATGGTGTGAGCATTTATTGTTTCTTAAAGCATAGACTTTTCGGTTTTGAAAAAATTGTGAAGCAATACAATTTGCTTCTCCACTTGCCACTGGGTTGTCTTACGTTAGCAGGGAGAGATTGGTAGAAAGTTGACACTTGAGACCAATGGGTGAATTACTCTTGTGACCAATTATCTATTTGAGACATGTACGAGTGGATGTTCTCGACAGCTAGGATGATAGTTAATATAATATCAAATAAAATTAACTGTCTTTTTCTTTCAAAAGGGTTGGTAGTTTCCTCCACAAAATAAAGCCTAAACCACCCTCCCATCAATTCTGCAGATTGATTTTTCCTTCCTTTCCGGGAAAGTAGTTTATCTAATTCTTGAATCAGATAAAGGGATCATTCACATTGCTCTATGCAGACTAATCACTGATGATGATTAATTTAATATGCTCATTAAAATTTAAAAATACTCTCGTCAACCATCCATTTCTTTGGTCATATGCCAGAATAATTTATGTACCCATGTTATTAACACATGCTCCTATGAATAATTCCAAGAGTATAAAAATAGTTAAATATTTTAAAAAAATACTTTTTTGAGAATCTAATTTTGATACTAAGGTTAATGTAAAAAAATTATATTGTCAAGTAATTAGAATACTTAATAATTTTGACTAATACGGCAATTTATGATTAAACATGTGAGTGCTTTAAATTAATTTTTTATTTTTATATATTTGAAAACTGATGTCACCATTTTGTTTCATTTCATGTATTGTTTAAGTCCAAGTAAGCACTTATTAAGGAAGAAAGAAAAAACTTAGATCATAATAATAATGCTTCCCGTGATTGTAGGTTGTCTACTGGTATATTCTCACATAACTTAGGCCTTCAGTTATGCAGTGGAATCTGTAAGAAAATTTACCTGAAAATGCTGACAACAAATTCTGACTTACAAAGAGATTTAAGAGAGCTGAACGATGAAAACGATACTAAATGGTGAATTAAATTTGTACTAACGTTATGTCACGATCTTAGTTTAATTTCATGTGTCTTTTACTTACACCAATCAGTTTTGGGTAAAAAGAAAAACATCGAGAGACCCTTTACTGTTAACCGTACGCCAATAAGTCAATAACGACCTTTTTCTCCTTTTCGTTCGAAAAAATATCTCATAACCAAAATGATAATAAGATTAAAATAATTATTTCGGTTGCCAATTACATATTATTTTTTTTAATCTCAAATTCATCTTTTGAATTTTTCTATATTACATTTTTTTAATCCATAACTCTGTCTTGACGACATTATTAATAATTCTCGCGTGATAATAGTTGGTTCGGGAAATAATATGATTGAAAATTTAAAATTATTTTAAAACTGAAAAGAAAAATTTTAAGAATAAAAGAGCAATTTAAAATTCGAAATAAAATTTTTACCAAATAATGATCGAGTTAAAATCGCGGAGCTATCTTCAATCGAAAATTGATACATTTTAGGTTAAGAGAAAGGTTTTGTTTTTGGTCAAATGATTATAGACGTTTAGGAAATATAAGACTGGGCTGGGCCTAATTTTATGAATACTTCTTCTGGGAAATTTGAGTGATTTTTTCTTATATAACATACTATCAAGCATGCTTTTAAATCGACCCAAAAGAAGAAAAAAAACATACTTTTAAAATTAAATTAAAAATATTATCTCAAGTAGAATTTAGTTTGTTAAAAAATTAATCACTGATATTTCTTTTACTCTTAATCATTTAAGTAATTTATATTTGTATGAAATTCTTTTTTTTTTTAAGTAATCAAATACAAGCTATAAAATATAAGTTTGAATTAGTTTATCAAATTGAACCTTAGTCACTCAATTAGTAAAATAATTTATGATACATTTTTTATTAATTAAAAGTTATCAAAACTATAAAATTATAGGTAATACTCAATTAAAAAAATAACCCATTATTTTATGAGTTTCAATTAAGCATGTGCTAATAAATTTGTTGGTAATATTTCTGACCTATTAATTGGATGTAGAGATCTTGATGATTTTATTATTATTATTTTCATACACCTCTCGCTTTCCTATTTTTTTTTTCATTTTTAAATTTTTTTTATTATATCACTTAAAATATATTTATATGTGTTTTTCTTTCATCTCCTTCTCTTTCACCTCGTATGTTTTTTAAATAAAATATAAACTAATGATCATCCTCTTGCGAGTGATGCATGTTGTCGTGTTTTCTATGATTAAAAGGTGTAACTATACATGAGTCTAAAAATATTAATATTACATTGTTTAAATATATTATTAACACAATTTATATCATTAATTTTTTTAAAAAGTATTTTAAAATTTTAAAATAATTAATTATAAAAAACATTAAAAAGCATGTTAAAGAAATATATTATTGACATTTCTTGGTGGGAAAATGTTGATAGGTTGGGCTTACATTATATATCTCAACAACTGTTTCTTAACATAGTCCCTATTACGTGTCATCGTAGATAATGTGTTTAATATAAAAATGGAGTACGACATAGTCCCTATTACGTGTCATCGTAGATAATGTGTTTAATATAAAAATGGAGTACGACATGTTGCATCACTATTCCTAATTGTACTTTTATCACGAAAAAATAATTCAATTTTATAAACTATTTATAATTTTGTTTTCTACACTACATATATTTTGTATCGGAGAATATTTCATTCGAATCGAATCAAATGAAATTACAATGGTCGCAAAGCTATTCCTCTTCCCATTAACCTCCTGTTAATAAATAACCTTAAGTGTCGTTTGATTTAAAAAAACATGTTTTTTACATTTTATTATTTTTAATTATAAAAGTTTTACCTTATCTTATTCTGCGTTATATTTTAAAATTTTATCCAGGAATAGTAAATTTATTGTTCATAAGAACAAAATTTCAACGTGAGAGTGGATTAAATCCAATTCAGGTTGCTGTCATAGTTCACAGCAAAGCATCTAAGTGAAATGATCATCGTCGTGTCTCGTGTACATTTAATCAAAGCCTTCTATTCATGCCAAGTACAAAGGAAACTCTAACCCTAGACCGATACCTTTTTGAAACCTCACTCCTCTGATTGTTCAGATCATCCGGGTAAGTTCCAACATTCCTTAAATTTCACTCCAATTGTCTGGAATGCGATTTGTCACTCTTCCAATTCTGCCTCCAATTGCATCAATTCTAAGTCTTGGGTTTCGTTTCGCTTTCAAGAAACCGAAACCCTAGACAACTTTTCGTGCCTGGGCTTGAGTAATTGGGAGCTGAAACTCCTTTAGGGGATAATAAGATTCGAAATGAAGGCGCTAAATGGCTTGTTTGGTGCGAGACGCAGAAAGTTTCATGGGGTTTTCAATGGCTTATGTGTCATGATTGTGCTTTTCTTCTTTTACAATCGAGAAGACATCATTCGCAACCCGCTTCTTAGGCAATCTTCGTTTTTGGTAAATCGTGGTTTGCCTCAAAAATTGATTTTGGAAAATGGGGCTTTTGTGATTCACCGTAGAATGGTTGAAATCAGTGTTAACAGTTCAAGTGCGGCTGGTGACAAAGATTTAGGTGCGAGTAATCCTGGATTTTGTAGTGGGTTGCTCCATCATGATGGTTATGCTAGCCCATGTGAATTCTTAAAAGCCTATCCACAGTGCTCTTCTGATGGGTATCTTGATTACTTGAGATTTTTCTATTGTAAATGTGGTAGTTTTAGAGTGCTTGGTTATCTAGTATTGGGTTTGTGGCTTGCTGCTTTGTTTTATCTCTTGGGGAACACTGCTGCAGATTACTTTTGCCCTTCTCTTGAGCATCTTTCGAGGCTCTTGAAATTGCCTCCAACTGTGGCTGGGGTTGTGCTGCTTCCACTTGGGAATGGAGCACCTGATGTGTTTTCCAGTATTGCTGCCTTTGTGGGCACTGAAACAGGTGAAGTCGGTCTTAACAGCGTGTTAGGTGGTGCTCTCTTTGTTACCACTATTGTTGTTGGAGCTGTTTCGTTGTGCGTTGCGGAGAAGGAGATTCAAATTGATAGAAGGTGCTTTATAAGGGATGTGAGTTTCTTTCTCGTCACTCTTGTTTCGCTGCTTTTGATTTTGGTTGTTGGTAAGGTGGGTGTTGGGGCAGCCATTGCTTTTGTATCGATTTATGTTGTTTATGCATTCATTGTTGCTGCCAATGAGATGTTGAGGAAACAGGCGCGGAGGTTGAAATTGGATGCTGTCACGCCATTACTTACTGTCCAGGGAAGTGTGTTCTCTATAGGTTCTGAAGAGGATACTTCTGTTTATAGCTCTTTGCTTGACTTAGACACTGAGAGTGATCCTCCTCGTCTCCCTCCATCATTGCCTCAGTGGATGTGGTCTTCAAATGTGGCAATATATTCAAATCAGGCAAATAAAATCAATTTTTCAGATGATGAAAGGCCTCCTTGGGGATGGAGTGACGAGCCCATGGAAAACACCAGGACATCTTTCTCTGTTTCAAAACTTTTTCTGCTGATGGAGATGCCACTTGCAATTCCTAGACGGCTAACAATTCCGATGGTCCACGAGGAAGTATGGTCAAAGCCATTAGCTGTGACCAGTGCTTCATTGGCTCCCATTCTTTTAGCCTTTTTGTGGAGCACCCAAGATAATGTGAGTAATCAGAGTATTATACTTTCATATTGTGTTGGCGTTGCTCTTGGATGCACATTTGGAATTCTTGCATATAACTACACACTGTCTGATCATCCACCATCTCAGTTTTTACTTCCTTGGGTTCTTGGAGGATTCATCATGAGCATAGTGTGGTTCTATATAATAGCAAATGAGCTTGTAGCACTATTGGTAGCGTTTGGTGTAATTTTCGAAATTAATCCATCCATCCTTGGATTAACCGTCTTAGCATGGGGAAATTCAATGGGAGATTTGATGTCAAATGTTGCATTGGCATTGGATGGAGAAGATGGAGTTCAGATTGCTTTATCTGGATGCTATGCAGGTCCTATGTTCAACACACTTGTTGGTTTGGGAATCTCGTTGTTGCTTGGGGCATGGTCAAAGAAACCTTCTGTGTATGTGGTGCCTAAAGACAGTAGCTTGTTCTACACCATGGGATTTCTCATCACAGGACTGTTATGGGCACTTGTCCTTCTACCTCGCAATAACATGCATCCTAACAGAATACTAGGAATGGGACTCATCACCCTTTATTTCATATTTCTTTCTTTCAGGGTGTTGACTGCTATGGGGCTCATAACGATTGCTGGTTTAAGTTGATTCTATTACAATTGATCTATGTTGTAATCAAAATTGAGCGTGGTTTCTACCACTGTTTGGACCATGTGCTATAATTTCTGCTGTGCTGACGGTTGATGTATAGGGGGCCAAAAGAAATTCAGGAAAGTAAAAAATGATCTCCATATAGCAGGAATAACTTAACTGCCCCAGCTGAAAATGTCATTGCTGTATATCCAAACGTTATTTACTCCTCAATCCAATTGACTATAGGTAGTTTTTCTTTACATTTGTAGAAAAATGAAACACTTAACGAATTCTACTTGCTGAACCTAATTGAATAATGATGACTTTCCATAATCAGCAGTTTAACAATCTGTTGTGTTTGATTTCTTCTGGGTAACTTATGTACACATTGGACACCTACATTTACATACCAAAAAATTTAATTGGCTACTTATTCTTAATGTTTATATGTTTTTTCCTTTTAATATATCCTGACAAGCTTGATAATATTAATCTTCGATATCTTTTATAAATTTTACTTTATATTGATAACCACTATCTAAACATAAATTAAAGTGCTGGACAATTTTTAAATCCCGTGGCTTCTGCTGCAAATTGGCTACTTAATTTGTCCTCTTTTTAAAATATTTCATTCACTGGTCCATTCTTGATTTACCCTCCTGTTAAAGTTAATTGTTTAAACGAAATCCAAGAACCCTCTGATAAAAAAGAAGTGAAGGGGACAGAAACGTGCAGAAAGCTCCTTAAACTTTCAGAGTATACTATTTTAGGAACTGCACTCACCGTAGGTCATATAATATCAAATGATTAAGTTTAATATACAGGCAATAACTCCCGTGGCCACGTCCATGGTGGAAATATATTTCTATCCTTGGTCTGTTGGCTACGTATTATCGGTGCCAAAAAATAATGTTATTAATTTTGTATGGTGCTTTTAGATAAAGTATTTATTTAATTAAGTTATTTTTATAATACTTTATGTTATAAACATAATCAATTGCTGTTCATTATTCAGTGTGATTTGCGTAAACTATCATTGGTATAACCTTTCTATTGGCGTTTCTTCCCATATGATATTTTGAAGAGGTAATTTAAAATTTATTTTATACAAGTTAAATTTATTTTAAAAACATTCAAGCCCTAATAACTTACAACATGTTTGTAGCTCGTCCACGACAACTTTCGGCGCATGTTACAGTGCCTCCTCCTCAGGAAACTGCTATCCTGCGCAGGCAAGGAAGACAAACCATTTTGATGGCTCGAAAGGTCTTGTCACATTACATCTTTCAGCAACCTCGATAATGCAGAGCATCTCTGTTCATTTCAACTTGAAATAACACTTTTACCCTTTAATAATTCACTACTTGACTATATGTCCCGCTATTCTAAGATCTTGAAAGCCCTTTTTTGGCAAAACAAATCTAAATACTCAAAACTCTCTCTTTTCAGTTTGAACTTTCCTTCGTGAGACAGTCACGTGTGCCCTGCCATTTGCATCTCTCGTACTTTGCCCTGTTTCTCTCTGTCTCTCTCTCCCCATGTAACTTCGTCTTGTGCAATAAATGCTCAACAAAAGTGCAAACCCATTTTGCGTTTGGTGCTTTAGTATAGCACAACCAAATCCATTTTTAGAGTTTCTAACTTGTCACTAACCAACCTTCAAATTTCATGTTTTTTTATGTTCTTCAATGCTCATACTCTGTAGCCCCTGCATATGCATTTGCTCATTGTGATTGAATGTAAAAGATGGATGGTGGCTACAACTCTTCTTCAGCGTCCTTAACATCAACAACGACCTTGAGCTCTTCGATGGAGCACGTAATGAGACCCAAGTCGCCACTGCCAGGGCTTGTGGATTTTCATGGGAAGCGGAAGCAATTGGTTAAGATTCAGGTTTTGGAGAGAGAGATAGGTTTGCTTCAGGTATGTCTTGGAACACTTTCTTTTTATGTGTCACTTTCTACGATTTTTTAATAGTATATTAAGGGAGTATTTCTAGCATTTCTCTAACAAAGTTAGTTGAATTTTTTTGTCTTGGTCATGTAAATTTAATTACACGATGAATCTTTGAGCTCCTTGTGTAGTTTTTGAATAATTTACTAGTGAGAAGCTGCAATCCTTTGAACTAATGGAACCAATTTTGCTTGATTAATTTATATTGGTCCTAGGAGGAGTTAAAATCACTTGAAGGCCTTCAGCCTGCTTCCAAATGCTGCAAAGAGTAAGGGTACCTTGTTTTTTTTACCTTAGCGAATTATAACATCCAATAACCAAGGTTTAAAAATAAAATACAAATATTTTTGGGTACTATAATCCAGAATCTTATTACCTTATTTGAAGTTAACGTTTTCCTTAACAGGGTTGATGCCTTTGTAGGCTCAGTTTCAGATCCCTTAACACCCACGTATGAATCTCCAATCTTTCTTTTTTTATATTAATATTATTAATTTATGTTGCAATTCTTAAATAAATAATAATCGCTTTAACTGATACAGAAGGAAACAGACAAACACTGAATTCCAGCGCTTCAGTAAGCAGATCAGGTATAACCTTTTCATTTTATGTTTCTTTTTCTTCCATCTCAAAAATAAAATTTTAAATATATGTTTAATGATATATAATGAAAATTACTAAATAATATATTTTTAAGAAAAGTATAATATTCAATATTATTAACAATTTGCATATGTAATATCTAATAATTTTATTAAAAATATTATCACGTAAATGACTAAATCTACACGTTAAAATAATTATTCAAAAATTCGACATGCGTAAGTCACTGAAAAGGACAAAAATTGTGAAGCTACAAAAAACTAGGCGTAGCTCTTACATGGCGTAGCTCTTACATCGTGTGTTATATTATACACCTTGTTGATAAGCTTCGAGAATTTTTTACATGATATAAATAATGTGAGATTGATTAATCACATTTTGACACGTTTATAAATTTTACAAAATTAAATAACACCATATCTTTTGAAAATTAATAATAAATTCTTTTTAATGTGTTTTTAATTATTTATTAAAAACTATAAAAATTACATGATCTTATTTTTTTTAGTTTTAATTTAATATTTTTTTTCATGTACTTATAATTTTTAATAAATTTTAACTGTGTTACCATCATTCTTCGTTTACGATTTATGAAAAGATTAACATGTGTAACGATGTAAATAACTAAGACGACATGATTCTACATCACTTTAATTTATTTATTTTTTCCATTAGCTTGTGTTACTGCAGTCGAAACATCAAATTAAAACAGGTTTATGACATAAATTGTTGCTATAATCAGTAATTTGTTCATTTTTTGAAATTCTTCTCAGGCTTGGATGGGTGTGCTGCTCCAGCAGTTGCCTGCTTCACAAGAAAATGGGAAAAGGTGGTTGTGGGTGCAGCTGCAGTTCATCAAATTCCAAATGTTGTGGTGGCTGCAAGTGTTTGAAGACTGCATCTACCTGTGCCCAAAATTGCTGCTAAGTCTACTTCTTCTGCTATGTCATGTGCACCCCTGTTCTCATTCTGTGGAAAACTCTCGTCATACATGTTTAGCATCTATGTTTAGTTTACATTTAAATCAATATTATTGATTATAACTTTTAATTTCAACTTAAAGATTTTAAAAAATGTCTTAAATAAATTTCACATCTTATTTTATTCATCTTTAATGCAACCTAATACAATCAACTTAAGAACAGATTTGAAAAACGGTGAGCTACCATGGGACAGACCAAATATTACGAGCAATCATTGCTATGTAGTTTGTTCAGCAACCAGGTATGTGACAACAATCAGCTACCCTCAGCGAGACAAATGTTTTTATTTATTTATTTATTTATGCTTTTTTCTAAGATCTACTAGGATCAATACTTTGTCAGATTAAAAAGAATATGGAGGAAAAGAAAATAAAATATAGACAATGGTGTATTCTTATTTATTTGGTTGAATGTGAAACAAAAAGAAAGAGGGGGAAATTTTTATTTTTAAAAATAAAAAATTAATTTTTTTCATTTTTAAATTTAAATTTTTCTATAAAAATAAAAAAGCCTAACTAAAGATTGGTTAGGCATCTCAGTTTACTTTATTTGTTCATTCATTCCTTAGTCATCTAATTTATTCATATGTGAATTTAATTTTATTTATTTATTTATAAAAATTAAAAGTTAATGAATTATCATTTGTTATTAGATTAATAATAATTTATTAAATTAAGTAATTAGCTAAAGTCTGCCCGTTCGACATAAGTTCTTTAAAATTGATCACAGGCTCTATAAAAAAGTTAATATAATATATTTTAAATGAATAAATTGAATATTTATTTTTAAAATTTGAATAATAAATAAATTAAATAGATTCTTATTAAACAAATTATAAATGATTTATTATAATTTAATTCATTTACTTGAACTACCAATATAGGCATAACAATTAGTGAAACTCTAATACGTGGTAATGTGTTTGATTCACTAATATTTTTATATTTTTAAATTCAACTCTATTCACTTAACCATGGATAAGTATAAGTCTAATGACGAAGACAAAACCTAAATAGTATGGGTCCATGTTGATCCGAATTAAGATATTTATTACTTCTTTTATTTTTTTGTAATTTGTTGTTTAATTTTTTTGTACATTCAAAAATAATTTAATTGATCTAACAAGTGAACAGGCTTTGACTAAATTAACTTTATTTAATATTAAGAGAAAAGAAAAATAAAATTAAAACTATAAGCCAATCTTGCCATCTCGATGAGTGGCTAAAGCGTAATTGACGACTGAATTTAATTAAACTTTTAATTTAAAAACCTTCACATTTTTTATTTAGTGTTTTTTAAGTGAATCACTTATAAAATACTTTGTGATAAAAAAATATTTTTTGTTTATACTTTTATTTGATCCTTCTAAATTTTATAATTATTTTTTATTTTAGAAGAAATCAATAAAAAAATAATGTCATTTATGAGAACCAATAAAAAATATAATATTTAGAAGGATTAATTAAAAAATTTAAAAATAATTGGAAAATAATTTTTTATGAATTTTGTAAAAATTAAAAATAAGAGACTAAATGAAAATACTACTAGAGTATTGATGTGACCCATGTATTAACTCAAACTGTTGTTGATTTAATTTGGGACATTGTGGGGAACATCTTTTTCATTTTAGAGACAATATCAAACCTAACACAAAATCTTCAACTGTTCAATTAGGTTGGGTTTGAAGAAAAACTTTACTACATTATTGCTCTTAATTTTATAGTCACTCTCATAATTATATACTTAAAAATACTTGCCCATAAACTAAAACATCACTTTATCCAAAACTTGTAAACATTATTAGATTTAGATTAAGTCTCATAACTACACCGTTCTGTCATTATATTTTATATTTTTATTTAAATAAAATATAAAATTTTTACTTAACTGAATCGTGCAGTTCTCACAAAAATGAGACTGAATTCTAATCTTTATTATTTTAAGTTGTTACTATGTCAAATTTCAGGGTTTTGAGATGATTTTAGGATAAATTATTTTCCAAAAATTTATGTATCTCATTTTAAAATGTTGGTACCTAAATAAAATTTTTTAAACCAAAATATTGTCATGTGATATGAGTCTTTTTTCTCGATTACTTTCTGAAATTTTTAAAATATCTTGATTTTTCTTTTTTTGTCATGAAAAGTTGAAGCGTTCTTAAAAAGAGAATTGATAATGTCAAATAGAAATTTTGAAATATTAATTTAATTATGAAATATTTAAAAAAAAAACTGGCATGACAATATTTTAAATATAATAATAAATTTTAAAATATATTTGTGTGATGACTCATAATGTAATTTCCTCGCCTTTCAAATTTCTGAGAATGGTTTTATAGTTTTTGTTGAGTTTTATTTTTAATTTTTTAGTCTTAAAAAACTTGAAACAAGTATTGTTTTATTTACACTTTATTTCATATATTTGGCTGTAAGATTTATAATTAATTTATGTAAAATATTTGAACATGCATCTCGCGTGCGCCTCCAGCAAGGCATATTTTAATATTTCTTTTATTTTTTTTAATATATCACTACAAAATCTGCCACATCTTAGTTTATGTTAAAAACAGAGCCATAAACCATCTTATATTTTAAAATAGTATAAAGATCCACCATTCAGAACTCCACAATTTTTAACATTAAACCAACACAAATCACTAGTAATATTATTAAGGGTGTATTAGAACATGTAATGTCCGTTTAATTGAATATTTATTTAATATTAAATCTGACATAATATTTTTTATTAAAATAAGCTATAAAAGACTATTATAGTTTTTATATATATTTTAAAAAATTAAATGTTTAAAATGTCAAATCTATAACATCACCAATTACACGTGTTTTTAATATTGCACTTGAATTACAATTCAACTTTAATAATAAAATTATAATATTAATTTTATTACATAATTTGTTTATATATAACTTTAATTTTGATTAAAAATGATAATAATAAAATATACGAAAAAAATATTGATATCCTGCGCGGGTGGGGACCTTGTACCCTCTGAATAAGATGAATGACCAACCCAGAAAGGCCAATTGTCCTTCAATTATTGGGTATGTGAAAATATCGATACCAACTACAGCAGTGCCCTTAATTGGATGGGTCCCATAATGACATATTACAATTGGACAATAATACGATAATATCTATTTTCTAACACCCTGCCCCGTTTATAGGTCAAACACATGCTTTGTTTTCTTCTTCTTCTTCTTCTTCTTCACCAATCATTAACACGAGTGCCATTATTATGAACGTTGTTGTTAATAAGCCCATTCCTACCATTGCTCTTCACCTCCAATTCTAAACACAACACAACTCATGGCTTCTCCTTCTCCCTTCTCTCTCTTCGTATCGTTATTATTCTTCTGCTTCGTCTCTCTTTCTCTCTCATCATCAGACGTTCCACGAACCTACATCGTCCACGTTGCCAAATCAGAGAAGCCCTCCCTCTTCTCCGCGCATCACCACTGGTACTCCTCTCTACTCCGCTCCCTCCCTCCCTCCGCCCACACCGCCACCATCATCTACACCTATTCCGCCGCCACCACCGGCTTCTCCGCCCGCATCACCGCCGACCAAGCCTCCCATCTCCGCCGCCTCCCCGCCGTCCTATCCGTTGAGCCCGACGAAATCCGCCAGCTCCACACCACCCACACCCCTCGCTTCCTCGGCCTCGTCGACACCTTCGGCCTCTGGCCCAACTCTGACTACGCCGACGATGTCATCGTCGCCATGCTCGATACCGGAATCTGGCCGGAGCTTCGAAGCTTCTCCGACGCGGGCCTCTCCCCCGTCCCATCTTCCTGGAAAGGTTCCTGCGAAGTCTCACGTGACTTCCCTGAGAACACGTGCAACAGAAAGATCATCGGTGCCAAAGCGTTTTTCAAGGGCTACGAGTCTTATCTGGAACGAGCCATTGACGAGTCCGTTGAGTCAAAGTCTCCAAGAGACACTGAAGGCCATGGAACGCACACTGCTTCCACTGCTGCAGGTTCTGCTGTTGCAAACGCGAGTTTGTTTCACTATGCTCAGGGTGAAGCTAGGGGAATGGCCGCAAAAGCTAGAATCGCTGCTTACAAGATCTGTTGGCAACTGGGTTGTTTCGATTCTGATATTCTTGCCGCCATGGATGAAGCCGTTGCTGATGGGGCTCACGTGATTTCGCTTTCTGTTGGTTCAAGTGGGTATGCTCCTCAGTATTACCGTGATTCCATTGCTGTTGGAGCTTTTGGTGCGGTTCAGCATGGTGTTCTTGTGTCTTGTTCTGCGGGGAATTCAGGGCCTGGTCCTTTCACTGCCGTGAATATTGCTCCTTGGATTTTGACTGTGGGGGCTTCTACTATTGATAGGGAGTTTCCTGCTGATGTGGTTCTTGGCGATGGAAGGGTTTTTGGTGGGGTGAGTTTGTATTATGGCGAGGGTCTGCCTGATTTTAAGCTTCGTTTGGTTTATGCTGCGGATTGTGGTAGCAGGTACTGCTACATGGGGTCTTTGGAACCTTCTAAAGTGCAAGGCAAAATTGTGGTTTGTGATAGGGGAGGGAATGCTAGGGTTGAGAAGGGGAGTGCAGTGAAGCTTGCTGGTGGGTTGGGAATGATTTTGACAAATACTGAAGCCAATGGTGAAGAGCTTCTTGCGGATGCACATCTTCTTGCAGCTACTATGGTGGGTCAAAGAGCTGGTGACAAGATCAAGGAGTATATAAGGTTGAGTCAGTATCCAACAGCAACCATTGAGTTCAGAGGGACTGTGATTGGGACTTCACCTTCTGCTCCTCAAGTTGCCTCCTTTTCTAGCCGTGGACCGAATTATCGTACTTCACAGATTCTTAAGCCTGATGTTATAGCTCCTGGTGTTAACATTTTGGCAGGGTGGACTGGAAGGGTGGGACCTACGGATTTGGACATTGATCCTAGGAGGGTTGAGTTTAACATAATTTCTGGCACCTCTATGTCCTGTCCTCATGCTAGTGGCATTGCAGCATTGCTTAGGAAGGCTTATCCTAGTTGGTCACCTGCTGCTATTAAATCTGCTCTGATGACAACTGCTTATAATGTGGATAATTCTGGGAGTAATATTAAGGATCTTGGAACTGGGAAGGAATCAAACCCCTTCATTCATGGGGCTGGACATGTTGATCCCAATAGGGCTCTTAATCCTGGCTTGGTTTATGATTTGAATACCAATGACTATTTGGCGTTCCTTTGCTCAATTGGGTATGATACTACTCGAATTGCGGTTTTCACTAGACAGCCTGCTAGTGCTGACATTTGTGAAACAAAAGTGGCTAGGACTGGGAGGTTTACTAGCCCGGGTGATTTGAATTACCCTTCTTTCGCTGTGGAATTTGGTGATTACAGTGATTTGGTTAAGTATAAAAGGGTTGTTACTAATGTGGGAAAGTCAGTTGATGCTGTTTACAATGTCAAAGTGAATACTCCTCCTGGTGTTGATGTTAATGTGTCCCCAAGCACGCTTGTGTTCAGGGCTGAAAACAAGACACAGGCCTTTGAGGTCACGTTCACTAGAGTTTCTTTTGTTAGTTATGAGAGTTTTGGGTCCATTGAGTGGACTGATGGTAGCCACTATGTGAGGAGTCCAATTGCTGTTAGATGGAGCGAGGGATTCTCATCATCCATTTGAATTGAAATCGATTGTTGCTGTGGAACACATCATTCACAGGTTATGGATTTGGTCTCTTTGTAATTTTTCTGTTAGCTTAGTGGACAAACTTCAAAATACTTATTCGGTATGCTGTTTCATTCAAGTGTACTTTTAACATCTCTGGCTTCTAATAATTGATGAGGCTGAAATAGAATCTGTGACAGTAGATGTGATTTGTACGATCCATTTATATTACTGTGGTTTTGCATATTTATACAGTTGAGGTTGAAACACTTGCCCCATCTGAATAGGCAATTTGTCTTAAGCTACAATTTCAGCCTATTATTTTATGTTTATTGAGGAAACTATGTACAAACTGTAGTAATAGTGATGGTTATTCAGTGGCTTTGATGGAATCATGAGTGTATTTGGATCTAAGTTTGAACACTTGTTTTAGGGCCTTGTCATGCGAAAAAAGATTGTGCATGTGACTTATGAAATGACATACTTAAAAAAAGGAGCAAGATAATTTTACCAATTGTCCAAGGTGATATTTGAATTCAAGTAAACACTTAAATTTAATATCCGAAGTCGTGAGTATTACTCACTTTTATATCTGATTTTATAAAATCCTTACTTTTATATTTGACTATGCTGAATGCTATATATCTTAGTTCTTTTTGATACCAAAGGATAATGAAAAATACATCATAAACAGGAGGCAAGATAATTCATGCCTCAGTTGTATGGCTTGCTGGCTGTGCCCAATTACTTGATTCATTTGAATCTGCCGTGCATTTTGTTGCATATTCTAAATGCAATGAACGTATTTTTACTAAATACTTACACATGAGGAAGCCATTTTCGATTATAAACAGAGCATATTAACTATTTAAACAAGAATTTTCGTTTCCTAATCAAATTTCAGGCAGTAAGGAAAAGTAAAATGACAGGGTCACGAGCACACAGAAACTGGCGTTTGGACAACACCAATGCTTAAAAATGGTCCGTGCGGTCAGTATGGGAACAACTAGACTGCATACAGTAGTTCAATTGATATAGAGTTGATAGACTTGAAAAGAACCAAAAAGAGAGAGACACAGAAATTAAGAAACTCTTTTTGGTCTTTCCAAATCTATCAACTGGATATCAATTGAACGACTGTATGCAGTCTAGTTGTTTCCATCGATTCCTATAAAGTAGCGTCTGCTTTATAGAATAAGATCAAGATAATTCATTATATATATTTATAATTTTATTAAATGTATTGTATCTTTTAAAGTATATTTCTTTACTTCATAGGCTGAAGGGGTTTATGTAAGAATGTGATTTGTTTTAGAGGTTATGAATTAGTTAAGTCACTTTGTTAGTAATTTTTGTTTTCTTCATTCTATGATGTGGGTTTCCCTATGTATATGGAACAACTCTACAGGGTAACGCAATGAGAAGAATTATAGTAATTTTATTTCCACATTCTTTGTTTACCTTTAGGAGGCCCCTCTCCTTCAAAGTGAAGCTTTCTCTTTGTATTTCCAGTTTCTATCAGAAAACCTCACATGCATATCGGATGTTCTGATACACTCCATAAATACCGAAAACTCTCAAAGAGCCTAGCACAGTGCGTGTAACATAATTGAATTATTAAAATGATACTTTCATTTGAATTTCGCAAACTCCTAATATAATGATAAGCAAATTATTGATAACATTTTGGTTTCATTGTAACTTTTATTTTAATAATCCAAATAAGCTTCCTTTATATTATTTTTAAATATCTAATAATGAGTAGAATAAATAAAATAAGATTAAACGGAATGTAATAATATGAAATAAGTTATCGCTACATTATTTGCCTACTTTTATTAAAAGAAAAAGGCTGTCTCACATTTCAAATTAAAGAAAAAGAGAGATAATATTTATTTAACATTCAAATTTTCCCCCATCAATATAGCGTGTTTGATCTCATGTTCATGTGTTTTAAGATGCAAATTAAGTTTTAACGCTATACAGTATAGTATTTTCTAAAATTAACTTATGTCTATTATACATATCTAAACACCCTGATAATGATTACCTTGAGTTGGAAAAGGGTTGATAAAGACAATTTCTACAAGAATTATAACTACAGTTAAATTTACTGTCAATGCATTGTCCCTAAGTCATGCCTAAAATACAGAGTTGTATAGTACGAAGTATCAGAAAATGGCAATTGCTGTTTGTGCTCATGAAAAAAATAGCAACAGCGTCCAATTATTTGAACTAAATGACCTATGACTAGATTGGACTTTCCTCTCCCAACTTATTGACAAACAAAATTATTGACGGAAGCATCGACAACTAGGATTTCAGCAATGGTACCTTAAAGATCGATCACAAACATAGGAAAATTCACAACCTGTCAGTTACTACTCTTTCAAACTCTGGATTCTAGGACCATGCCTCACTGTTGTCTACCAAAAGAAGAGGAAGATTCGAAACCAAGCAACAAACATGGTGCTGAGGTGTTACAGGAATTTAAAAGCATGGTCACCTAATTAAATATCAACTATTAAAAGGGGTAAGTTAAATCATTCAAAAGCTCCCCCAGATTCACTTTCTGGCGGATGAAAGCCACCAAATTTTAGTATATATTCCTCAAACTAATGAAACATAGTAACTTACTATCCTATGCTAAAACTGTCATGTAATCTTTTACTCGGGAAAGAGAGGTGAGTCACTTTTTAGTTTAGACTATATGTGTCTTCCATTAAGTAATTTTTCTTGAACTAAAATTTAAACTCATATCAGTTATTCACTTCAATTCTATTTGAATATGTTTCAGAATTCCACTTAGAACGGATCCAACTCTTAAACAGAGAAATTTTTTTGTTGGTAGCATAATACATCGAATAACGCAAGGAAGTACAAAATGCTCTTCGCAATTCATATTTTATTACCATTGGTTTTATTTTTTAATCGCACTAAGGAAAAAAATTTGATAACTTTCTAAATTTGGTACCTTTTTCTTATTTATATTTGATTGAAAAACTGGGGAAAAAAAAATCGCTGTTAAGATGTTCTAATCCCTTTTCCTACAATGGTGTTTCGCTTTTCCCTCCTCATTTCCCGTGAAAGCTGTGAACTCTTTCTAGCCCACGTAAGGCTAAGGTCTCTCTTGAAGAAAAAAAAATCATAAATTAAGTATATATTTTATTTTAGAAAATAATTACTTATTTTTACTTGTTATGAGAGAATGAAAAAGTATGATTATTTTCATAACATAAAACATGAAACATGCACTAACTGTTACAATTGAATGAATCGTCCGAGAGGTACTGGGCCACTATCAATCAGATCACGTATCAATTTCCTTTATATATTTATGATGATACATTATTTTATTGTGCGCACCTGATTATGAATAACAAATGGTTAGTTGTGCTGATTGCATATTTAATAAACTGTATTAGGAAAGTTGCAGAATTCGCATATAAGAAATAGCTTTCAAGTGCTAGAAACAGGGGTTTGATACGTGTGTCTCTGCATTTTCTTTTTTGCATATTTTTAAAGTGATTAGTTCAATTTTGATTTGTTGCTATATCAACTATGAATATTACTTTCCAAGGTATGTCCAACAAAAGGAAATTAACATCATATTTTACTGAAACTCAACTTAAAATTGCAGATTAATCTAAAATAACTATGTCCACTTATCCAAGTATTCAATAGTTCCTTTTGTGATACAAATTTATCATCTTAAAATACTCAAATTAATATTTAAAATGGGGGTGGCATAGATTTGATAGAAATCTTGTAATAAAATTAAGACAGAACGAGAAGCGTTACTATTATTAGGAGGTTGCACATTGGAAGGCCCATCCATGTGACAAGTCTCTGCAGAGCACCTGCTTGTGTTTATGCATTCTGTAACACGCAAAAAAACCACTCACCATGTGCACTGTACTCTAAGCTTCTACATCGTTCCAAATCCCAAACCCATAAACGCCAATAATTTTATCCCCTTCTTTGCTGTGGTGTCTGCCATACGCACCCCGGCCCCTAGCTATCTTCAATCCTAAATCAGCAATGCTACCTTCACAAGCAAACTCTCATTAAAATAATCTATCTATACATAGTACTCAATCATTGCCAACCCATTAGATTAGTTAAGGATGCACCACTTCAATAATCTTCCTCGTTTCTAATATCATGCTCTTTCTTGCTGGTTTCTCATTAATAATGTTTTTGCTATTTCATTGTTTTCGTCTCATTCTAATCAAGTGCTGATATTTTATTCTAAAACAAAAACAATACTAAGCACAACCTCGCATAGATTACTTAAGTTCTTTGTCAATGGCATATTCGAACTTAAGAAATTGAGTTTTACATTTTTAAAATAAAACACGTTTGGAAGATAACAGCTTAAAGAAATAAGAAGTATCAGCTTAGATAAAATCAAATAAAATATTTGAATAGGACTCCTACTAGCTAATCTGGGACTGATGCCATTTGTAAGTAATATAATTATAAGATAACATTAAAGTTTATATGTCTTAATCTTAAAGTGCCATGCACCAGTCATTTATTTCCAAAATTTTTGTTTATATCAATGCGGCATTTCCTGCGGGCCATTGTTCGTTGATGCATCTGATTATTATATGTCCTTCGATTAAGAATTGCGTTACCCACGTTATTAAACTTTAAATTGAACAACCTCTTCCCTAAACTCCAAAAATATAACTTAAAAAAAGTCACAACCGAAAGTAATAAACAACTGATCAGAAATGCTGTTACGCAAGAATAAATACTATAATTAAATGCTAATTACCATTTTTCCCTTTAGTCTTTACCATAATCAAATCTTGCCAAATTTCATTTATAGTAAAAGTTCTGCTCTGAATAAATTCCGTTTCCCCAAAGATGCGTTACTATTATTTAAGTCAACCCTTGTGTCTATCAATGTCACTCACATCACACGTATAAATTTAATTGTTCCTGTTTCGTAACACTAGAATTGAAACATAACTTCAGCTCTCTCTCTCTCTACATGCTCTAGCCATGGCTCTAAATGACCAAGAGCCAAACCAGCACCAACCCTCCATGTGGCTGTGGCAGTCCCGGAGGAGGGTGTCCCTTTTCCGGCGGCGGAAGGTGCAAACGGTGCGGCTAGGTGGGAAGAAGCCACGGCGCCGAATTTTTGGGCTACTTAGAATATTTAGGAGGATGCGTGTGAGGTGGCTCAAGTTACAATATGTTCGCATGTTGAAGAGGCTTAAGGAACATTACCGAAACCTTGTTAAGGATCTTGTTGAAGCTGGAGCCACTATTGAAACCTTTCATCAACGCCTTTTTATGGAAAGCACTTTTGCTATCCCTGTTGGCGTTAACTTATCTACTTACCCTTCTCGTTTTGGATCTGATCGCCCTCGAACCATCTTCATGTAACTATTTCTCTTTTCATTTTATTAATATCCCCTCAACCCAAATTCCTTCCTCTCTTTCCATTTGTATTATATATGTCCCGGAAAATTTTCACTTCTCTTGTTCCCTTCTAATTATGGTTTTGTTTTTAGGAGCTATTTATAGGGAATTTAAATGAAATTTTATTAATAAAGTTACATAAAGTTTGTCGACATGGAAATACTAACCAGTTTGTGACCTTATCTTTTTGGGGAAGCTTATTGATATAATGAATGGCTAGTGAGATATATGTGTTTCGTCGTCTTGATTCATACTTCAGGTTTTGGAGCATCACTTGATGTTAAGGGTACACTTTCTAAGATCTATGTCGTAAAAAATTCTAAGGAATAACAGAGGAATTGTCCTTTTAAGTACTGCGTTTAGAGTTATTTTTAAAGGGTCATCGTAAATTTTTATTGAAATTTGTAGCATTTAATAGTGTAATGCATTTAATTATATTAAATTTTGTAATTTTTGATAAAATTTTATTATTATTAATTTCTTAAAACAGATATTAACATTTTTTTTTGGGAAACTTGATGGGTATGTATCTTCTCTTCTCTTTCCATACAGTCATGGCGTTAAGATATATTCTTAAAAAAAGATGGAATGTGATAATATTGTTCCCACTTATTCTCTTTGACCATATTCTCTCAAGACAGCCATATTTGCTTAGGCTTTGTTTGTCAGGCCAGAGGTGATTTCAATATATATTTTAATATATTAATGGCATTAAATATATATTTTTAACATTTAAAATTTAAATAAACAATTAATATTGTAAATTTAATAAAAATATATTACTTAATTTTATTCTTTATAAGTTATATTAGCAGATTTTTAAAATACACAGTGAAAATCTACATATAAATTTCTTTTATGAAAATGATAAGATTTAATGCATTAAAAATCACAATCTAACATTAAATGCTACTTTTTAAAATAAAATATTACTACTAATTAATTATTCATTATACATTAAAAATTCTTATACTAATTATTTCACTTATTTATTATTAGATTCTACCAAACGAGTAAATTTTAAAATTAATTTTATATATTAAATTTATTAGTTTTATTAAAAATATTACATGAAAAATTTTAAGTATAATAATTAAAATATTATCAATTTTAATAAACTAAAATCAATAATGTTTACGTATACCACAAACACGGTAAGGTGGGTTTAAAATATATAAAGAAAACGAATAAACTAACGTCACCATATGCGTCACTGTAGCATGTGTATTTAATAGTAGACAAAACAAAAAGGGTTAGCGATGAATGAGCATCATCTTTACAAAGCAAACAAAACATGACTCAGAACTAAGTTGTATTTTTAATATTAATCAATTACTCGAACTCACACCATAATCGAATGAAAATTTATGTATCATGTTAAAGAGTATAACAAAAATGGTGGTTAATACATTCATAAATTTAAATGTCTTCAAATTTTTATAAAAACATATTAATATTGTTGAATATTATATTTTCATAAAAAAAAATTATTTTCCTTTTTTAACCAATACTTATGACCACTAGTTGACATTCTTTAATTTTTTTTTTTTATTCTTAGACAAGTTTAAAACTTTGTTTGACTACTTTTAAATATTTTTAAATAGTTACTTTTTTGTTTGAAATATATTATTGAATGAAGAATGTAAAATTATAAATAAATATTTTGTATGATAGCAAAAATCACTGTTTAAAGATATTTAAATTTAGTCTAATTTTTTTGAATAAAATACTTAATATGTTAAAAAAATCCAAAAAGTTTGCAATGCGTACCTTTTAAACAATTTAAAACATTTAATAATTAATATTTAATATTTTCAAATCACACGTTCACGATAATATAAAAGATATTTTTTTAAAAAACTAGTTATAACTCTTTCGGTGTCATATAATTTCTCTTTTAAAATAATATACATATTTAGAAAAAATGTCATGAAAAATAATTAATCTCAAAAGTTAATATTTTCTGTTGTGATTTTTATTCGTCTAATCACTTTTATTTTTTTAATTTAAATATTAAGGTTTGATGAAACATTAAAATGCGGCGGGGGTGTTGAAAATCTTAAATGCACAGTTGATGTTCCCGATACAACCAAGGGGACCCTTTATTTCCATTTCAACTCTCTTTCTTTTATTTTTCTCACTTAATTATCTTTCTTTAATTTTAATCTTTTAATTTTTAATTATGCAATTTTAGTCTTTTTATCTTCTTAATAAACTAACAAAATTAGTCATTTTTAAAATTACTATTCAATTTTAAAACTAAAACTATGTTGTCTTCTTTCTCTTCTCTTCCTTAGTTGCTTCCATTGCCCCTCCTTCTCCTGCTACTCCTCAAAGACTCAAAAGTCTAAACCAACCATGAAAGATGAATATGAAGCCATAAGAGACACAGAGGTGAAAGCAAGTCACTTCTCGACAGACTTAAAATAGTCTGCACCTTTAAGAATTATGATATATAGGATTTGAGCTAAAAGAAGGTCATAAATTATAAACTATTAGAGAAAATATTTATTTTTAATAAAAAATATTATATATTACACCTAAACTTCATCCTAAAAAATATATATTCTTTTAAAAAATTTAATTCAATACTTAGTTTATTGTCATTCTCTCCATCCTATATATTTATATATTCTTCTTTTTATTTTAAATTTTTTTAACAAAACTTTGAATTAAAATTTATTAAATTTTATGAATTAATATACTTAACAGTTTGAAATATTTTAATGTATTTACTTTTTCGATTATTCCTTTTTTAACAAAATATTAAGAAGACGATGTAATAAGAGATATCACAATACTATTTCCCTAATTATAGCCTCGTAGACTCGTTTCTAGGAACTAAGCTTTTTATAAATTATGCCTTTTTTTTTCCCTATTAACAATATTTAAATACGTGACATTATTTAAAGAAAATTAAATTCTTTACTGCCTGAATTCTTTAATCTATATAATGCATTATGTTAACGTCTAATTATAATAATAAAATTTTTATTAAAAGGATAAGTATTTATTATATTTTTACAAATTTCATATAATAAATGTGTATTTTTTATATAAAAATATTATATTTATTTATGAATGCTAAATTCTTATTAACAAATCTTTATTATTATTACTATTATACGGGTAGAAAATATTATTATTATTATTGGTCCGGAAAGCATTATTTAAATTCTTAAAATGTGAAGAACTAAGAAATGGTTGGGGTTGCCCACTTAGGATAAGGGGAAAAAATGAAGCCCATTATCAATTTTTTTTTTTATTTCAATCAATTATCTAACAGTTAGCACCATTCATTTCAATTGTAGCATTTTACTGGACCCAATGACCCACTTTGTGGGCCCAAAACTCGAAAGTGATACTTTATTAGCATATTGAAATTGAAAGCCATTGGGCCAAAAAAATTAATTTGGAAGCCTCATCCGTTAGACCCAAAAAGAAAAGAAAAACAAACGAAACTTCAAGTTGACAATAAAAAAAAAACGTTAATTAGGAAATTTGATAATGTTCTGTTAATTTTAAATCTTAAAATTTAGTTGAAGCATGTATTTATTTTTATTAAAAATGAAGATATTTATTATATTAAAATATAATTTCTTAAATTTAATTTTAAAAATTAATGTAAACATTTTCTTTTATTATATTTCTGTCAAGCGAAAACTAAGAAACAACAGAAGTAGAAGATAAATAGTTTGCATTATATAATTGATTGAGAATCTAAGATATAAATTTACAAATATCAAATTACAGAAAAATTAATAATCGTCATATACTGTACACAACATAAGTTTTTTTAGGGTGTTGATAAGAGAGTTTTGTTTTATTTATTTTATTTTTTATCTGTCAAAATCTCTACATCTTCACTTAATACAATCTTAGATTGTAAATTATGAGAAATTAACTAATAATACATGTCCAGGGAAATTGAGACTAAAAACATGGCGTTATCTTTTACCTTTTGTATACAACTTATCACCCTAATTAACATTTAAATTATTTTATTAAAAAAAAGTAAAAACAAGTGCACATCGTTTCCAAATCTGAAAGTTTTTTTTTTCCTTGAAATTAATGCTATTTCAGAAATTGATTTAGGCGCAAGCAGATTTCATAATAATTTTTATATGGTGAGTAGCAAAATAAATAAATAAATAATAAAGAACATGTGATACTTTGAGAATGCAATCATAAGAATAAGTGTTAGCTGTTGGTCATATGAAATGCATTCTCAAAGTTTTAATCAGTCTTTTTTGAGTGACGACACCCATGAATGATGGATCTCATTTTTCGATTCAAAAGATCTGATATAGTCTTTTTAAATGTTTTATTAGACCTAAAACTTATTCAAAAGCCTGTTACGCAGTGAATACGTTTTAAAATAACTATTTGGTTTAAACTTGTTTATAATTTTTTAAAAAGAATAATTATTAACCTGCCTTATTAAATAAATGTTTTTAACTTCACTAAAATAAATTATACCAAAATAATATTTATATACCTACTTAGTACTTTTATTTATTTATTTATATTACATCACTTATTATATTTTTACTTTTTTCACTAAATATATGTCGAGTAAGTTATAACTTATAAACAAGGGATGAGAACCCATTTCTACCTCTCAAGCACAACAGTCATACAATAAAATATAGACATTATTAACTAACATAACATAACTATGTTATACATAACATTTATTAAATAAAATTTTACCATAAATAATTATAAAAACCCATCAATTAAATTATATATACGATTGCTTCTTTTTTTATAACATAAGAAAATGAAAATTGGTACACATATTCCCTCATCCCCCATTATACTATTCATCATGTATTTTTTAATGGTCATGTAAGACATGTGCATAAAATCGTTAGTGGCCACTTCTAATTGTCATCATTACTATTTTGCCAATGGCTATGGCCACATATAATTTTGGAAAGAAATAGTTTTTAACTATAAAT